TCGTTTTTGCTCAAATTTTCGTGGTAATTAATCGAAAAAAAATTAATTTTATAATTTTTGCGATGTTTTATTTCTTGTGCGAACAATTTTCGAAAGAAAATAGCTCATTTTGGGCCAATTTTTGGGATTTTTTAATTTTTGTGTGTAAATCACTAAATTGTGATTGTTTCCTTCATTCAATGATTTATAAAATTATGAAAAAAATGAGAAAACATTCAATTACCACGAAAAATGAGAAAAATTGAGGAAAATTGGGAAAAAACGAAAAATTGAGAAAAAAGGGAAAATTGGGAAAAACCGAGGGAATATTGAGAAACAGAAGAAAATGAAATAGAATTGAGAAGAAAAGCAATTGAGAAGAATTGGTAGAGGAAAGTATCGACTGAGTTTTAAAACATAAATTAAGCATTAAAGTCCTGAGTTTGTAAAACTTGTCAAGATTGTTTTACAGTTCTTCGTTGTATGCTTTCCTGAAGTTTCGGGACTCAAAAATTCAAAAAAAGACTAATGCCTTTCAGCACAGAACAATTTCCACAATTTTTTTCATGATGAGTGAAAAATATGACACAAATCAAATAGAACAATGTGACAATGAGAAGTGAAAATTTTCTGTCGTAATTTTTAAAAATCCAAAAATATTGAGATTCTGAAGTTCTGCGAATTCGAAGTTCTGAAATTCTAACATTCTGAAATTCTCAGACTCTGAAGTTCCGAAGTTCTCAGATTCCGAAATACTGAAATTTCAAAGTTCTGAAATTCTAAGAATTCTGAGATTTTCAAGCTCTGAAATTCAGGAATTCAGAAACTCCCTCAAAAAAAAACTGTACCCCCGAATCACAAGCGTTGTACCCCTGAATGAAATGAGTTGTACCCCGAATTTTTGGCAGAAATTCTACCCAGTTGACCCTCCGAAATAACACCTTCGATAGTCTGCAATTGTGTTTGTTTTCCTCAAAAAACTACGAAAAAGATGTAAAAACAAAAATTCATCATGTTCAGAATCATATACTCAAATTGATCTCAATGACCCCTATGAGACTATCAATGCCCCCTGGGAGCATTTGGTCCGATGCCCCCTATGAGACATGGTGGGATGCCCCCTAAGAGACAACTTCAGGATGCCCCCTATGAGTTAGTGACCCCTATGAGTGTATGCCCCCTTTGAGCACGATGCCCCCTATTTTGATGCCCCCTAGGAGTATGGGCCGCTCGAACTCTATTGTTTGGTTAATCAAATCTACACAATTTCTTCAATTTGCGGTGTTTTTTCCGGGAGGTTTTAAAAAATAATTTTGAATTCGCGCATTTTTTGATGGAATGCATTCGTAGCGACTCGGCCGTTCAGTTGAATGCATGCGCGTCGATACTCAGCGCGCTCAACTACGGTATTCGCGTTAGAGAACATTCATTTTACATCCTGAAAAAAACACCGTGAATTTGTTTCTCCTCGAAATTTTCTGAAAAAAGCCACCTTTTCAAATTAGACACCAGTCCCAACTTGAGTAATGGACGTTGCTTTACTTAATAATTTTCAGCATGATCACTACCGTATTCCGTGAGCAAATCTACCAAATGCCTCAATGTGCGTACACCCTTCGAAAAGGAGCCCCCGACGGACCAATCGTCCGTTTTGCGACGCTTGGAGAAAGTGTATACCATCGATGGGAATGCATTGAAGTAGAAGGAGCAGACAAGGATACATTCGGAATGTTAGTACATTCTTGCTACGTGGATAATGGATATGGAGATCGAGTGGACATACTGGATTCAAACGGATGTGGACTCGACGCTGTTCTCCTTTCAACTCCCGACTACGATACATCCCTTCGATTGGCAACGAAGCCATATCATGTGTTCAAGTACGCAGATCGACCAGTTCTTCAATTCCAGTGCCAGATAACTCTCTGTCTGAAATATGACGGAGGGTGTGAAGGAATAACACCTCCACAGAATTGTAAAAAGTTGCCAGGAGAGGATGAAGCTCATCACCATCACCATCACGATCATCCGGAAAGGAGGCGGAAATTGGTGAGGAGATTGGCGGATGGAGTCGGAACTATTGATGTTTTCACGGATTCTGTTACCGTATTGGAACAAGAACCATCATGTCAACAGGTTAGTTGTTTTGTTGATAAATTGTTGAAGCTCCAGAAATGTGCCCTAAGCTATAAGATTTTCTCTTTTACTAATTAGTTACCATAAAGCCTGTGTTAGAAGGACCACCACACTTTCAAGTTTGAGCTAATTTTTCTTGGCTCAAATACAAGATAGTTGAAAGTCAGAGGGTCCTTTTATTGCAGGTTTTAAGTTAGTTTATTGGGATAGATTTTCATAAACTTCTGAACGAAATTTGTTATCAGTTCATAATCATATCATTTCATTCAACCGGTTGCAACATTGTCGTTATCCCAAACTGATCTCAAAAGAGATTATATCATTCGATAAAGCCATAAATATTTGAAGAACTTTCCTTCTGGGATATTTTTTATTGCCCACCTGTTGGTTTAGAATTTTAAACCCTTCTGGTACACTACCGGAACATCTCAACGCACCTAACGATTTACTTTCCAGCCAGTTCAATACCCATTCATCAACACAAATCTGTGGATAATGGCAATCATCACACTTACAAATATGCTCGTCTTCATTGTGACAGTTTGGTTTACATTCCGAAAACGACGATGTAAACCTTCATAGTTTTCCCTGATTCTTTACCCAAACTCTTTCTTTTTCCACAATTTCTGATTGTGCAATATCCTTTCTGATACGGTGTATTTATTGTTTTGAAATGTAATATTTTCCCATTTTTATTGTGTTATTCCTTCTTCTCAATCCATGAACAATCCATGAAAGTTCCTTAATTTTCTGTGCTCCTCCTTACAGATCCCAGGTACATACAGGCGGCGGCACGTTCCTTTTGTTCCATTTTATTACCATGTCGTAGATCTGTCAGAAGATGGGGATAGTGTCACAACAAACTACGCAACTAGAAAATGACAAGTGGCAGGAAAAGAGTTTACACCGGCGGACAGATCACTTGTAATGTTGCACCTGTAATAACCGTGCCGCTTTGACAAGGATATCATAAAAACTAGCAGATTACAGTTGTTGATGGCGTAAGAGATTCTCATCAACAACTGTTTTGGTGTGAACCGCGCAAAGGATTATCAAGGTGCAAATTGGGAACACGATGGAAATAGTTTGGAGGAGTTGGACGAACTCTAGAAGTTTTTTTGAGAACACAGAATCGGAGCTGTAGAAAAGGAGAGCTTGTTGGCGCGGCTAAAGGTTCTAAAATTTGTAGGAAAACACACTGTATTTCAAAGCAGTGGGTCGAAAATCGCGCTCCAGAGAACTTTTAGACCAAACGAAATTTAATATTTTCAAAGTGGATTTTACCTATATATTTTTAATCAACGCATTGCAACTCGCGATTTTTTTGCTCAACATTTAAAAGTTTGAATTCCAGCCAACGAAATTTGACACGTTGCGCAGTGATTTTTCACGTTCGCTGGGGCGCGTTTTCAGATCAGGCTCTTTGAAATAGAGTGAAAACGTTCGAAAATCGAGAAAAAACAATGAAAGTAAAAAAAAGGCTAATTTAAAATTTTAAAAAATAGTCAAGAAATGGTTGAGTATCCAAGGTTTCAGTTGCTCGATTTGCTTAAAAATATGAAAAAGAGATCTTCTAAATTTTAGCTAAATTTTCCTTCGCGGATAACAGATCCGTGTCTAACAAATTTTCGTTCAAAACTGATGATATTCACAGTGAACAAACGTAACGAACGAACCGTCGACAAGCCGTCAACGGCCCGCACGTATCACCGAGGCGCGTCCACCCGTCCGAGCCTGTTCAGACGGCATCTACCAGTTATCTGTCAGTCCCTGTGATAATTGAAATAAAAGTCATCTAATAAAAGTGTGATACTTCACTTTTGTTCAATATTCCATCCAACTGAGCATCCCAGTTTGCAGACTTTTTGATTGTGGTAGCTTTCAGTGTTCAGATCCAGCTCTCCGATCATCACATGTCAATAATTGAATCAATTTTAAAGAGATACAAGCTGTTGCATAACGAATTCCCCCTTTCTCATGTAGTATATCAAAACTTGAAACGGGCCCGTTGTTATATTCATATCGATGAGGTCCCCTAGTATATTGTCTCAAGGGACTAATGAAAGACACGCCTACCCCACTAACATTTACCATATTCTATCTGTCTCTTTTTCGTCCATTTCCCAAGGGTGTCACATTGATATTTTATTAGCGGAAAAGGTGTGTACATGCCTCCCCCCTCTTCCGGTACGCGGATATGTATGGATAATCGTTTTGTTAATAACATAAAAACAGTTATCATTAAGAAACCGACAGAACAATTATATATTCCTTTCCGTCTATCACCTCATTCAGTAGGGTTCCATATATTTTCTTTTATGTTGTCTTTTGGTGTCTGTGTATCGATACCAAAAAGTAATGAAATTGAGAATGAATCATTCATTCTCTCTCTGCCCCTCTCGCAACATTTTTGGGAAGGAGATGCATAGAAGACAATAAAAGAGCTGCTTAGTCACGTCAATTAATGACTTTTGATGAGGGTGGTGAACGACGATCAGGATGCTAAAATTAGGTGTTTGAAGCTGTTAACATCGAAACAACCGAAGTGGGTTGATTGCGAGATTCCAATGGATTGTAAAACATTTGTTCTGAGAAATAGGTTCTCTAGCTATTTATAGCTCCATAGCTCCCTTTTCACTGAAATTCGTGCAGCTATTCCTATACCTCTATAATATCTATTTTTGAAATGGGTCTGATTATACAAAGCTGTCTTTTATGAATTCACTCTACCGTAAGACTTTAAAAAGAAGGATCTCTTCAATTGTAACTTTGACCCATATTTGACTTATTTTTGGTATCTTGTATAGAATTTGAGATAATTTAGCTCAAACTTGACTATGTGGGGGCTCTTCTATTACCGGTTTACGGTATAACAAGTTTCAATTAGTACCAAACGGATGGTTCGCAAAATCAAGACATTATTGATTTCCGGTCATGAAGCTATCAGAAATTTCAATTATAATCCGTCTAAATTGTGATCCGTCTAATTATGATCCGTCTAATTCCGTCTAAAAGTGACTATGGCTATCTACATACAAACCCGCCAATTATTTCCATACCTTCCTCACTTTCCTAAATATTTGAAACACCTTGCTCCATGAAATCTTCCTTACATCATAATGTATTAAACCTCTTCCAGCCAACGCCGTCTCAATTGGTTAGCAGTCGTTCCTCAATAAACCAAGGGGCGTGGTCTCCATTCTACCGTAGTCTTTCTCCGTCTCCTTCAGCCAACGTCTTCTAAATCTTCTGACCAAGAACAAGAGAGAGCCCGCCTATTTTCTTCAATTGTTGTATGTCCACTCTACACTCAATTACTTAGATTTGGCTCCCAGAAGAACAAAAAAACACGTGGCTATCATTATGCAGGCATTCGATATCGAGTCGTTAATTGGAGTCAATAAGGTGAGTGATTTGATAATTTCTGTTATCATAATGTTGCTCAAAACTGATTCTCACAACAATTTGATACGTCTAAACGGAGTTTTGAGTAGGAAGAAATTTTGGCCATTCTATAACATGAAGTTGAATGTTGACTCAATATAATCATTTAAAGTTTGCCGGTGTAGGGATAAAGAATTTTAACATTTGCCATATTTCCCCTACTGAAGCCCACTCAACATTGTGCTCACTTATCTCTATTTCTGATAAAGATACCAATTTTTGATGAATTGAGAAATTGTTTATCATAATATCATCAATCTTTTATCAGTTGATAAATTTTTGATATCTCTCACAGGAATCGAGATAATTACGTTTAAAGTTGAGTGGGCTTCTATTAGAGGAAAATTTAGAAAATCCAGAGTAAGGTTTCCAGAAAATTCTTATCATGGAAACCTGAAAAGTGTCTTCACCTAGAAAAAGAAACTAAATTTCGGATATTAATTCTGTATGGAAGTTTCAATCCTCAAATCGATTCTCAACATGATTCAAACTTTCAAAACACAAAGAACCAGGGAATTCCAATACATATTTGTGTTTTTCCCTTTAAAATTTGACTAGTCAGTATCCTAGGATACTTACTTACGACACCCATAAAACATTCCCTTTAATGTAAATCCATCCTTCCTTTTCCGTTGTTTCCTCATTCTTCTCTTCCTTTCTTCCACAATTCTAATTCTCATTTCCAGGTCCCATCACTTGTTGTAGCTGAGATGGTTGCCGCGTCTCAAGCATCTCGATCCTTTTCTCCGCCATTCGAAAATCACGATCCGATGGGAGCAGTTTAGCTGCAGCCGCCGCTGGACGTCATCATCCGTATGGTAAGAAAAATGAAGATGAAGGAAGAGGGGGAAGAAAATAATTATTCAGAATACTTGTCGTTTTGGGGGCTCCTCTCTCCTTGTTTCCCTCTCATTACCCCTTGTAGGCGTGAGAAGAGAAGAAGAGGAACAGCTCCAAAATGACAAATTGAAGGAGATTGATTGAGGTTGAATTTCGCGCGGGGGAAAAAAGAGTGAGATGTAGACTGGCTTAGATTGGTATTTTGAGAAATGGAAGTGAGCACGATGAGCACCTATTAGAATTGACATGCTTCCAAAGATATATAGTGTAGGATTATGGAAGGAGGGGATTCTTAGTTTTTTAGCTAGAGCTAAATTTGGTGATGTGAAGAAGTAAAAGTCGTCCAATTAATCTTCTAAGTTTTTAGAAATTTTAAGATCCTCATTTGTGTTCGAAGATGGTAGATACAAAAAAAGTATTTAAAAAGGTGGAACTGTATTTTTCAAATCTTACAAAAGTTTCCAAATTCTGAAACGCACATTAACAGGTTCCGGAAGTTGGTTTTGATAGAAGTATTAAATTTTGTCAATTCTTCAGAATCTCTAGGTTTTAATTTTAATTCATTTCTCAATTCCAAGATTCCGTCAAGATTCAGGCTATCAAGGGGGGGGGCTACCGTATTTTCGCACACCCAAACTGCCAGCTTTAAGCTCATATATCTCGGCTCCCGCACGGTGTTTCAAACCAACGGGTCGAAAATCGCGCCCCAGAAAACTTTTAGGCCAGGCGAAATTTAATAACTTCAAAGTTGACGTGAATTTGACACGTTGCGCAGTGATTTTTCACGTTCGCTGGGGCGCGTTTTCCAACCAGGCTCTTTGAAATAGCGTGCTCCCGTGAAAGATACAAAGATATAATCGATTGACAAAATGTGCATCATAATCTCAAAAATATTTTATCAGTTGTCAAATTTTTGATATCTTATATAGGAACCGAGATAATTGAGAACAAAGTGCATGAATATCTATTAGAGCAAATACGGTAATTAGCAGTCAGCATTTTCCCACGCCTCAACTACCAAGTAGATTCCTATCCAGATGTTACTCTTTATCGATAGCATGAGTGCTCTTTTCCTCTCTAATCTTTCATGATCGTATTCTTGTTCTGATCTCTTTTTTAGTCACGCACCGCTCATCATAAACGACCTAAATGTTGCGGTTTGTATGAATGAGAGCGGGTGTCTGTGTGTGTGTCGATTCAGCTATTATATCGTAAATGTTCTCTCTTTTTGTTTTACAACTCCTTCTCACCTGCCTTGAGGACGTGTTACGGATTACTGTAGAATTGTGTTTCTCTCGTTTAGTGGTCAATTATCATGCAATCACTTTAGTTGCGAAGTATCGGTCTTATGGTCGCTGATTGTAGAGAAGCGAAACATGTTTTACTACTTCCAGAGAGTGTCTGTGACACCTCGTAAAACCTCGTAGCGCAGATTTTTTCAACTTTCTATGATTTCTTTCACCTATTCTCACATTCAATCGACCTAATGTTGCCATGAGCCTGCTGGCTGTTAATTGGTGTTGCGTGTCGAATCAGTTTCTCATTTTGGAGAGAGAAACACGGACACTAAACATGTCATAAAAAAGAGAGCCCCAATTATCTAATTGGAACAAACCAATCCAATTTGGGGAATTTCGAAAAAAAAGAGAAAGGGGTTGAGAGAGAAAGGTGTGAGATTTGAAAACTGGGAAGAGGGGGGGGGTTCTTGAAAAATATGGAAAGACGATTTTTAATGGAGCAGATTTTTTTGAAGTTAGTGTATGCATTCTGACGTAACCGTGTACAGTGTTTAGATTCTGCGAACCTATCGTGCCGCTTTTACATATCCCATCGTTCAGCCGCCTCAGCGCCGCCGTAGCTCAGCCGGTAGCATCCCATATCCTCATTTTTCTCCGTTTCCAACATTTCAAGCTGCTCGATGACAAACGTATTTTCCTGCTAAAAGCGAAAAACATATTATGTTTTCATCGTTCTTCAATAACTCATTTCGAATTCATCAATAAACGGCACAAATTACTACTCGATTGCTTCTTCTGCACCTCATCTTTCCCTGTTTTTCATTATTAGTATCCCTACATGTGAACCGGAATGTAACTAATTAAATTTTTATTTTTTCAGATAACCGAGATGATGGACAAATGCGACGATATCGAACGGCGTTCTCCAGAGAACAAATCGGAAGGCTCGAGAGGGAATTCGCTAAAGAAAACTATGTTAGCAGAAAGACTCGAGGAGAGTTGGCAGCTGAATTGAATCTACCTGAAGGCACAATTAAGGTTAGCAATCGGAGTACTGTAGCTTTGGTGCCCTTCAAAACCTCGAACAATTTCTCTGGGCAGAGAAAAAAACTTGTTCATAATTTGCTACCGTAATCCTTTTGAAGCGCCTCTGGCTCCCCCTCCCTCTCATCGTCAAAGCCAAATCATTTCTCATGACATAGCCCGGCTCTCGTATTTTGCGTCTTTTTTTCTTCTTCCTTACATACATACAACACATACATATCAATCTGTCTCCTTGAAAAATGAAAAAGCGCTCGGATGGTGGGGTGTCGGGGTCGGAGGGCCAAAAGCGTTATGAGTGATTTCGGAGTATCCAATTGATTCCCACTGGCATACTTTTGAAGACACAGAAAAGAGCATGCTCAAATAATATGATTTCTGGGAATGGAACAAGAATGAATCCTTTTTCAGGTATGGTTCCAAAATCGTCGGATGAAAGACAAACGTCAACGTATCGGTGGCATCGGATGGCCATTTCCTCCTCAAATGGCCGCTTATATGTTAAACCCATTTGCCTATGAAATGTGGGTCAAATCAGCCACCGCATCTCAATTTGGAGCCTCTGGAGTCCCTGGAGCATTTCCAAATGGAGCAAGGTAAGACAAATAATCATTGTATTATTTTCTCTATAGGGAAATTTTCAGCGGTAACTCAAATCCTGCTCAACTAGCTGCATCTGCGTTTATCAATCCACTTGGTTTCCCGGGATTCCTCCCACCAAACCCTGCACTTTCAAAATCTCCGTCATCACCTCATTCAGATGATTCTTCGAAATCAAAGAATACGTCAAGTGATGATGATGATTCTAAGCCTGTCAACTTTTCGAATAGTCCCTCTTCAAGTTCACCATCTCCATATTCCACAGATTCATGATTCTCTTTTTTCTATTTTCCATTTTTTGAAAAAAAAATGCCATTCCCTTTTTTTGCTTTCGTCTCTCATTCTACAAACAATCTCTGACAAATTGACGGTGAAAAATGCCCCCTTCTTATGTAGATTATTTTTCTTTCATGCACCCATTCTTCTTTTTTTCTGTTAATTACTTTTCCTCAAGCAAACGACTTGCAGATGAGCTCTGCCGAAACGCTCCAGATTTTGGAGATTTTTAAAGTGAATTCAAAAAATACAGTAGAGCGCGTTCACAAGCCGTTTGCCTGACCTATAATTTGATGTTTTTCTTGCTTCAATTTTTTTTTAATGCACCCTTCCATTTTGGACCAAATAAATTTTTCATGCTGAAAAAAGACTTCAAATTTTAACGAACCAAGTACTCAACATTTTCAGACAAACTTCCAAAATCTGCACTCAAAGCAGACGTTTAAAATTTCAAAAAAAAAAATTGAAGAAGAAATTAAAGAAGATACCGTAACACTCTAATAGAAGGCCACTCGATACTTGAATTTTGAGCTCAATTACCTCAATTTCGATAAGAGATGATAAAAATTTGTCAACTGATAAAATGTTTATCATGATATCATCAACATTTTATTAGTTGGCGCATTTTTGATACCTCTTATAGTAACCAAGATAACTGAGCTCAAAGTGCAAGCATAGGAGGACCTTCTATTAGAGTGCTTACGGTATCCTACTATTTCCTTTGAAGTAACGAGTAATTTAGACTAATATGAAAAAAATTGCTTTTCAAATCTTTCAAAACCAAAACTTTGATAGTCTTTAAGAAGTACAGTAATCCGTTCTCTGAAAGGTAAGTGCATTTTTTCATCTGTCTGCTTATTAATGCCGTCTAAACAGCAAATTTGAGAGCACGACTACAAAACCTTCTTGACTACTGTTGGCAAACAAAAATATATTCTTTCTCTCGAATCTTCAACAATTTTTTTCGTAATACAAACTATAATTCAGTTGCGAAAATGTCAACCTCACTCCAGATATCAATCCGAAGAAATCGAGAATTTATCGACTCTCAACCCTTTTTTACGCGATACTCTGACAGCTGGTATACACCGAGTTATGGAGATTTATCGAGTTTAGCTCATTCGATATCTCAAAAGTTTATCTTAACCTTTGAATTTGAAAAGAAGGCATCTTGACTTCAGAAAAATTTTTTCGAGGGACTGAAAATGAAAATGAAGACTCTTATTGAGTTTTATTACATCTCCATTTCTCTACTTTCTTATTCTTCCATCTCAATTTAGCAAGCTAACACGAGGTACAAGTGAACAATTTATAAGTGGATGATGGCTCATAAAGTGTGTGGTTCTCTGTTGTCTCGACATGCTCCGATGATCCGGTATCCTCTCCTCTAAATGATTAGTACTTTTCATTTCGTATCCTTGGAAGGGGGTGAGGCAGCAGGGGCAGCAGATGATGATAGATGACGAAGACCGGCGAAGAACAGGGGACCATCTTAACTCTCAAGTAGTTGACACTGATTTGCATATGGCTTGGCACCCGCATTATACTCTCTTTTGGGGTTAAGAATTTTGTTAAAGTAGAGATGAGGGGATTCAGTGGTCATTTATTACTTGAAACATGTTGTTGCGTATTCGAGACAATGAAATACTACATTTGAGAATGACGAATCTATTAGGGAAGAATCTGAGATGGGAGGGAAAGTTTCGAATATTGATTACTGTAAAACCTGTAATAGAAGGGCATCCACATTGTCAATTGAGTTAATTGTTTTGAGTCCTTTGCAAGATATAAAAAATAGATCAACTGATAAAATTATCGTGATGTTATGATAAGCAATTTATCCGTTGACAAATTGCTGGTATCTTTCATAGAAATCAAGATAATTGAGCTCGAAGTTGACGGTTTGATTGGGCTTCTATTCGAGGATACGGTATCTGAAAATTTAGAAATCCAGACTTTCGAATGCAACATAATCTGGCATGAAAACCTGAAAAGTTTAAAACCTATCCCAAATTTTTATGACCAATTTCAAAATACGAGAAGAATGTTTTTCACACAGATTGCTGATCTTTCACTCGTTTTCTTGTTTTTTTTTCCTACTCTGGTAATCGGTTTCCAACCAGATTCGGGAAAATTCCGGAGCAGAAATGGCTAGATCTGGTTAGAAAATTGTCCGAATCAGGTTGGGAAATTAGTTTTTTCGGTCGGATCTGGTCAGAAAATCACCGGATGTGGTCGGAAAAAAAACTTTCCGAATCTGGTTGGAAAATGCGCGTTCCCGAATCTGGTTGGAAAATTGCCCGAAACTGGTTAGAAACCGATTACCAGAGTACAGTACCCTACAGTATTATTTTCGCTTTACAACTTAAAGGTGGGGGGACAGGAGATTTTTCGTAGTTTTTTTGTAGCTAGAGTATGCATTCTACCGTCACGGTGTACAACGCTTAATGTCACTCTGCGTACAGCTGTCGTCCTCGCCTTTATGTATGCAATCGGGAGTGCGCTTTTTCTTTGCCCGCGTGGCTCAGTCGGTAGCGGCGCCGCACCCTCAATCATCGCCCTCACAAGTTCAACTCCTCGAGGGGCATCTTTGAACGGAATTTCGAGAAAATTATTTTTTTCATGTCCCCCCACCTTTAAGCTTCTCAAAATACAAAGAAGGCTAGAAGCTTGTTTTTCTATATTTTTCCATGTAAAAATGTTCCAAGTACATTTCCAGGTTTACCGCTAATCATGTTCGGAAATCACGACAAACAAAGAGCGCGCTCGCGCCGTGTTATCAACAGAGCGCGTTTGCAGCAGTGTCCGAATTTGCGGCGTGCGCGCGTTCCTCGCGGAATTCCTCTAGTTTTTTGTGCGCAGTATCGACCGACATCTTCTCATCGTTCGCATAATTAACCTTGTCGTTGTGTTTATTGATTTTGTCGTTTTTTTCAGAATGGTTGCTTGTAAAGTGGAGGAAGCAGATGCGGGTGTTGGAGCAACTGTGAAAGTTGAAACGGGCAATGGATTGGTCAGCGAAGGAATCGTGATTTCCTTCGATAAGGCAAGAAACGTCAGTTCGTTTGATTTCATTCAACATTTGATTGTAGACATAGTTTTTAAATAAGAATAATTCAAAATCAAGTATATAAAGCTTCAGATGCTGGTTCTCGACACCAAGGAAATCGCTTCCAGCAAACCAATAATTCGCATATTCAACAGTAAAAACCTCAAAAACGTAAGTTTTTGTTTGCTTTTCCTTTGCATTATTTTTTTTCAGGTCAAAGTGGTGTCGCAACCAGTTGACGAAAGTGCAAAACACGCCCAGGAGAAAATGTCTCAGTTTACAATGAACAATCCTCTAACTGGAAACAAAACCACTGATAGATTAGTCAAAACTCTCGGGGAGATGCGTCCTAGTGTGATGAAATCGAATGTCCCGATTAATGGTCAACAAGCATATCTCCAACTCAAACTTACAATCGCGGATACTCACTGGGCCGGAGAGAATATCCGCGTAATGGGTCATGTTCTCGTCAAAAAACCGTACAATGTGGACAGTGTGACAAAAGATACGACGGCTCCTGGATACGAAGAATCACGAGCCAACACGGCACTTCTTCAGGTTAAGAAAATACTATCGAAGCCATTAGCTGAGAACGCACCACGTCATCCGCTGGATTTCACTATTGGAGCAGTCGTCGGCAACTAGTTTCATTCAGTTCAACTTTTCTTTTCCTTCTCCCCTTCCCCTTTCAAAAAAGGTACCTGAAGCTGATGAGTTCAATTTTCTTTTCTCAGGTAATGTCTGGCTATTCATGCGAAGTTCTGGAACTTTTTTTTTCCATTTTTACATTTATAAAAATACTGAGAAAATGAAATTGGCTGATTCTCATCTGCGGGTTTCTTCAGGTATCTCTTTTCCCCCTCTCCCTTTAATTTATGCACTATTAAAATGTACGTAACAGTTGATTTCCTCTCAATTTTTGACATAAAATCAACTTTCCCTTCCCCCTGCATTTGAACCTTTTCATGCATTTTCTCGAGTAATATTTATGTTCCCATAATTATTTTCAGAAAGTTTTTTTATTGAAAGAGTTATCTATATATTTTTTATTGAATTCGTCTGTGTATTAATATATCGGTCTTATGACTCCGTTTCATTCTTGAAATAGTTCCTCATGTCGATGATCATACAGTCTTTCAGTATGTCAGACGATGATGATATTCCCCAGCTCTCCGCTGAAACATTGGCTGCTCTCTCCATGTTCCAAGCAGAGCAGCAGCAAAAGTATGAAGAATTAAAGTCTGGAAAAATTGAGAAAATCGATGAAGATTGGCAATTGAGTCAGTTTTGGTACGATGATGATACGTCCAGAAAATTGGTCAGAGAAGGCATCGCAGCCGCACTGAAGAGCGAAGGGAGACCGGCAAGAATCGGATGCGTATCGTCTCCAACGCTAGTCAAGTTTTTCCATGAAACAGAGGTGTGTGCCAGCTCTGTTCAGAAATTCGTTTCGTTTTCAGGAGTACAAAGAAGGTCAGCTAACACTAACATTATTTGAATTTGACTCTCGCTTCGGTATGAAGTTTCCAACCGAATTTGTATTGTACGACTACAAACAACCAACGCAACTGCCTGCTGAACTTCTTGGAAAATTCGATGTGATCATTGCCGACCCGCCGTTCTTGGCAGCTGAATGCCTCATCAAAACCGCCCACTCAATTCGTTTACTGGGAAAGGAAAATGTGAAAGTGATACTTTGTACGGGCGCAATTATGGAAGACTATGTCAGTAACGTTTGAACTTCAGTTCTGTCTTTTCGATGAAAAAAATGAAAGAGAAACCGAAATTTTAAAGAAAAAAGAACACACTCAAGACATAGACATTTATCGTTCGATTTCTTTTCTAGAGAATGCGATTCGATTGATTGATAACAGTAACCGGTATAAAAGTACCTGCACCGTTGAAAAGTAAAAGATATCGACACGCACCCTTCTGACATATATTTCAATGACGGAGTCGTTCTTTTTGTTTCTATTTTCGTTTAGGGTCGATTCTCCTATTTTGCACTGATAATAATTCTCCAATAAACAATGCCCGGGAGCCACCTGTAGAAGCTAGTTCTTTTCCCACGCATCCTAGAAATAGTGATAAAATTCTCATGATTCTTGATCTTTGATACTCGAACAGCTCCTCAAAATATTCATTTTCTCTAGCACATCAATCTCCAATCCTTTTAATTAGAGTCGCTATTCCTTTTCTGAGTGGATTATCTCTCTCTACGCCTCCTCTGAAGAAATAATCCTCTGTTTCAGGCTTCTCGTCTCATGGCAATGCACCGAACTAGTTTCGAACCGAAGCACACTAATAATCTAGCCAACGACTTCTCTTGTTTTGCCAACTATCAGACGAGCACATTTTGAATTTTCTTTTTGCATTACTTTCTGATTTGTATCCGGTTTCGCTCATCCTTGTTTTCCACTCGCTTGTTAACTTCCTTGTTATTTTTGTTACTCATATTTTTTCATTGAAAAAAAAGTTTATTGACTTCCATACATTCTTCTTCTATCTCTATCTCTGTGTTTCTTACACATCGTCTATCTTTTTTTTCCAATTTTCGTATTAGAGTTTTGATCTAGACAGTGTTATCATTTCAGAATTTCTTGATTGAATTCGATGTGAAGCCTGGTTTCCACGGATTTCAAACCTCCTCTCTTTTTATTGGCTCTCACAATCTCATGTCAGTTCTGCTTCTTATTGGACCTAGTTGTTTTAACTGTGTCTCTGTTTTCAGTGTATACCGTGTATACTACCTTCTGATCACTGCGTGATCAAACAAAATGGCACCAACGGGTCAAGGCGGGCAATGGCAGGAAGTGCTGTGTTGTTCGGTTTGTAACAAAGTAGGTTGACGGTACCAATAGCCATCGGAAAACGAATAAATTTGCAGCATTTTAATGAATCATTCCTCCCGGTGAGTTTGATTTGCGGTCATGTCATATGCCGCAAATGTGCTGAGAAACCAGAAAGCCAATTGAAACCATGCCCCCATGATGATTGGAAGACAACCATTCCACCATCAGAATACCCCAACAACGTGGCGCTTCTATCTGTCATCTACCCTCGGAAACAATGCATGATATTTTCTGGAGCAAATACTGACGATGAAAAACGAATCGATCATCTTTCCATCCAGATCGCCAAGTTTTTTAGAGAAGCTGATAGTGAAAGAGGTGGAACTGTGTCCAGTAGAGTGAGTTGTAGAAATGCTAGGTTTTGAATTAGTGTTTGTTTCCAGGAGATATCCCGAACACTTCAACGAAAAGTTCTGGCTCTACTTTGCTACCAATGGCGGGAAAATGATGGTCGTCTGAAGACATTCAAAATGTGTCGAGGAATTAGTGAACGAGTGATGATTGAAATTATTTTATCGATACAAAGCAACACGCATGTCAGCAGCCAATTATGGTCAGCGGTGCGAGCTCGTGGTTGTCAGTTTCTCGGACCCGCGATGCAAGATGATGTCCTTCGTCTGATTCTGATGACGTTGGAGACTGGAGAGTGTATAGCTCGGAAGAATCTTGTGATGTACGTTGTGCAAACTCTTGCCTCTGACTATCCCCAAGTATCGAAAACTTGTGTTGGGCACGTGGTTCAACTTCTTTACCGTGCTTCGTGCTTCAATGTTCTCAAACGAGATGGAGAATCGTCGTTGATGCAGTTAAAAGAGGAATTCAGAACTTATGATGCTTTGCGTAGAGAACATGATTCGCAAATAGTGCAAATAGCATTCGAATCAGGACTGCGTATTGGTCCCGATCAATGGTCAGCTCTTCTGTATGCAGATCAGTCTCACCGTTCTCATATGCAATCCATTATCGACAAGTTGCAGTCGCGGAATACATACCAACAAAGTGTCGATGAGCTGAAAATTCTTTTCAACTCACAATCGCCGTTTGTACAAATACCTGCATACCGGAATTTTCTGACTCAAGTGATCCCTTGTCTGGAGTATTTTGGAACAATCGATCAGGAAACCATAACGATGTCGATTGTCGCTGAAAGTTTGTATCAAATCAAGAAGATCCTTCGTCTCCACTGTTCGCACGATGATTTGAGAAGGATGCCCAAGGAAGAACGAAGAGCATTACTGACACAAGGAATGATGCCTCCTCCTCCGCCACTCTATCCCCTCTACACTCATCTTGATGAAAATGGGAGATCTGTGAGCAGAACTGAATTCAACAAACCCGTAGAAAATGTCAGAGAGAATACACCGTCCCATACTCCACCGAATTCCAAGCAGCCAACAACTTCACAGCAACAACAACCACAGCAACAAGGAGGACAGGGACAATTCACGCCACGACAGAAACGGTATCAAATGGGAATCCCACCAAACCGAATGGGCTACGCTTCACAACATCATCATTTCACCCCTGGACCACAACAGATACCACAGCAATACTATAATCCTCAACCAATGCAACCACCACCAATGCAAAGAGTTCGAGGACGACGAATGAACGGATTACCACCACCTCGTCCAGGATGCATGCCTATGATGTTTCCTTATTCTCCAGAAATGATGCCTCCAGCTGGAGTACCACAGAATGGGACGGTTCCTCTTATGCAAACAGCTAACGTAGTGACCGCTGATGGTACAGTAGTCAATGGAACACCACAAAGGGTTATGATCATGCAATCACCTACTCATATGAATCAGGGACCAGTTGTCATGGTAATTCGAAAATATAATAGTCTGAATGATCAAGAATTTGTTTTAGATCCCGCCACAACAAATGGGTCCTTCACAAACGCCGGTTCCAATGGGTGCCATGACTCCATCAGTTCCTGTTCAAATTCCTCCAGCCATGTGGACTGCCACGTCACCAACTGGCAGTATGATCTTCCCGACGGCTTCACCACCTGGTCAACATCCGCACACAATTTGGATGCAAACGTGAGGAAAAAAGTTTCGGAAAATGTATACTCATTTCAGTTTCAGAACCGACGGTAACATGTTCCCTATGTTTGACAGCGGAAATTGTTGGGGAACAACTGGTGCTGATGCTGAACAACTTCTGGCTAAAAGAAACGAGATCTTGAAACGCTTGCATACGTCTGAAGAAGACGATGAGCCTGAAGACAGTGGCATTGGACACGTTTCTTACACTGTCGCTTCTTCGGTTCTTGATGACAGGTTTCAAACTCAAAAATTCAAGTTCTACATTACTTTTCATTACAGAATGGACCATATTCCAATTCAAATGATACCTGTTCCAACCATAGACCTTCCGCCCATTCCAATCAGTTTTGCCTCAATGCCGAATGATGAAACCATGACAATGATAGGGGAGATGGTGCAACAAAATCGTCCTCGTGCTCCGTCACTAACGAATCAGACAACCGGACAACCGATAATTGCTGCTGTTGGTTCCGCGGCTCCTGCTACGGTCCAATCTGATTGTGGTACGATGAGTGTGATGGATAGTATTTGTATGCCGATTGCCACATCGGTTATTCATACTTGTGGGTGGAGTTGGTTTGCATGTTTCTTCTGATCTCAAAACACGTGGCGAATGTTCTCGGAGGCCCCTTTTCCCTGCACGATTACCTTGATGTCTTGTTATTATTATAATTGCTAACTTCCTACTTCTTCTAGCCTTACTAATTTCAGCAACTGGAATTGCACAGCCCGTGATGCCCATGGTTCCTGTTGTTCCAGTCCAAGTTCCAGTTGTTCCAGCTGAGAGCTTCAATCCATCAGTACCACCACCACCTACTCCTGGACAACCAATGCTTGTGGACACAGCAACTGGTTTGCTCACTCCAATCAGACCAATTCTCGTGCCTCATCCACAAAATGTTGTTTCGAATTCCCTCGACAAAATTGTGGATGTCAAGGAGCGGCTCAGCGAAGCTCAAGGTAAGTATTTCATTTTGATAATGATAGCAGTTCATAGAATGTTTAGGAAACGTCTCCGAAGCCGAAAACGCCCACCTTCGCATGGAATTGCGAATGGCTGAAAGTGAAATGGCTCATCTCGACCCCTACACCAAGAATAATTGCTTGCTCCGCGAGCTTCATCAAGTTGATATGGAACTTCAGCAGCTCCATATCAACCCAGCCGTCGAGGGATAGCTCGACCACAATTTTCACTTTTTTTTCCGGATAGATGGCAGTGGCTAAGCTCGTCGGTTAATTTAACTCCCTAATAGAAGTTTTTGTCTTATCATCGTATGTATTGTATCGCCCGATATTTGCATATTCAAGCACAACCCCCTCTGGTTATGGCTTCATTTTTAAGTCAAGCTAGTTCCACTTTAGAGCTTCTCACAAATAATTTTTTTGCTTAAAAAATATTTCCATTCTCGATTCGCTTTTTTCCCTGATTCCCCCCGTTTAATTGAACATTTCCATACACTCGCAGTCCCCTAGTTTTCATATCTTTGCTAAAATATTGATATGTTGTACGTTTTAGAATCCGAAAGCACTATTTATGTATTTTCTCACTAGTCTTTTCATTCGTTTGCCCATGGATCACTCGCGTTTTCTATAAAAATAAAACCTTCCCGCCGTTGATACTCGAAGAGTTGTGTCTAGGTCGATCCACCCTAGAGTTCTCTTATTTTGACACCTCGACATCGTGATGTGCTGATTCATTCGACGGCTTCCAGGAATGGCGGACACCACAATTATACCGTCTTCCTCGTCACTATCCCCTAATACAGCATTCTCTCAAATCATTCAACATAAATCTCAGTCATCGTTCACAGAAGAGCCAGAAGGTGTCCCCAACTTGAGCCCTTCTGGGTATGAATGTATTAGATACATGGGTAAAGCTTCAAAAAATGAATTAAAAAACGCAATTCTGACATTTCAGGAGCCTGCAATGGTGGGCAAATATATCTCGGAAAGAGAATCAGCCTTCACAGTATGGAGAGGAAATTTGTCGCCATTAAAAAGTACAGCATTGATGATATCGATGATTATGCTGCTATTGCAGTGAGTTTCCTTGAGAATCCCAGTGCACATCCTCATGCTTTCAGAAAGAAACTGCTTATCTTCGATTACTGCAACATCCGAACATTGTGGAACTCACTGCATCTTTTGTCTATGAAAAGTCCATTTATCAAATGACGCCTGCAATGAATTTAGGATCTCTTTTCGATATTGTATTTGAATACAAAAAGTGGGGACTCAACGAGAAAGCGATAGCTGGAGTTACTATTCAAGTTCTCGAAGGGCTTCACTATTTACACGAGAGAAGATATATTCATAGGTTCGACATATTCTCACCCACACCATTTTCAATATTTCGCTTTTTAGAGATGTGAAACCTAGACACATTCTTCTCGACTCGGCGGGTAATGTGAAACTAACTGGATTCCGTTACATGGTTGAATTGAACCATCACCTGGACTGTGCTTTCGAATACGACACACATCTTCAAAATCAGATGTACTATCTTGCTCCTGAAGTCGTCGCTCAGAATATGCACGGCTACACTTCGAAATCTGATATTTATATGCTGGGAATATCTGTCTGTGAGGCAATAAACGGAGTGATGCCATTCGGTGAACTGGAACCTTTGGAGATGTTGTTCCGCAAGGTTAATGGACAAGTTCCAAGACCAGTGGATAAGAAAAGTTTGGAAGATGATGCAGATATGGGAATTGATATATGTAAGTGAAGATCTTTTATGAGACGACGTTGCCCAACATCACGTCATCCATACTTGTAATCCGAGACTTTCCCGGGCCTTCGCGGGCTATGCCATAGTTTCTTTGAAAATTATTATTTTTGGACCAACTAAAGTAGATATGATAGAAGTCGGCGAGCACTAGAAAATGATACTATTTGGAATACTTTATCTTCTCTATGAATGAAATTACAGACCGAAATAGGCGAAAAAAGCAGGCCCGGCCCGGCCCGGCTCGGCACGTCCGGGCACAGCCACTTTATTTTCTGTAACTTTGTTCATAGAAAAGATACAATATTCCAAACTCTATCATTTTGTAGTGCTTGTTAAGTTCTATCATATCCAATTTAGTTGGTTTAAAAATGAAGATTCTGAAAGAAACTATGATAGTGCCCGCGAAGGCCCGGGAAATTCCCGGATTACAAGTTTGACGTCATCCGTTTGCAATATTCGTTTTCAGCTATGCGCCCAGCTGACCATCTAACTCGTGTATTCTCACAAGAGATGCACCATTTCATCTCCAACTGTCTAAATTATCATCCTGAAATGAGGTAATTATTATTTAAATCATTATCGAATCATTCAATAACACTTTCAGAGGAACTGCCTCCGAACTGAAAGCTTCCCCATGGCTTGGATCTGAGGAAATGAAAAAAATAGGCCCATTCCAAGTCCAGCAAGAATTGGGACTCGATTATTCGCACTTTGATTTGGGACTCTGGTCTCAAGAACCTCTTCTGCCGGCTGAACCGGAACAGAAATACGAAATCGCTTTCGACTACTCGCCAATCTCATAAAAATCAATCATCTCAATTGCTTATTTCTAACTCTTCTTCTGTTATATTAGTATTGTATTTCGAACAAACACTCTTCTGTAAAACCACCCTGATAACAACTTATGTGTTCAATTAGAAGCTGTAAATATATTTATTTCTGATCTAACTAAGCCTGAATCAATACAAACAGCACGCATTGTTTATTTTCTGCTGGAACGAATAAACACATTCAATGAAGATCGATAGTGGCTCATGCGAGTTTTGAATTGGGAAGAGAGAGAACTTGAGTTTCAAATAGGGGATAAGTAAAGGCTAGATAAATTGGATTCACAAATATTTGGGGAGAGTTCAATGAAGAAATTTTCAGATTTGCAGACAAATAACTTAGGAGATATATGGAGAAATTAGGCGAGCATGTAGATGACTGAAGCATCTTGATGAGCAGATCCGAGTGGGTTTTCAGCGACGCAACGGAACGATTCTGAGATGGTCTCCTCGTCTCCGACTATCAAAAGATCTCCGTTGGGAAGGTGCTGAAAACGATGGGAATATTAGAAACTGTGCTTGTTGGAACGTTTTTAAGAAAATTTTTTACTCGATTTTTCCGGTGGAATGCAAGCTTTTCTGAGTAACGGGCCGGCCCTTCTATTGTTCCAAGGTATCTCCGGAGGGCTTTTCAATTACAGAGGGCTCTTCTATTTTTCCGGACATTTTTCCCGAAAATAATTATCGAAAAATTTCATGAGTTTTAGTTCAAAATGCATGAAAATCCATTAGTTTTACCAAAATTCATATATTATGAAGCAAAAAACTGCGTTTTAGCAAATTTCTGTGAAGTTTCTGATTTATGGGAACTTTTCACTGAAAATGTACGAAAAGTTTTAATTTCAAACAATGCATTTTGAATAGGGCTCTTCTATTAGAGGGACCTTTCTAATACAGAAGAGAGAGATGCCTAAAAGCCGCCGATGCCTAAAAGCCGCCGCGCCGACACGTGACGCGTCTAAAATGGCTTGGTCCCTTCCGCGATGCCTTCAACCCAGGAATGTGCCCACCAACCATATAGTTTCGTTGTCCTTCGATCGAACTCAAAGATTCATCCTCCTCGATCTTGTACCATGTTGTTTTCGGTGCTGGATATCCCTGTGTCCGGCATGCCAATTGAGTCACTCCTCCTGGAAGTTCGATGCGAGACAGGGTGAAAACGGAGATCAGTGGTGGTGATTCAAGGGGTTGACGGAGTGACTTGCACGTTCCGGTGATAGATTTTGGAGCTAAAACAATGGTTACTCATTTTTGTCTGTATTGAGAATTTCGAACCTTTATTAATGGATACGACTGATGATGTGACAACTGGTTGAGTGCATGGCGACGTGGCTTCACAGAAGTATTCTCCAGCTGTACGCTCATCCAAACAATCGATTCGAAGTGCTGAAATTAAAAAAGTTGCGTTGCTATTCTCGGAAAAGAAAGCGTTAATTATTTGACACTCATGTGACTACATCTGTTTACTCGGTTTGCAGCCTTTCTCGAATTCGTTTTTGAATAGACAAACGAAAAGAAGTTCGAGTTTGGGGTTGACATCATCTTTCAAACTTCATTTTCCAAAAAAGCTGATTCATTATCTCACCGGATTCAACGACGGATTGTCCGAGATTAGTAGCGGAGAGAAGAGTTTCGAATTGAGCTGCCGGATGAGTTTCGACACGTTTTCCTCGGTGATACCAAGTGATCGATGGCTGGGGAGATGCATAGAATGCACATCGGAGAACAAGACTGTTGCCTCGATTCGCTTTGATATTCTCGAGTGGTTTATCGATTGAGAGAATTGATGGCTCGATTAGACCATCACAAACTGAAGGAACATCAGCTACCTGTAACGATTTTTTCGGATTAGTGGAGTTACTGTAATCTAGAAGGTTGATATGGGAAGTAGAATGCTCGATTATCACTTATCCTAGTACCATCTACCGTATTCCGATAGAATGCTGGCAATCTTTCTCTTGCTGTGCATTGTCTTAATTTGAACTTGTAATGGTATGATGGAATACTCTTGATGACCTGATGGCGGTAGCACAACTTTAGAATCGATGGTTTCACTTCTCAACGTTTCGGCTGGAGAGCCATCATCAGGAGAGCAATTACCTACCGTATTCCCTAAATAGAATCCCACCCAAATCGTCAACTTTGAGCTCAGTTATCTTGATTCCTGTTAGAGATATCAAAAGGTTGACAAGTGATAAAATAATGGTGATAATGTGATAAAAATTTTTATCAGTTGACTAAATTTTGATATCTCTCATAGGAATCGAGATAATTGGGCCTAGTGTTGACAGTTCGGGTCGGTTTCTATCGGGTGGAATACGGTGTGTAGAACTTATGCTCCGCGTCACTTCGAAACCGGTCATTTCGAAACCGTGACAATACAAGCGATTGGATAAATTTCAGACCACAAAAGAAATTTTAGGGTTTTAATTATGCTTTTTCTGATAGATCATGTTCTGAAAATCGAAAAAATTCAAAAAAATATTTAAATTAAACTTTGGCTTTTTTGGATTTGACAATGTGTTCTACCAGAAAAATCCTATTTTGAAACCCTAACATTTTTTTTAGTCTGAAATTTATCCATTCGTCTGTAGGACCACGGTTTCAAAATGACCGGTTTCAAAATGTCGCGGTTTCGAAATGACGCAGAGCCAGAACTTATTGCTGCAAAGTTTTAAAAATGCCCATTTATGTACATTATAATGAAAATTCACTTTTGAAGTTCTTGTAATCTGAGAACCCTTTACATAATTTTCGATTTTTTTCTTCTTCAAAATTCGGCAACATTTTTTTCTGATCTCCGGAGAGATCAAGTGGAGGCGTTGATTCTAACCTTTGTCGTCGACACGTGGGAACCCAGAAGAATGATGGATAGAATAGCGTGGTTCAATGGTGATGGCATCCTGAAGTCGTACTGATTTGAAGAGGGTATATGAGTGAAGATGCGAGCCATTTTAAGACAAAATCATTAATTCTTTTTTACTTTAGTTGACGAGATTCTTGGAAGAGGATTTCTTTTTGGGATCATCCGTCTGGGATAGGACACTTTTCAGTTCTCTGGTGTGATGGGAGAGGACAAAAATCAGAATGATTCATCTAGACTTCAGAAAACGTTCTGTTTGGATTCAAAGAATGGAAATTGAATATGAAAAATTTCAAAAATTTTCGCATTTAAACCGGAAGGAGCACATCAGGAAATCAACGGATATCCTATTTGAATATCCACAAAGAAGAGCACAAAACCAAAAAAAAACCAAAAATTGAGACTGCGTTTCCGGTTGAACTTTTGTGTGAAAATGAAAAAGAGAAAGTGGGAAAAAATATGAGAAAGAAGGAAATACTTTGTTCTGGAGGGAGACCTAATTAATGACGACGAAACGTTTGGGTCCATTAAATGAGTCTGGAATGCAATTCTATTTTGAAAAAAATGAAGAAATTTATAGTTTAGGGTTTCCGTTTTGTTCCACTGGAGTCTAGAGAATCCCTACGATTCGCGGCAGGTACCACTAGTATACTAGTCGGAAGAATTTTAGGAAGACGCGGATTCAAAAATGTGTAGTATTAGCTGAGAATTCAATCCGATTACATATGAGTCGAATTGAATTTTAATTTTAAGAAGCTTCTGACTATAAGTTTGCTGAAAACTTATTGTTAGCTTCTAGATTTTCAGAGATCCGAATGGTTGGGGACAAAAAATGAACTCCAGGCTAGCATATATAATATTAAATGGGTCAAAACACAGTGCAGTTCCTTTTTAATTGTCAGATGAAATTTTTGAAACCACACATCACATTAAAACGGTCATAAAAATTTTTCAATGCATATTCTGACTAGTCTATTCTTAAATCTTAAAAGCTAGAAAAGAAAATAGAGTTTCTAAATGAGAAAAGGAGAAATAAGCCTCTAGGAGAGTTGAACTTGTGGGACGAGTAATGAATTTACGGCACCGCTCCCGACTGAGCCACGCGAGCGAAGCTATAGCGGCGGTACCATACACCAAAGCTCCCGAAAAGTTTCTTATTTAAACCTTCGAAATCAAAGAATTATAATATCTGAGGATTAAGGAATTTTCAAATCTCAGAGTTCTCGAGTTTAGACCTGACTTTAAGATTCTAGAGGAGTTTTTCTAGGTTTTTTTCCCGCCAAACAAAAGATCCGAGTCGCCTAAAATCAGAATTATCAAATTTCAGCTGTTCCACACTTCCAGAAAAATGTCATTTTTCGTCACAAACCAAATGGGAAATTCTGCCATTCGACTCTTTTTTTTCCCATCCGTAGAAGAATGGAGAATAAAATGTGAAAAACAGATAATAATTGAGCATATTCGGTGGAAGAAGGAGAAAAGGCTAAAGTTAGAAATAAAACTATGAATAATTGACACAGAACACCCCCTTTTTTACTTTGGTTCGTCCTAGAGACAAAAAACTTTTCCGGACAGAAGAGTCAGATGACGTGGAGAATGGAAGAAAGAGGGATGAGCTGGAAGAAATCAGATGTGAAATGAGTAACGAAACGATAAAAGAATGAGAGGATAATCGGGGTGGTCCTCCGAACTCCTACGCCAATGAAACAAAGAGTCACGTCATCTGAAAATATGAGGACAAAGAGAAAAGGTTAGAAGAAGGAGGGATGATGTTTCTCGAAACTCTTTCGAACATTTTTAATCCGCTTCCTTGATCTGATAATCCGTTCAATTTGACGAAATTTGGAGATTCCTTTTTCCAGAGCACAATTTTTCATCGGTTCGAAAATTTCAGAATGATTTTCCTATTATATCGTTATTATTTCCCGAAAGTTATCAGTTTTCAATTTCTGAAAAAGTAATGCCTACAACAAAACACAATTTCGTTCACTTTTTCGGTTGAATACCACGAATTAGTAGAAACCGAAAAGATGAGTAAATGAGTGAGCAATAGTAATATAATACTTGTTTTTTGTCAGTTTTAGTTTTCAGGTGTTCTACATAGAGGGACAAAAAGAAGTCAGGCAGATCTAATTGGAAAAAAGTTTGGTAAAGGAATACAGAGATGGGATATTGATAAAAGCGGAAATGAAGAAGACGTCAACGGAAATTACTATGATCAATACTGGAGGTCGCTTTATAGTAGTGGTGGGGAGACATGAAAAAATAACTGTCTCAAAATTTTTTTCATTTCAGCCTTTTGAGAAGTTGAACTTGTGAGAACAGTATTGAAGGGGCGACGCCGCTACCGACTGAGCCACGCGGACGAAGCTAGGTCGGCCGCCCGATGGTATGTACATAAACGCGGGTACGATATTACACCTTAAACGCACACAGGGAAATCAAATTTTGTTATTTTTGGCATTCTCATGGAATTTCGACTTCCGCGAGCTTTCATTAAAGTGAGAATCAGTTGATAGATCAGACTGAAATGAGCTACTCAATAACAAATAAAGCCCTTTTTTTTGCTTAGAAAAATTCCTTGTCCGGAAACTTTTGGAAATTTCCTAGAAATTGTGCGAAATGTTTTTTGCAGAAAATCAACTGAAAAAGCTTATGAAAGTTCAAGGAAGAGACTTAGCATCATCACGGTGGGAACTTTGGCTACAAAGTCACTACAAATTCCTGGAAAACGTTCAATCCTTAGAATCTTTAGATTTTTGAGCTGAATACTTTATGCAAACTGTTGAGAGTCTTTTTCGAATACCTATAAACTACACACACCTATAAGCTACACGGAACCGTCAACTTTTATTTCTAGTATTTTGTATCATGACACTACAAAACAAAAACAGCTGAAATCCCAAAAATAATTCTGAAAATCTGAAGAAAATTTGAAGAAAATATGGGGGAAGGAAGACAGGTGATGTCTTTTTAATGAGGCTGAATATCTCTCTGTCGAAATAAAAAGACGTGGTGAAAAATTTGTCAGTGAAGCGTTAACGGAGAAGATAACGATTCGATGAGCATTAACTGATTTCGGTAAACAATTCGTGATATTTCTTGTGATGCTTCTTTTAAAGCGTGAATACTATTCTTGAAGTTTCTCCTGTGACGTCGTCTGCCATGAGATTCAGAAAAATCGGAAGGCGTAACCGTAGATGAGGGAGGTGAAACAATACAGAGAATTGTCGTCAGGAGCCAAACAGAAAAATAGGAAGTCAGTGACGTCATGTTTCAGAAGAATGGTAATTTTATGGAGGTGGAAATGAGTCTAGACGGGAAAAAGGGGGCGATGAGAAGAACAGGAAAAATGAGAAGAACGGGAACATCTTTTTATTTGGGTGAGTGACGAAAAACATGTCAATCTATTCTGGCCCATCTGTCATTTTTGCTCAATCTCTTCCTGACACCCTCCCTAGGTTGTGGGAAAATAAAGAATGATGGAAATGGACGATTTTTGGTTGACATGACTGGACCATGAGATAGATGACCACCCGGAATTGAGAAAAGAAAAAGAATCTTTGAAGATTGGGAATGAGAAAATTAAAAATAAAACCGAAAATCACTCAATATCTCAGAGCTCCAGGTGGTCAGAATCTAAAACTTCTTAGGATCAGTGCCTGTTTTTCGAAAACGGTCAATTTCAAAAAAATTATAACTCAAAAATCTTTCGAAAATTTTGTTTTCGAACAAACTTTCAAACCACTAGACCGGGTTTAGTGTGTTCTAGCCCATTTTAGCATGGTGGCCTAATTTTTTCATTTTGATTTTTCTAGGCCACTATGGTGAATAGTCTAGTAATGGCCTGATATTCACCTGGAAATTTTTTAGGTCATTTAGAAATAATCAATTTGCGAAAGTTAGACCACAATATTAACATGACCTAGAAAACACATCAGAATACTATTAGGTCATTTTTTGGCCATTTACCATGATGGCCTAGAAAACTCAACTTACAAAACTCAACTTACAAAAGAAAACTCAACTTACAAAAACATCATGCTAAAATGGCATAGAAGACACATCAGGTGCATGTTAGACCATTTCTGAACTATCAACTACGGTGGCCTAGAAAAATCATATTGAGAAATTTACAAAAAATCACGCACTACTCAGGATCCTTCATCTTCAGAACTCCAGAATCTCAGACATGCTTATCCCGATCAGGCCTGTGCGGCAACAAATTGCCGATTGCCGAAATTGCCGAAATTGCCGAAATTACCGAATTGTTGTTGCCGATTTGCCGTTGCCGAAATCAGCAACGAAGAAAAAGTTGCCGAATTGCCGTTGCCGATTTCGGCAAAAAAATTTCGGCAATTTCGGCAACTGACGTTTTTTTGAATTTAGAGATTTTCACAATTTTTTTAGTCAAAAAAATGATTTCGAAGTTCGAAAAATCAAATTTTGAACACCTTCATCCCTCAGAGTGAATTTTAGAGGAAATGTGTCCCAATAATCATCAAAAATACTTGCATCGGATCTAAAAATGGGCTTCAAATTTGTGAGCATAGGAGAAAAATAGATATCATGAGTCACAACTCATCAAAAAAATTATCCAATCTGTCTCAAATCTCTAGGGAACGTGTGTCGTGAGTTGCCTAACAAGTTGAGCGAACTATTTTCAAAACTCACAATCGGAACAAATATTTTCAACCATTGGAATACCCTCTATTGCTAAAGAGAAATAGTTTGCATAAAAAATGTGGTCTTGAGTTGCCAATTATTGTAATTACTTTTTTAAGGAACTTATGAAACACATTTTCTGTAGTTTTCAGCCTGATAGAAGCTTTTTCAGGTGAGTTACGTATCGATTTACTAAAAAAAAAGACGCAAAACTTTTGTTGCCAAAAGTTGCCGAAATTGCCGAATTTTTTTCGGCAATTGCCGAGTTGCCGAACGTTGCCGAAAAGTATTCGGCAAATTGCCGAGTTGCCAAATTGCGAAAAAATTTTGTTGCCGCACAGGCCCGATCCCGATCTTAAATAACCCTTGAGAAAAGACTATAAATTTGTCTCCTGAAAATTTTTTTCCCGCACGGAATAGTAGTTTTTTTGTGAAATTTCGAAAAACAACTTTGTTTTTTTTAATATCTTCCCTGAAAAGTAAATAAATAGTCTATATTGGAAGGAAATTTTCTTTTCCTACTCGGAAAACTTTATTAGTACCTAAATAGATATATCTCAAGAAGAGAGAGGAAAATAGAAATTGCGGGGGTTCCGGTTTGATTGAAATTCTTCTAGATTCTTACGCTTTCGCTCCGATAAGCTTACTATTAGAAGGGGGAAGAATGATGACTCAAAAGAATCACGATGCTGTCTGATATAGTTCAAAAGTTTGGGTACGAGTGAATGAATATATGAAAAAGCTTTTTCGAGATTCAGAAGAAAATAGATGACGTTACGAGATGTTGATCTAATTTACGTGACGTCCGAAACAAGGCATCTAGAAATAGTTATCTCTAATATTCTTTTCATTTAAACAAGTCATAATTTTGAAACGAATTTCTAGGTCAGGTCTTGCAGGCATTTTTTAAAGTTTAAAAGGTGTCAATGAGTTCGGGAAAGTGGGAACATGATTGGTTTTTTAAGGAGAGTGCCGCTCTACCTTCGCCTGCGTGGCTCAGCCGGTAGCGGCTCCGCATATTCATTACTCGCTCTGTAAGTTCAACTCCTCGATAGGTCTATATGAACAAAATTTCGGAAAAGTTATTTTTCATTAAAAAACTACAGAAAAGTGAAAAATAGACGGATGACGAGAGATAGAAGGAATCTGAAGGAGCAAGGCACGGCTGAAAAACAAAACAACCGAAAGGATCACGATGGAAAGTTTTACGAGAAAAGAGGAAGAGGGAGGGGAGGGACCAATGTTTGAAAAACAAACAAATGAACGTACTTGATTGAATTCGTTTGATGAGGGATTCTGAGAGAAGATGTGCCTTTTTTCTCTTAATTTCTACATCAAGCCTTTCAAATCCAATAAAGAAAGTTCTGGGATTCTTTTTTTTGAAAGAAACACAAAACACAAAGAAAAAACAGATATAAATAAAAATTAAATTCAAGTTGGGTTTTGCTGGTAGAATCAAGAAAAAGTACACTGACATTTATGAACGATGAGGTTTTAAAAACCTTCTGCTGAAAAATTTCTGAAAATAAGCTTCAAGTGTGCTCAATATTAAACATTTTGAGTTAAAAAGACCCTCAAAAATCTGTGATTCTGAAATTCTCAAAATCGCAAAAATTGAATTTTTGGAAATTTCCGAAAATAAATTAAAGACAATTGAAAATTCTAGATTTTTAGCGATTTTCGATTTTCTGAAAAATTTGAAATTCTCGAAAGTTTTGGAACTTTTGAATTTCCGAATTTTTCAATTTAAAACTACCACCTTTAGGTTACTGTAAACAAATTTAGGATTACGGTAGTAAGCTGGTCTTTAGAATTACTGTGCGGTTTTTTTTCGAACATAAGAACTAGTGGAGTTGGGAGATTCTCAAGAGTTATGAGATATAGAAAACTATTCAAAAAATAAAATTGAAATTATCGAAATGTTTCAAAATTTTATTTTCAAAAAAACATTAAAAATTGGGGAAAAATCCAAATTTACTGAAAAATGAATTAATGGAAACTACACTTTTCAAGATTGGGAATGCTGAGATGGTAACCCTTTTAGACCGTAAAACTAAAAATTAAGATTGAGAGCAATTGCTGAATTTCTGAATTCAACAATTAGAACTTCCAGGCTTTTTTTCAAAAATTTCCGATTCTTCAAAATCCATCAATATATTGTAATGGATTCCTATCTTCCATTTGGAACATTACAGACTTTGGAATCAATGAAATTCTAGTTTTAAGCCCTGGGAAATGAAAATTGAGTTTTATGAGCTCTTACGAGTTCAGGGTACTGTAGATTCGGAATTTTTTATATTAAAATTTTGAATCATGAGCCTCTTTCTCAAAAAATGTAAACAAAGTGAGAAGTTTATGGTAAGTAAGACAAAAAACAAGAAAATTGAGTCCGTGCAGAAACCCGTAAAATGCATTGGGAGTACAAGAGTAGTGCGTGAAAAAGTAGAAGAAAGAGAAAGAGAAATCGAATGAAGTGATGTGAAAATAGAAATCAGATAATCTTCCACTTTTTGCTTCTTTTCCTTCCTTTCTTCTTCTTCTTCTTTGAACAAAATGCAAAAAGTTGTTAGAGATGATGATGACGTTTGATGAAAAAAAAGATGGGAGAGGTGGTGATGGGCGGAGACTAATCCCTGAGAAAAAGAGCCTCCTTTTGTTTCTTCATCTTCTCATACGCAAATTCCATTTTGGTTTTTGTAGAATAGTGGACATACTGACGCTGAAATGATTAGAATGAAGTTTTTTTTCAGAGGAACTATAATTTCTTTTGTTCTCGGATTTTTTTTCTGACACACTCGGATTATATATGGATTATTCTGAAAATAGGCTTTGGTAGATGGGGAAGAAAACTTCTCGAATATTAAAAAAAAATCTGGCTGAAGATAATCCGAGTGAGCCTAATAGTGAGAACCGTTATTAGGATGTATGGGAAGCTTCTGGTTCCCATAATAATCGTAAGGATTTTGGCCGAAAATTGCAAATGAAATATTTTGAAACTCAACTACCGTATAGTTTAGTGCGACCCGACCGTCAACTTTGAGCCCATATATCTCGGTTTCTGTGAGAGATATCCAATAATAGTCAACTGATAAAATGTTTATCATAATATCACAAGTATTTTATCAATTGACCACTTTTTGATATGTTTTCCAGGAAACCATATATCTGGGCTCAAAGTTGATGATTTGAGTGGTACTAGAGTGGTTACGGTAAATATGGCTATACTGTTAAAATATCTAGTATCTCTTCAAAAAAACTGATTAAAAGCTCATCCCCTGACAATTTTTTTTGTATTTTGAAGAAAAAAGCAGCCAACATTGTGTAGTATCTTCATATTACATTCTTCTTTTATGGTGTGAAAACATCTCATTTGAATGAAATTTCCCCCTACCAAATGTTCGTGAAACTTTTTTCTAAAAAAGCAAAACCTACTGAAATCTAAACGTACTAAAACTTGCTTTTCGAAAACCCAAAAGTAACCGAAACTTAAAAAACAACTCACCACACATTCTACGAAACTGAACAGTTCCTTTCGGACATGTGCAACGTTTTTCGATGCAGATTGAAGGTGAAACACACTGATTGTCAACCTCACATTCGGTTTCACCTGGGAACAATTCTGGAAAAGTTTGTAAGTTTTAAGATCCAGAAATAGAAATTGACGTACTTGGCAGGCATGCACCCATAGTTGATTCGGCTTCCGATCTACATACTGGCTTCTTATTAATCTGCCCTTCGGATAAGGGACGGATTAGTAGGCGAGCTGGAAAAGAGAAATCTTTTTAGAAGTTTTTTATCTTGTTGAAACCAGGAAGAGATCAAAGGGATTATATCAAAAAAGATATCAAATGGATTATACCTCACTTCCCGCATTCCCCTGCCAAACCTACTTTTGGGAATCCTCCTTTGACAACAAATACTGTATCTCAACACAGGACTCTGTCTGCAAATTCGACTGGCACATCGACTGCTCGATGAACATCGAATCGGATTTCCAGACTTATTGAGTGTCGGTTGATAGCTGGCACCACATAGATTGTTCATTAACATTTGGAATGACGGTGGATGTTGACAACAGACAAAGTTGCGTCCCGTTGTTGTCTTCAGACAAGTTTCCGAATCAGAACAAGACTTAAGACTGGTGATGCACATTTGCGGATGATCCAGAGGATTGACATATGGATGTGGGCATTGAAGATCTTCTTCGTTGATTGGACTATGAACACACATCTCAATACAAGAGGAATGGTCGGAGAAATGGTTCTGAGCAGTTGATGATTGAGCATCTCCTCGGTGATAGTTGATGAGTGACACGTGTTTGTCTCGGAATCGTAGTAGAATCGAATCACAGAATCTTCGGTTTCTTCATCGGAATTTATTTCAGGAATTGGCTGGGCACAAGCAACCTCTTTCTGGGGACAACAGTAATTTTTGTGACATTCGTATCCAGTTGCGCACATTGAACATTTTTGAACTCGAATAGCAGGGTATACTCTCGTGGAGCAGATTTCAGTTATATCTAGTCCACAACACACAGATTGATAAGATGGAGATGTTCCTTGAGATGTGCATTTGTAGAATTCGGGACAATCAATATCCACCTCACAATTCTTCGGCTCACCATCAATTTTTAAAAGTTTCTCTCCCTTTGGACATCGATCTGAAATCCACAATTTTATTCACAATATTTCTTTGTAGTCTTTTACATCTGGATGTTTGTTTCCTTGAAGTCGCTGTTCCTGGTTTTCGAGTTTTCATTGGCATTACTCGTTTCAAGCTGAAAATTATCCAAAATTACGTAATTGTTATTCTGATTTTTCTGATTTTGAGCAGGTGGTTTTTGATTACAAGAATAATAAGGAAAAACCTGGGATGGCGGCAGCAGATTCCTTTTCGATCAGTTGACTTTTTCATACAAAAATGAGTTTTCGGACAGGGACTTTCTGGATCACAATAGGTTTTCGAGAGCTCCATTATGGATCCAGGAGGGCATTTGGCAAGGGCTTGGATCTGGCGAGCTTCTCGACGACAGCATACGAAACGATTTTTGACATCAGAGTAGAGACAAACAGATTGGCTGAAAATTCTTCTATTGTTTCACGATACCAGGGCCCTTCTATTAGAGGGGCTCTATTAGTTTTCCGAATTTTTCAGAGAAAACTTCGGTGAATTCTCTTCGAAATTCATGAAAATCGATTAATTTCTGCAGAATTTAGCAAGTTTTAAAACAAAAAAGTTTTTCAACAAATCTCTGGAAAATTGTGGAATTTTCCTAGTAATTTTCCCTGAAAAAGTACAAAAGTTTTATTTCAAACAAAAAATTTTTCGAAGAGGTTTTCTATTTTTTCCCCCTTCTATTTTCTAAGTCTCTCTCGGAGGGCCCTTCTATTGGAGGGACCCTTCTATTAAAGGGGCCTTTCTAATACAGGTTATACGGTATTAGAGATTGACTCCAAGTTTTGATGAGAGCGTTGAAACAATGATTCATAATTCGGTTACACAGTGTATGATAATAACATTTTACGAAGTTTCGAAATTTTGAAAAATTAAAAACTCGGAACTTTAGGATTCCAAAAATTTCGAAAATTTAGTAATCCTACAATTCGGAAAGCCTTCAAAGACTCAGAAATTCGGAGCTTCAGAAAATCCGGAAATGCAAAATATTCCGGATTTCAGAATTTCTAAAATTCAATAATCCAGAGTTCACAATTTTGGAAAATCGAAAATTTCGAAGTTCAAATATTCAGAAATTTCGAATACTCTGAAAATCTGAGATCCTTAAACTAGAAGTTAAGCGGAAGCCAGGAGCTTGAGTCTCGGCACGAGGCGTAAGCCGATCGATAACTTTTTATAATCAATGTTTTCAGCCCAAAACATCAAAATCAAAATTCTTCGAACATCAGCAACTGACCCATCTCTCCCACAAGTATTCTTTTCTAGCGGTGAACACTGTCCATCTGAAGATTTCTGTTCATCGTAAATAAACGTGGCTGGACAAATCTCGTCGATTCTCGCACAACAAAGACCCGATGAAAATGGAGTTGGAGTGAAACAAGAAGTCGTTGAAGGACACTGAGAATCTCTGGAACACGCTCTGGGTTCTGCTGTACTTTGCCAGATTTCTGGTCGCGATCCTTGTAGACATTTTTCGATTCTTTCGATGTCACGACAACAGAAATAGAGCATTCGAATGGAACTGTAGATGCATTGGAAGCCCAGTGGACAGGAATTCTGAAAATTTTTGGTTCTTATTTGTTGTTTTATTATACTTCTAACCTGAGTATTAGGAGTGCAAGACATAGGTTGTTGAGTGCTGGAAAGCAACATTGGGTGTTGAGTCGAACTGCAGACTCCAAAGTTCGGACTTCCACAACACACGCTTTTGGTCTCATCCCAAACATTCCTAACACATGAAAAATGTCTGGGGCAAGTTTTCAAGGAACAATCGAATGGTTCGTCGAGGTTTGATGGTTGGTAGACAACTTCTGATGATGAGCAAGCTGGAATTTGGGAATTTTTAGTTTAGTAGTAAGAATTTATTACGCTCACAAGCACTCTGACAAAACTGATAACATGCTACACGATTTGAGAAACTATTGGCATTTCCTGCACATCCTAAATAGGTGAATTGTAGACAGGTTTCTGTGTTGGCGTCAAAATAGAATCGTTTAGAAGGCGTTCCACAAGAAACACCTTCATTTGCGTCATGGGAACAGATCCATTTACGAGATGGACAGCACGACGTACGATTGGAATAGAGCTGGAAAACAGATGTTAGAAAACCAGAATCGAAACTTAACCTAACCTGTCTCGTACATGTATGCGTACTCGGGCAATCATCATTCCTCTCGCAAGCAATGATTCTCCCATTGCTAGAATCAATCAGAGCTTCGCCTCCATCTGGACAGTCCGATCTGTGACAAGTTTCGATACAATCTAATCTCGTCACAAAATTATTATCATTCCCATTACATCCTTGATACTCAAATTGATTGCATCGATTATGCAGTGGATCATAATACCACCGCTGTAGAGTGGACATTCCACATGTTGTTCCCACCTGAAGTCCTTGATTACAGGTGAATTCTGAAACTGGTACAGTAAATCTTCCATTTAATCACCATTAATTACCTCTGGAAGGACAACATGCATGAACTGATCCTGTGTAAATGCATTCGTAATTTGATGGACATCGTTTCGAAGAAGAACATCTGACGACTACTTGATCTGATCCCTTGTAAGCTCTTCCTATTGGACACTTTGGTTGTTGTTGTACACTTGCACAGATTGTCTGGCATTCTTCCATCGAATCGAACTGATTGTCTCCTATTAAACATCTACTAGCCAACACTGATTTGCACATGTTGTGCTCTGTGGAGTATGTCCACTTGGTTGTCGTTCCTCCTGGTTCACATTTCTCTCGAGTCTTCAAACTTTGTAGACACGTGGCCGCTGGGCGAGGACAGCATACAGAATTCTTGCATTCGTGACTCTCTGGACACTGCACCTGACCTTGACATCGCTGAACATTATCACTTGGGTCATGAAGAGGGTTTCCATGTGGACATAATCGAGAAGAACAAAAATCCATGCATTCTTGCTTATCACCAAAGTTGTTGAAATTTCCACCTTGTCCGTAATATTTGAATATTTTACATGCCAATTCATTTGTATCCCAAAACCATCTCTGAAGCACATCAGCTCCACGTCGTGGAGATCCATTTGAATACGGTCGCATTGTGGTTTTGTCGACGTTCACTCCTCCTAAACTGCTGCATATGAACGAGGGAGTAGGACAGCAAAGTTGACGATCTGATTCGTGGATTTTGCAAAAGTAGTTGTCGTTGGAGTTGGGGATGGAATCTTCGAGAGGTAGAGGATCTCCGCGAGTGCATCCTAGAAATATGATACTGTAGTTTTTTGAATTTAAGAATTTTAATTTTGACCTGAATAATAAGATATTGTTTTGCAATTATTTAAAAACTAGCTTAAAACCAAATTGGGAATTTTCAGAAACGGAATTTGATAACAATACCTGTAAGACTCAACTCCTTTTGATTCATTATAGGGTGACGCATAAGTACCCTGACTAATGTTTGTACTAGCATAACAGTTGAGTAAAACGATGCAGTAAGCTCAAATTAGAAGTACAAAAGTTCAAATAATTTATCAGTAAAGTGGCCAAGTTTCAAATAATTTGATCATTTTGGAACTGAGTTATCGCTTGTCAAAGTTGCTTCATCTCATGAAAATCACAAGAAAAATTACGCCGTTCATCTTTGAACCATCATAGCAATACCTAGACTTGGGGAATCTCTTTGAAAATTTCAGTAGTTTTACACCCTGTATGACAAGGAAAAAGTGTCATAACTTACTCCCTCCACAATAAGATTCACACTGGGACTGTGTCAAAAAGTTATTCGAATTCCCTCCGTTTCCAGTGTAATTGAACGGTGCACACTGTCCAGTTGCACTGTTATACCACCATCTCCTATCCTCAACTGCTGTCGCATCCTTTGTATCTCCAGTACTCAATGGTTGAATGCATGTCATGCCACGTGTCGGACAGCATGTTCCCGCAATACAATCGTAAACTTCCGGATACTCATCACAACCGATGAACTGAGTGTTCTTTTCTTTTTTGGAGGTAAAAGTGAGACATGTGGAGACTCGATGTGTAGCTCGATCATACAGAGCTCCATTCACATTGTTAGTTGGACAGTTGCCTGAAAGTTCTTATTGTGGGATTTCAGATCTTGCTATTCTTTCAGACCTGGAACAACACAAACATTTCCTTCTGGTGTTTCAATGAGTTCTTCTTCTTCTGCACATGCACATTGTCCACTTTGGCAGGTTGTCATTGGCCAAACGCCTTCACATTGCTCATCGAATGTGCACCCGACGTTTCCAGGTTCTACTTCTGGAATAATGGACACTACTAGAATTTCGCCTTGTGATTTTTGATCAGAAATTGATTGGTTTCGGCTTTTGGACGGATTTTGGCCAGGTTCTGGTCGGAACTTGCCAAAAACGGCTGTATAGCGGACCATGGCCTGATTTTGGTCGGATGTTGAAATTCGAAATACTACCTTCTCATAAGTTCATGGGGTCTGCCAGAAGTTTAGAGATACTTACTCTTCCAGCATTGATCTTCCACTGGAACATGAGTGTTCCTGCATCGACAGGTGCCAAGACAGACTGCTCCAGAAACACATTCCGTATTTCTAGTACAGTTATCACCAATTTTTCTGACATCTGAATTGTTTCTCGGGCTTATTAGAAGGATCCTAGAATCAAACCAACCTGCAGCATTTCTGGCATAAATCTGATGAAGTCCCTCTGATAATGGAATAGTTCCAAAAGTGAAACTGACCTGGATATAGACAATCAGGAAACACGTGATCTGATTTAAGCTATACATTCTCCTACTGACTAGACTCAGTCAACACAATAGGATGACTTTTCATTTGAATCGAATTTTTTGTAAAAAATAAATGAAATCCGATTCGATCGTTTTTTGAGTAAAGAGAAGAAGGTGGTAAGAAGAAAGGTCAGCAGCTCCTCTCAGTGGATGGTGTGGAGTAGAAAGAGAGACGTAAATAAATATAGTGACCCCCACTTGAGGAAGAGCCCATCGGCCAAATAAGCTAAAGAAGAGATATAGATGGTAATGTGAGAAAGTGTCTCATGTCGTGTGTCCTCTAGCACTTTGATTGTTGACAAAACAAGAGGACACATCTACCAATTGAACCAACGATGGGGATAAAACCGTTTTTTGACACGAAGGAGACACAATCTTTCTGGTCAAAGATTACTGTAGGACATGGCACCGGAGAAGTTTTTGAAGGTTTTTTTTTCGGTAAAATGGGAAGTAGATCTTTAGATTATCACTTCTTCTATTATCATCTGTCTAGAACTTCATGGAGGTTTTAAGACGGTCGAGCTATTATTCTAGTACAAAAAATCGGATCTGCGGAAGAGAAACGCTAGTGGGCGAAGGTATCCAAATATTGTTACTTTCCGGATTTATTTTCATTTATTTTTGCTTTTTCGTTCATTTTTCTTTATCAAAATTTTTTCAATTAGAAAAAAAAATATTTTTAGGTTACGATAGTAATAAAAAACACATTCAATCAAATCATCTCCCATTTGAATTTCATTTTTGATCTGAATATTTGGTGGTACAAAAGTTAAGAATTTTTTACGTGAGAACTGCTACAAATGAGGACTTTAAAATGAGAACTCAGTTTTTCGGCTTTAATTTCCGGCTCAGGGTCCAAGTTTTTTAGAAAAATAGTTTTGTCTCGTTCTTCACAATACTTCAAGATTTTCCAACAAAATCCATGTTTTGACTTGTATTTTACGAGTTCTTATACGTACGAGTTCTTATTTGTAGCAGTTCTCATTTTCCGAGTTCTCAACCTTTGTACCACCGAATATTTTTTGTCATTTTTCCAGATTTTGATTATTTATCAGGACGTCGCCGTGGTTTCTTCAGATTTTGGTGCTTCTGAAGACGATGAAGTGGACGTGGCTTAAAAAAGGAACACACAAAAAAAGAAACTACTATAATCCGTGTCTATTGATAACATAGACTTCCAAAAAGAAAAAAAGGGAAAAATTGTGAATACAAAATTGGGAATGGAAAATTGGGAACAAAAAATTAGGAGTGAAAAATTGGGAAAGAAAAAATGGAGTGAAAAATTGGGTGTTAAAAATGGAAGCGAAAAAAATGGAAATAAACATTTGGGAATGAAAAATCACAATCGAAAATTGGGATTACAAAATTGGGGGTGAAAATTTGTGAAAAAAAATGGAAGGGGGAAACGTGAAAATGAAAAACTTTGGAGTAAAAATTTGGGAATAAAAAATCGAAGTTAAAATTTGGGGATGAAAAAATAGAAATAAAAAAATTGGAAATGAACAAAAAAATTGGAAATGAACGGGAAAATTGAGAATTAAAAAAATGGAAGTAAAAAAATGGGAATGAAAAATTGAAGGGGAAAATGGAAATAAAATTTAGGAACGACAAATCAAAATGAAAAATCAGAATCAATGATGACAAAATTTCCAAGATACATCATTTATTAAAAGTTTTAAAATTTATAGAAACTTTTTTAATTTTCGGTTTTCTGTTAAATTTTATTCAAGATACCACAAACTGTCAGAATAAGTTTCCCAAGCTGTAAAAAAAGCAATTTTTCACACAATTTTTCAACGAGTATTTTCAAAAAACTTGGACGAGACTTAACGATAGTGATTGAAACAAAAACAACGAAGAGCAGTTATCGGACAGAAAATGTTTCCACGGACAACAAACACAGATAACGGACAGTAAAAATGGCCGGCCAACGGATAACGGATAAAAGTCATCTCTCAGTTTAGGAAGTGGGGGGGGGGGAGGGGAGATTCTAGAAGATTCTAGAAGATTCTAGGAGAATTCAGAATTCATGTTCTAATCTCATGACACGCTAGAACCAGCTAAACCATTGACATACTGGAACTCACTAGGAATTCCAGTTCGCCAAAGCCGACGGGGCTCTAGGTGAGAGTCAAGAATTCAGAAAGGGAATAATAATTTCTCAAAGAATCTACTAAAATCCAGAGAAGCTTCGGAAGTGGGGGGAGATTCTAGAAGATTCTAGAAGATTCTAGGAGAATTCAGAATTCTTATTCTAATCTCATGACACGCTAGAACCAGCTAAACCATTGGCATACTGGAACTCACTAGGAATTCCAGTTCGCCATAGCCGACGGGGCTCTAGGTAAGAGTCAAGAATCCAGAAAATGAAAAATGATTTCTCAAAGAGTCTACTAAAATCCAGAGAAGCTTCGTAAGTGGGGGGAGATTCTAGAGGATTCTAGAAGATTCTAGGAGAATTCAGAATTCTTATTCTAATCTCATGACACGCTAGAACCGTCACGTCGACACGTGGATAAAATTGTCTTTAACAATTTCAGTGAAATACTTTTATAAGAAATATGGGTCAAAAGCCCGGAGAACAGTCAACGGGAAAAAAAACTTGAGAATACGTAAATGTATTTGGGTCATGAAAACACTGAAATATCAAGCGGGAACAGGGCGTTGTTATGTGGGTAGCAACTTTTCAGTCTTTTTTTCCCAAATTCAAAACCTGTTTTTGTTGAAACTGATGCCTCCTCAGCAAAATTGGAGAACAGATTCGGAAAGGACTTGTTCTCAGCTCTCGAATGATAGCATAAATTAGTGTCTCGAGTAGTAGCTACTCCAAAAAACTCCAGATATACGAAAGTATTGATCCAACTCCCCAAACTCAATACTCTCAAAAAATGACTTTATTTTTGCCAAATAAGAAACAGTAATACAAAAAAGGAATCAAGCAGCGACGAGTTTGACATTAACATCAGCACCAGTTGTCTTAATTTGTTTGAATGTTTTTGCCATTTCGATCTCTTTTCCCAACATTTCCGTTGTTAAAATCACAAGTTTATCCTCTCTCTTTGCCGATGGTCGATGCGTTATCATAACGTCCGCAAAGTTGTTCGGCTCGATTTTCCCGAATACCGGATTGATCCTAAACCATTTTTGATTCGTTGAGTAGCTGAGTCAGCAGTGAGAATGTCAAAAAACTCACAAGTAAGCGTTCGTAGTAGATGCCTTCATCTTGAACATCAATCTCTTGCTCGTCAAATTTTTCAAACGAAGCTTTTTCTGGCTCGTGGTTGCTGTTTCAAAAGTGAGTTCTGTTGGATCGACACGAACTGAAATTCAAAAAATGGATAAAGAAACTACAGTAATTCACTATACTTAAAGCTTCTTTCTTCTTGCCCTTATCATCTTCTTTCTTATCATCGTCCTTCTCATCATCATCCTTTTTCTTCTCCCCATCATCCTTAAAAATTAAAAATTGAAGTTTAAAATTTTTCCGGTTTCACCTCTTTTTTCTCGTCGTCCTTCTCATCTGACTTCTTCTTATCATCCTTCTTCTCATCATCCTAAAATTAAATATCTCTTTTCGGTTTTCAACCCCCTGAACCCTACATCCTTCTTATCATCATCCTTCTTGTCTCCCTTTGTACCCTTCTCATCTCCCTCTGTATCCTTCTTCTCATCTCCCTCTGTATCCTTTGCTGGAGACTTGCTCACTGGAGACTTTGTCGTGCTTGCAGCTACCTCCTTTGGAGGATTCACAGGCGACTTGGCTACCGATGGAGCCGCTTTTTTCTTGGAACATCCAGCCAGAAGAAAGATCGACGTAACTCCCAGAAGAATTAATTCGTACAGCATCGTCCAATTTTTTGTTGCTCTGTGTGGTTCGAGAGATGTCAGGCGAGACAAGAAGAAGCAGTTGCTTGGATACTGTACCAGAATAACTGAATGCTTATGCTCAAACCAGCCGTCGTTTGGCAGATCAACCTATGATAAGGGTTATCAGGACTCCCGATTTCAGTGTGAGGGTTCACGCGAGCTCTGTGATGAGTAAAGTGGTACAACACTGCGCTCAGCTAACCGACAACTACCGTATCAACGACAACTACCGTAATCTAAAAATATCTTTTTTTTTTAACTCCCATTTTGTAATGCTTTTGGTCGGGGTTTCTGTTACTTTTCCCCAAAACAAGTCAGAAAATTATGATATTGGATAGCGAAAAATTGTCTGAAAATGGAGGGAAATCGAGTAAATAAATCCGAAAAATGGAAAAATTTTCAGGTTACGGTAGTTGTCCTCTGCCACGGCTCCGATTTTTTTGTACCAGCATAATACTTCCCTCAGGTAACCAGTTAGTCCCTTCAATATCAAAACAGTTGAGAAACATTCCATTTTCCTGGGGAAGGCATATAATAAAACATATAGATGAGTCACAAATGTTCCAATGTATTGTTTCTGAGTCTTGTGATATTTTTGGTTTCTATATAAAAATGAATCATCGTCGTGGGGCAGAACATTCGAGCCGTCGAATGTTGACAGGCAGCTTCAGTTTTTTAAAGACAGTTTCCGTGTTTATTTCTAGTTCTCGAATAAAGTTTCAGATATACCACCACCGCCATTAATGGAAGAAGTTCAGGATGTTTTCCATTTTCATGATACCGTTGGAGATGGTAAAATTGCAGCAAATCAAGTAAGCGTTGAATATTGAAACTCTTAAACTATGTTGTTTTTTATTTCAGCTCCCTGCAGCACTTCGAGCAATGATGCTCAATCCAACGGAAGCTCTACTCGATGAAGTTATCAAGAAGAGAACTGGAGGTGCACGAATCACAATTGAGGAGTTTATTCCAATCTACAAGAAAGTGGAGGCAGCGTGTGGCAGGAGTACCACCCTGAAGGAGTTTCAGGTAATATTGATATAATTGTATATATTTTTGTGGAAAAAAATTTTCAGACTCTTCTCTCCCACTTCGATCGAGATGGAAACGGACAGATACCGATTGTTGAGCTCAAAAGCATGCTTCAGAATGGAGGAGAAAAAATGTCCAACCAAGAAGTTGATAATCTTCTTTTCGGAGTGGAAGTCATCGATGGAAAGATAAACATTAACAACTTTTTGAACAATCATCTCCAGATGGGACTTCAGGAAACCGAGAAATAAGTCATGATGGATACCATTTTTGTGCCGGCATAATTTTCGCTTTTTTTGCTTTTTTGCCTTTTTCTATTTTTCCAGTTTTCTGTCATATTGGAGAGAATAAAAACTATTTATTTATTTGAGTCCTAGAAAAATGACTTGTGACCTACTGTAGGTTAAAGGCGCATCGGGCATTTAGTGCTAGTCACCCGACACGATATGTTCACCTATATTTCCACACGTCGCAAACAAAAATAAAAAAGTTCTTCTGAAACGTTCCGATGTTTCAAACCTCATGATGCTTCCTGTTTCAAAGTTTTTTACAGTTCAGGTACGCTTCTTGTTCGAGTCCGTTCACCCATTTAGCTTTCAGGAACCTTCAAACGCTCTCCTCTCGTACATACAGAAAGGAATCGACTTTTTCGAAAGAATCGGTCAGTTTTCGAAAGAGAAAGCTGCCATCGAGGAAGAGTATTCTACGAAATTAAAGTATTTTTAATGTCTTCTTTGCGAAAGAAAAAAGATTCTTCCAGAAATCTCGCGAAGAAATATGCGAAAAAAACGGAAGAGGAAGACGAAGTGCTGAAAAGTGTCAGCTATATCAGCGCATTCAATTCATTTCTCTATCAGTTGGATCAAATCGCCGGAAAACATCATGTAGAGGAAAAAGTAATATTGTTTTCACATCGAGTTTATTTTCAGGCAGCAGCGGAAAGCACTCGGGAAGACATTGTCGCCTACGTCTCATCGAAAGCGTGCCAGCTGAGAAGTTCTCGGAAAAATGCGATAAGCGATTTGAAGACAATCAATGATATTCTAGAAGACCACATAAACGATATGTGGAAATCTGGAAAGATATATTCGTAAATAAAATTCAATTAATCCGGATGTTTAAATCAGAAACATTACAGAAGGGCGTATAAGGATGCAGAGAGTGCGTATCAAAAGTTTTACAAAGCCGATAAAAACTTGGAGATTTCAAGACTGGAGTTGGAAAAAACTAGATCACATGCGATGGTCAGTGATAATATAACATTTTTTATAATAAAGAGTATACGAATTTCTAAATTTCAGACTCGTAACGAAATATGCGAAAAAGCGAAGAGCGACTACTCAAAATCTGTATCCACTACCAATTCTGAACAGAAAAAGTATCATGATGAGCTTCTTCCTGTGATATTCTCAAGATTGAAAGCCGTGGATAAGGAGTGCATTGGCGATATGAGCCACGTGCTTCAAAAATTGATAACTGTTGATGAGTGTCTCTCGGAAGGAATCGGGTGTTGCCGTCAGAAGACTCAGAAGATCGTTAATAACATTGAAGCAGAATCCGATTCCCAACTTGTTCTAGACTCTGTCGAGTATGATTTCTATATTACTTGACTGTTAACATGTATAATTATTTAGGGCTATGATGGAGAAGCCAACTCCATTCGACTTTGAAGATCTTGGTGATCCAAAAGATTGCGATAGTCGTGCCGGTGATTCCATCGATGGGAAACACAAATCAGAAGCTCTGATGCCAATTCTCAAAAGTCCTAACAAAAAGAATCTGCTGGGAAACTTTTTGGGAATCAAAAAGAAAGAGCCAGAAAAGTTGGAATCGCCAAGAGAAGTGTACGCTGACAAGAACAAACCAGCACATGTCCGACTTTCTTGTCTTCGTTCCAAAATTAAGAGCATGGAGAAAGAGCTCGAGCAAGCCACCCAGGGAAGAGAGGGCATAACCCGACTACAAAAAGCGTACTATGCGAATCCCCAACATGGAAATCCGGACGCTTGTACTGCTCCGTTGATATCATATGCGAAGAAAATCGAGGCATTGAAAGCGAATATACAAGATTTAAAAGAGTTGTATATTCTATTGGAGGCGAGTGCAGAAAGTTTGTTGGATTTGAGAAATATGAAAATAAAGTTCTCTAATTGAGGTAGTACACCAACTGAGCGGTCGTTTGGCGGAAGAGATACTCCAGATACAACAAGAAGTATGTCAGGATGCTCCACCAATGTATCTTCAACGAAAACTTTGGAAGATGGAGTGGTATGATATGATGCTCTGATTAGAAGTAATCACAAGTTTCAGTTTCAGATCAGAGAGCGAGGAGGTTCTTCAGGCGACGACTCTTCGAAAAATATCGTGAGAAGAATCAGTTTAAAAAATGAGATTTTCAAGAAATACTTGCAGATCCGACAAATTCTCACAACTCCAAAACGAATCATTAGCTCTCCAAGAACTCCAAAAAGTGCTCCGTTCTCAGCCACGAACACACCAGTCCGTCGAAAGAAAGATATCTCGTCTCCAGTTCTCCGATCTTCATTCTCTGGTAGTTTTGTAGTTCAAAAGAAAACGTCTATCCAACCAAATCCAACTTTAGGAGCGATTCGAAAAATGCCAGGATCCGCTACGTCGTCACCACACCGTTCAATTTCATCACCAATGAAAATCGACAAGTCTGAAATTCTAGTGACAGTGCTTTTTGAGTTCGAGCAGTCTTCCGCGGAGACGATGTCGATTATCCCAGGAGAAGAGCTTTTCGTTCAGGAAACTGACAATGGAGATGGCTGGACTAGGGCCAGGAAGTAGGAAATTGAGAAGCACATCCAGTATTCGCCTCTTTTTTCTTACAGGAAAAGAAACCAAGAAGTTGGATTCGTGCCAACTTCCTATCTTCAGTTTCCTGTCGCATCGATATGCATTACGCCACCATAATAGCCGCTTCTCCGAAGTTCAATAATCATTTTCCGGTTAATTCATCATTCATTCATTCTTTTTTTTTCTTCATATACCAACTGATATTTATCATAATTCAACTAGTTTCATCCCCAAGTTATACTCGAGTGAGAATATTTTTTGCCTAGATCATTTATGGGTCGTGTAGAAGAAACACGTCTGTGTCCGTTTTTCTGTCCTGTGAATGAAGATATTACGATGAAGGGGTGGTTAATTCCACAGATTTTTATGATCCAACTGGATGCAATAAATAAGGCAAACAATATAAATGATAACCGAGGTGTTATAACAAAAAAGTTGAAAAGTGACAAAGTACAGGAAAGGGAGCGAGAAGGAGAGAGACGGCACCGCGGGATTGTTGTCTTTTGGGGTTAGTGATTATTGCACAAGGAGTTAGTACGAGATAGAATAGGCAATTTAAATCAATTTCACATAATTAGCTGGGAACAATCCAACACGACCATTCGGGGCTCTTCCTTTCCACCACCCGCTGTCGACTTGATCGACATCAGTGATAATATCATCAGGGTCAAATGAGATTTCTGTATCATCAGCTGCTTGATAATCCCATAAAGCTAGTGCTTGTTGTTCAGAAGTCACTGGAGGGAAGTCGTATTGATCGATTGGAGGAGCAGGTTGAGATGAAGCCTTGATGACATTGGGGACGACAACTGGAAGGAAACTATTGATAATTAATTAATTAGATTTCTTCGTTACCTGGTTCAGCAGGCATCACTGGAGGCATATCATATTGAGAGGCAATATGAGCTGGCAATGATTCCACTGGCTCTGGAGGGGCGTCGTATTGGGAAGCATAATGAGAAGGCGGTGTGACTACGGATGGAGCAACAATTGGTTCAAATGGCTCGTTGAGAACTGGTGGTGAATCATATTGAGACGCGTAATGTGTAGGAGCCGGAGTGGCAGGTTCAAATGCAGGCGGCGCATCATATTGAGACGCGATATGCGTTGGAGTTGGCTCTGGAGGTGGTGGAGCCACAACTGGAACTGGAGCAATGAATGCAGGAGGCTTATAGACTGGAGCAGGCTCTGCTGGCGGTTCTTCATAAGCATCGTAGGAGTGAGTGGCTGGTTCTGGAAAGAAATCGTTAAAAAAATAACAGATTTAACACTAGAAACTTGCTCATTGCTTCTGGCTTATACACCATTGGTTCTGGCTGATAGCTCATGGGTTCTTCTGGTTGGTGCGTATCTTCAACAACACGATTTACTGGCTCCCGTGGAACCGAGTCTTGATTTGTTCCAACCGGAGGCCACTTCTTTGCAGCTCCCCCACCATTGACGTGTGGTTTTGGAAGGATTGGCTCTGACGGCTTCGAATTAAACATCTCTTTACGACTCCCGACAAGACCTGAAGATGTGGCTGCTGATGTAGAAGACGTCGAGTTCGGAATGTGAGAAGAAGCAGAAGCTGTGGAAACGGCCGGTTTTTCGCTTAATTGAAGTTTTTCATGAAGATTATCAGCGATTCGCTTTCGGTCGGATTCAAACTCTTTTTGCTTCAAATCGTATGCTTCTTTTTCTTCCGCTTGTCGTTTTTTCTCCTCTTCATTCATCTTATTCCAGAACTCTTCGCGCGCAGATGAACTGATTTCCACATGCGGTTTTGTTGGTTTATATACGGAAGTGACTTTTTCGGGTTGATAGCTTTCCGCCTTTGAGTGCATTTCAGAAGCCATGCGTTGTCTGTCAGCTTCATACTGCTTCTGCGCCTCTTCACGAGCAAGCATTTCGTCTTCCTGACGTTTCTTCTCCTCTTCGTTCATTTTACTCCAGAATTCATCACGATTTACGGACCTCATTTCGACATGAGGTTTCGTCGGTTTATAAACCGAATTCACCTTCTCAGGCTGATAATTATCCGCTTTGTTCTGAATTTCAGCAGCTGTTCGCTCTCTATCGGCTTCGTAGCGTTTCAGCTGCTCTGCGTGAGATGCCTTCTCTTCTGCTTGCCGTCTAGAATTGATTTTTTCGGTCTCTTTCAGTTTGAATATAAAAAACTCACTTCTTCTCTTCTTGATTCATCGAGCTCCAAAAGTTCTCACGAGCCGTTGCACTCAATTCTGATTGAGCATTTGTAGGTTGATAAACAGAGTTAACTTTCTCAGGCAGACTGTATGTCACCTCTGCGTTCGAACTCGCATTGGCAGCTGGGAGTTTCCTGACCTCTTTTCTAATCGCTTCTGGCTCCACATCGATTTCCGAGCGTGCGTGAAGCACAATATGAACAGTTTTCAAAAATCGACGGAACTCTTCAGCGTGCGACGTCGTAGAAGCCAGACGGAGAGTGGGAACGCCTTCACCTTGCTGAAAAAAACTTTTAATGAAACAAAACTTCATCCTCAGTGAGGATTCCTTACCCAATGAACTAAAACAATTTTCGGGAAAACATCACTGCTGAGTCTTACGGAAATCACACCGAATTGCAGCTTTCCTGAGCTGAAACTGTCGGCGAACTCTTCGAGACCACCAGCTGCAATATAGTTGTTTTCTTAATAAACAAAAAAGAACACTTACTTCCTTCCTCTTTCACTCGTATCGTATTGGAGTTGCCTTCGTAGTCATAAATCACCCATTTATCACCATCTGAATTATCACTAACACGACAATATGATTCTTCAATCTCTTTTCCATGTGCGTGATAATTGAGAGTCATCTGAAAACTTTCAAAATCAATATAGAGGTTATGAAAACGGTTTCCACAAAGTGGCGTCTTTAGAAAGAGCCGGCAAAGAGTGTCGTTATCAAATGTTATCAAATGCATGATGTTTTCTCTAACTCTTTGTACATATGGTTTCTGATCGAAGAATATAAGATGTGAAGGAAAAAAACGCGATTTATGAAAGAGATTCGTACACTATTCATCGAGAGGAGCAGTCAACAGAAGTGCGAAGAGCGGGAAGAAATTTCATTTATAACAACTTTTTTGCTGCCTGGGCAGTTTTTGAAGATAAGAACATTAAGCATAGTAATGTGTAACCGACACATTTGGGTGAAAACTAAGAAAATGAGTCAAGGAAATCGGCACTAGAGGGGTATATGCCGATGGATGATGGATTTACGATTGGTTTAGATATGACGAATGTGTCTTCAAGGCGCCTAAAATGAGCCCGGATGGTTGAAGAGAAACAAGAAAAAATTTCGAAAAATGAGTGGAAGACTAGGTAATTTGATATGCTGGTGCCAAACATATGTAAAAATCATTTCACAAGCAAGTATGTCTTACGGGACATTATTTAGGGCAAAATTGTTTTTGGTATTTAGTAAGCAGGAAATGACAGAGGAAAACGGAACGGGTGTAACCAGCAAACATCTAGAGAGGTCTTTCCCGCGCGCCAACACTCCAGAAAACTGAGAGAGAGAATGAAACAGAAACAAAAAAAATGCGATGGGGAGAAAACGTCGGTCTCAAGACGTTTTCCGGTAGCGAAATGAATTGGAATCAAATCCTAATTCTTTTTGATTCAAGATTTGACACATTTAACAGCTATTGGAACATTATCGGAACAGAAATATTTCAAAAATAAATGAAAATTTATGAAGAAAATATTTAAAGGGACAGGATCATCGGTCCGTATCGGTGTTTCGGCAAGAAAATACGTTTTCGACTATGCGCCTTTAATCATACGGTACTAAATAGAGGGAAATTTAATTTCGCAGCGCAACGGATTAGAACATGATTTGTTTAATAAAAAAGGTTCTGACATTAAAAATTGTCAAAAGAAAGAAAAAAAAGAGAAGAATGCCAATATATATATATATATCAAAATGTATCACCAACACCAATCAAGAGAAACATTGGGTCAAAAGTGTGACTCATACATTTCTGATTGTGGTTGTAAATAGTGTGTCGGTGTCCCCTCTCACGAGTCCAGTTCAGAGCGGCAAAAAGAAAAAAAAGATACGGAAAACGGTAAGATATCGAAGACATATAATAGACGCAGGCAGTGGAAGAGGTGGAACGACCGCCCTTAATGGTTGTCGTCTCGCCAGCCAGAAGAAGTAGAAGAAGTAGTAGAAGTTGTTGTAGTAGTAGTGGCGGTATAATTGTTTGTGTAGGTCTAGGAAAACTTCTTCGCTTCTTCTTTCTCTAATACTATGATGAAGAGATTTCGAACGATATTTTAAAGATTACCACCCATTCTGACTAATCTCTTGATGACTTCTTGTATTGCTTGGGGACTATATGTTTGTTCGTTTGCCGAGAATCGAAACATGGGATTTAGAAAACAGAAAATGAATCATCTGATATAAAGAGAAAGTTGCAAGGTTGCGAAACACGCTGTGCTTAGTTTTATTAAAAGTGAATCATATTCCGGATTGAATGAAAATAGATCAGAAACTGGTTCAGCTTATTTAAGAGTGACCTTCTAGAAAAATATTATTCTGGTCCGGACCGATGGACCTTGTCGTCGAAAACTTATTTAAAGGCGCATAGCCGGTCCTGAACAGCTACACTTTTTACAAATAAATTCGTGCGCCTCTAATATAGTAATTCGGAATTATTTTATTCTGACCCATTTCAGGCAGTTTTCCTACTTTATAGGGAAATTCAGCTGATTACTCATAAGAATCTGAAGAGTTTCAACTAAAGCAAGCGAAAATAGGCAAAAATAAAATAATTCCAAAGTACTGTAATAAAGGCGCATATTTGTAGAAGGTAGACCGAAGATTACACAACGACAATTACCGTAACCAAAAACAATTCAAATATTTTCCGGGTTTTTTATCTCGCGAGATCTCGGTTTTTTAGGGCTTTTCAGTTTTCTCAAATTTTTCATTTTTCGACTTTTTTAGTGAAAAATAACAGAAAAATAGTCGAAAATCAATTTAAAAAACTGGAGAATAAATCCTGACAATGCAAGTATTTTTAGGTTACTGTAGTTGTCGTTGCGGGACCTTCGGCTACGGTCAACGGCGTTTAACTTCGAAAATACGGAATTTGAAAGATGCGCTGTTCAAATTTGGGAAGATGAGCTGACAAGCGATAGCAGGATGTTTCGGGCTGTCAAGAGAGACGAAAAAACCGATATTTACATAAAATGAACAAAAAATAGTCACTGGTGGGCCACCACTCCGTTTCCCTGTCCAAAAAGCAAACAGACCGGAGCTTCGAAAATACAGAGAAAAGCCATTCGACACACTCATTCTCTCTCTATCTCTCGTATCCTCCTGACTCACTGTGCTCAGTGGTGGACAAAAGTGTGTGCATTTGCTCTCTCCCAGAGAGCATCCTTCAACATCCGGAAAATGAAAACAACACAATAAAAGGAGCAAAGGTTTATACTATAGTTACTATATTTCACCGTATTTCAATAAATATATACATTTTTTCCAGTATGGGTGAGAGAGGCAATGCAATAGGGGGAGAAGGGGAGAAGGATGCAATAAAACTTTTTGTAAACTATTCAAATATTAGCTAGAAGAACTAGGCAAAAACAGGGATGGGAACGAGAGAAGAAGCGAGAAACCCAATATTATCAAGTAGTTAGTGTTCCAGAATGCGCAGGTTTCCGGAGACGATCTTATTCTCGAGAATCGATCCAGGTGGAATGTCGATACGATCACCATGATTGGCAATAATGATGACAGTACCCTGCAAAATCAACATTTTTGAGAATAAGAACATATTCTGAATCATACCTTCAACGATACATCTTTGCCGAACCAAACGTCTCCGGATACGGTCAAATGATCCAACTCGAGCAAGTCTGGAATACCATTGAAACGGCCCAAGTAGTCCTTGACTTTATCGAATGAAGATCCCAGTTTGACGAGTGGGGTTGTTGGGAAAGATCTCTGGTGAGATAGGGTTAGGGATCCATTATCAATATCGTAGAGGTTTGACATCAGGAGAAGAAGATCAGAAGTCTTTTTGACTGGCAAGAAACGGGAACGCGGCACATTCACTCCAACGGCTCCACGGAACGATTTGATGGCTGCTCCGGCAGCAGTTTCCAGTTGGATGACATCGAGTCCACGGTCGAGATGTTTTGGATTAACAATGACCTCCATTTCAAGCTTATTTTCAGTCACAACTCTCTTCATAGCACTGAGTTTGGCCCACAAATTGTTAGTATTGAAAATTCGGAATTTGCTGATAGATTTGAACTCATCAACGTAGTCCTTTGGAACTTGAGCAATCTCGAGAAGCATAAGCCGTCCTTCGTATTGGATAAGAGTTCCTCCCTTGACATCAGCACGAGTCTTATCAGTGACTTCCATCAAGAATTCTGGAGCCTCTTGTTCGGCTTGTGGATTGAGTACAAAGTTGAGAATGGAGAGATCCACGGTGGCTCCCATGTTGTCAATGTTGGACAAGAAGCAGTACTCTTTTCCATCGGCGATAAATTTGTCGAGAAGTCCCGAGTTGTGGAAGGCCTCGTAGAAGTTTCCGTGACCTGGTGGGTACCAGCACTCATTGTCATCTCCATCAAGAGACTTGACAATTGGGAGAAGAGTCTCACGGTTGATGCGTGGATACTGGGATTGGGAGAAGGTGTGAACGGAGACCTGCAAGAACAACTTTGGGTAATCTCCATCTTGTTGCGACAGATCGGATAAAGCGCAATTATTTTAACGCGCGATATCCGAAGATCGCCGTTATGATAACTGAACATTAGCTATTAGCTACCCACCTTGACATTGGAATACTTCTTGAGCACCTTGCTGGTGTCCTCATTGGTGTTGAACGAGTTCATGAGCACTAGAGGGACATCGACTCCATAAGTCTTGTTCAAAGTCTGAAAGTTACTTCTCATGAGGCTGAAAACTCTTAAAGCTCACCTGAATCTGCTGCATTGTCAAGTCAAGGAATGTCAAGTCGTTGCGAACAGAGATCACCGACTTTGGTCCTTTGCATCCCATCGATGTTCCAAGACCTCCGTTGAGTTTGACGACAACTAGCTTGCGAAGTTGGGCAGCAATGATGTCTTTGGCGGAAACAGTTCCCAGCTGGAAACAAGAAAGTTACTAATTTTTCGACATTCACTGTAAAACCGGTATTAGAAGAGCCCTTCGGAGATAGCTTGGAACAATAAAAGGACCTGCCCTTCTAATACAGGTATCAGGTTCTCCCTTACACTTTTATACGGACGAATAGCTCCCTCTGGAAGAGGCTCAATTTTTGACCAATCGACTGTCGGCTTGGCACGAAGGAAACGAGCGAAAAGGTTACGGAAACCGGAGAGCTCCATTTTGTAATGATCGAGTTTGGCATCCGGAGAGGTGTTCAACAGTGAAGCCAACTCTCCCTCCATGATTGAGAGGGCTTCGCTTTTCGTCGATGTCTTCCATTCTTCGGAGCTCTGAAAAACAAAATCTACTGAAAATAATCAAAAAGTTGATTTCTGTTAGATAATAACTGTTTTTTTCCTGTATTTTGTTATTGTACCTCATCTGGTTTATGGTCAAGCGAGTGAAGACGATGAACTGGCTGTGGGGGCATTCTGATGTTTCTAGAAAGTTACTATTTTCAAACTATATACGGAGAGAAGCTGTAGTCAAAGGGAATTCGGAAAAATTGAAGGGGAAGTGAGAAAAAAAAACGATTTCTGATGTAACGAATCCTTGCGAAGCTGTCGCCGGGGGTACGATTGGAAGAATAGATATCACTTATCGGGGAGATTCGGCAACAAGAAAAACTGGATGAATGCATTCACTCTTTTCAAAACATATTGAAAATCGCACTTTGCCGTATTACGCCTAGACGTTGACATAGGTGGTTAACCTAATAAACAAGGTGTAAAATAATATAACAATATTTTTTTATTACGGTAGATCAGTAATCAAATGTGACAAAGTTCGAATTTGAAAATATCAACAAGACCATATGGTCGATAGAGCTCATAGTACACCAGAGAGATCACGGCAGTTGTTTGAAATGACGCTTTGAAAAATGGAAAAAGATGCAACACTAATTCTTCTTCTTCTTCTCTCCGAACTTGCATCTTTTATAAGCGGCGCCAATCAGATCAGCCTGCGTCTCGACGAGTGCAATAAGCACATACTATATTTGTAGCCACGTGGTCACAAGATATCCTATCATCCATCATCAGTGAACACAACATACAGACTACATGATGAACCATTCGGCCTAGACCGTTAGTACAATGCCTAGCACCTTCTCTTATCAGAGCTCTTGATCGGAGTACTTTGAATTTAGGTCTAATACCCAAATTTCTTAAATTTCAACTTACTTTTTTGTCACCTTGTTCGGTTTCTCGAAACGAAATAAGTCGGTTTCTAGAGTTTGAGACCGAGAGAGAGTTGGCAGAAAACGAAACGTTCATGGTGGCGGGGAGGAAAGGCAATGGTTTGCCTGACCAGTTTGATTTCCAACCGAGTCGAATTGATAATAAAAAAGTTTCTCGAAGATGAAGGAGGAGGCGAAGAACAAGAAGAAGATGAAGAGAGGGCGATGAGATAGAAAATGGAGAAGCAACAACGATTTGGTCACGAGAGATGATAACACAATTTGTAAATGAACAGAGATAACAATGTTGGCACAAAAACTGTATACAGTACACAAGCTTTTTCGGTCAGTCTATGGTCACTGAAAATGGAAACTTACTGGCATCTTGCGAAAGGATCGGTAGTTCTGATAACTGATTAGGTGGAAAGAGTAGAAATAACAGTTCTTTTTATCAATATCTAGGTGGTCGTAAGGCGCGACACAAGGCGGGCGGGACAAACACAGTGTTTATTTGTGTAGATTTCCTACTAAATCGGTCAATATACAATGGGAAGCTCGAGGATGAACAGCAGCAGCGGAGTTTGAAAAAGAAATGAAAAGGGTGGACCCGTGAGGCGACATAGAAACCATTCAGAGGAAGCTAGCTACAAGAATAGCAATCTTTTGAAAACCCTGGTATATGATCCTAGGATTCAACTTCTGAATTATCTCCTCAAGTTGCGAATTGGCTCTTTTATAAAGAACCAAGACCATCTTCCCACTGAATTCCTTCGACCCATAATTTTGTCTTTTTTTTCTTGTATACATATTTGTATTTTTTATTTTCTTTCGCACCGAAAAATCACATATTTGCTCTTTTGTAGGTGGGTGGTGGCTGAGAATGCGACGAGCATTTTGATCTCAGTCTTTGTGGTTTCCACCGTCTCGACTGTTTTTGATGTTAGACCGTCATGGGAAGTGGCGTCACCCAAAGATCACGAACGCAGAAGGGTGATAGGGTAAAGGTACTCACCGGGAAAGGTGCCATTGCTAATAGAAATGATAGCTGGCTTCTGTATCTGCCTGCAAGCTGACTGCAACGAACCGAAATGTATACACACCGGGCCTAGTTGGGAACGTGTCGTTTTGTGGCAGGAAATCAAAAAAAACTACCAGCAAAAAAGAAAAAAAAAGGACAATTGTTGGCTGTGTTTTTAGTCCTTATTATGAATCGGGTGGTTCTATGAGCGTGGTGTTGGACACGGTTATCAGTTAGACGAGGCTTATTTTGTTGCTTATGTTTGTGTTGTGTGCTCTTTTTGGAGCATTTTTACACTTTTGTTTCAGTAATTTGTTCCCTGTAGTTTATGTCTGTAGCCAGGCAGTTGGCAAGAGTGATACACTGAAAGCCACGCGTACCTTCGCTTCTGCCTCGCTGAACGTCGAGAAGCATCCGACGCTGACGTGTCGTTGAGCCATTGTTTCCTGAAAAATCAACACAGTTTAGAAACCAAGAAAGTCGTCTTTAATTGAAAAAAGAAGAAAAAAGAAATCAAGAGAGAGAGAGAGAGAACAGCGGGCATCGAAATCTTTGTTGTTGTTTGTTTGATTCTTCGCGCCCCGATAGTCTCAAAGATTAAATGCGAAAGTAGATCAAGATTGATTTAGCAAGAAATATAAACAGGTCTACATTTAATACTCCAAAAAAAATGGAGAGGTTTCTGATTTTCAAAGAATAAAACTGGCGGGCGTTCTACAGTAGTCGGAGGTCGTGGTGAAGCCAATGCAAGAAAAGTTGTATGCGCCTTTAAAACAGTACCATTTATGAAAAATTTTCTTTCAATTTTCGGAAAAACGACTCAAAATTTTCCGTTTTTTCTCGACAATTCATGAATATAAATTGAAAAAAAATTCTTAAATTACCCAATAAATCATCAATCGGGTAGATAAATATCGCGAGAAAAGTCTGTAACAGAGCCAATATTGTGTCTAATCTTTCAATCTCAAAAAGCAAATGTTTCCCAAAGGTTTTGAAAATTTTCATTCAGAACAAGTAAACTGCTGTGAAGATGCAGAAGAGCAACTGCTCTCTCTCTCTCTCTGGGTCTCTTATTTTCATATCCCCTCTACTTTCATTCGTCCCAGTCGTTGTCAAAATGCACGTTTCTTGTGATGTTTTGTGTGTCCACTCCGTTTTAACTTTATTAGAATACTGTAGGATGAGTTAAATTAAAGTCAAACACATAAACAATATGCATAAAACGTGTGGATGAAATTTCAGAAAATCAGGTGTATATATATAATCTAATAAGCATTTATTTTACAAGTGTGCTGCTCGAAAGAGGAGGGGAGGGGAGAATGAACGACGATCGATTGAGAATTATGAATGGTCTTATGATAATTTTGAGAAAGAAACAGCCTTTTGTGATGCAGCGAGAAAGACGACAGTGTTTTCACAAATAAGTTACAAATAATAGTAGTCGTGGTATTTGAGCGTACTGGATAAAAATGGGTGATAAGAGATCGGTTTACAATTCCGCGGGTGAATTCAAATATAGCCCACCAAAATAAACTATAGTAGAGCCCCCACCACCAAAAATCTGTAGATTTGGAAAAGTTTATCAATTCAAAATGAGCCCCCCACCCATTCAATTATAGACCCCCACTTTTGCGTGGTTTTGGTGTGTGAAGGGTACCGTAGCCGTCATGATGCAAATGTTGGGTGTCTTATTTTCATTTTTCTTGGTTTTTTTCGGAATATCTGTCATTTTTCACCATTTTTATTGTTTTTGGGATCTTTTTTCTGAAAACAAAATTTAGATATGAAACTTTGAGAGTTTCTAAAGAATTGAAACATTCTAAAATTCAGGCTTAGGCCAAAAAATGGTGGGGAGCTATTTTGAATGGGTGGGGGTCTAAAATTGAATGGGTGGGAGCTATTATTGAATAGGCGGGGGTCATTTTTGAATAAAGCGGGCAGGGGGCTCAGATAAGGTTCCCCTTTTCGGGGGCCTTTAATTGAAGAATGAAGGGAGGGGTGGAGTCATATTTTAAGAATCAATCATGGAATATTGGTCCCAAAAGATGGGCTCCACGGTTCCGCGTGGCCAGGGCGGAACGAGCCAGAAGAGGTGTGGCAGGAGAAGTTGTGACCGGTCCCAGAATACTCCGGTCACAAAGAGCCACAGATTCATTTCGAGCAGTTTCGATTTGAAGTGAAGCAGTGGACGTTCCCAGGAATCGTTGCCAGTACACCTAAAAAGAATACTTTGATATTCAAAAAACTATATAGAATACTGGCTTACATCATCAAATTCGAAGAGAGCTGTGATCGCTCTATGACAATCCTGCATATCACGACCAGCTACGGCCTGAGACTGGGATTGCTTTATTGGGTGTCCCATAACCGCTGGAGCCACCATCCGAGCCATCGCTTCACAATTCATTTTGTTCCGACTGCATTGAGCGATAACTTTTCGCCAGTGGATGAAAAGATAAGCCAGAGTGTCACGGTTCGCCTGTGGGAGTTCGCAAATCACTCGGTTCAATGCGAGTCTGCCGTTGTCTGGATCCGTAGAATATAAGTTCGAAGCGGCGATCAACTCCTGACGAGATGTTCTCGGAATCAGCGGGTCCTTAAGATCTCTCAAGAATCTTTTCAGAGTGTCTGTAATCACTTCGACATCGTGAAGTGCTACATTCGGGACAGTCTTCGATCTCAATTCATCAAGGAGCAACGCTACAGTTCTCGTTTGACCTGGTACACGGTAAATTCCTTCTTGGGTCAAACCGCGAGCTTCGAGAGCGACAACACAATGAATAATAGCGGCTGGAATCATTGGCTTGGCGGCAGTACAAAAATCTTGTAGACGGAATTCTCCAGCGCCAGTTTTCGCTCCACGACCAGCCGACTTCGGAGTCATCATTGTTTTCGGACGAGGTATACATGGAAGATGGAGCTTGCTGCAGCAGTTTCTGTGAACCACTTGATGGCAATCTCTGCACTTCATCGAAGTTGCAAGCTTCAGCGCAGTTCCACACTTGTCGCATCTTCTCATCTGAAAAAAGTATCCTTTCAGGTCTGATTCCTTCTTGCTATGATTTTATGATTCAGTGTTTAAATCCTGAAACTCACCGCCTTAATTCCTGCTTCCACAAACGAATGCGGTCTCATGGCGATATCTCGGGTGGCTCCAGTAGTCCATGCGGGTGTTCCACGCTTCAATGTACGAATGTCGAGTGTGCTTTTGGTCAGAATCGCAGACGACATTCCCATTCCGTTGTTGTTCGTAGTTTGGCCAGGAGTATGATCACACGACGGCACACTTCCAACGCTCAGACTTCTCCTAGTAAGTTGTCGGTGCACTGATATACGGGGCTGTCTAGAATTCTGAATGGTCGTGGTGGTAGTAGTCGTGGTTGTCGTGGTAACTTCTGGGTGTAGCGATGGTGAAACTGCTCCATCGTCGCGATAGCGTTTCGGTGGAGTGCTTCCTTCGTTCTGAAACTTATTATGTTGTTTATTATTAGACTGCGCTGACTACTGTAGTCGAGTCATTATGAATTTTCTCTGCTCAGATATCATTTTCTACAACATGGGGTTGAGACGGACGCGCCTCTTCATGATTAGCATGATTCTCATCACTGCAGAAACCAAAATCATATGAAAAATGAATCACTTACTGGCTCCTCGTCTATAGTCGCAGCCATCACACGGCTTCTGCTTCGCTTTGAATTGGCAGCAGCAGTCGTGGCATGAGCTGATGCACTTCTTCTTTTGGAAGTTCCAGCCATGTTACCAGCAGCGGACGATCTTCTAACTTCCCTCCCACTTCTCAACGCGTAACATTCATCGAAACTATCCCCGGTGACATCGTAATCCACTTCACTGTCGCCATCTTCGTCCTGCGTCTCTTCCATCAAATGGGGATGCCTCTGTTGTACCCGTTTCGAGTATGTGCGAACCAATGGTTCGTGGAGGAACTGGAACTGATCCCGATCCTCTTTGGTGAGACTGTTGAAAATGCCATTCTTCATTGCCTCTTTCAGCTGCTTCTCTCGAGTCTCGTAGACATTCAGATCCAGCTTCAACGCCTTATTTTCTTCCATCAAGGCGCGCATGTGCTTCTGAGTATCTTTCACATCAATGTCAAACATTGCCAGCTTCTTGCGAGCTTTTCTGAAAAAGAAACATTATGTGTGAATAGAATGTTGAGTTTGACATACGCGAGTGCTTCCTCGGTCTCTCGCATTTCACTGTTAAGACGTTTCTTCGATTCTTCTGACTCTTTCCATAGCTTCCGGAGACGCTCAATTTCGTCAATGAGATGAAAAATTCCTAAAAATTCCACTAGTCTCTATATTCATTTAGAAACTCAACATACCTATGTCCTTAATATCGAATCGCGATTTTTGTGAGTTGATGATCATATTGTACATTTGTCGCGAGTTGTCGCCGCATAGCTTTTCTTTTGAAGTACTAGACTTCATTCTGCAATTTAGAAACCAATTAGAAATACAGGTTTAACAATCAGCGATCAATATAAAAGTAGAAAATGTGGAAAACGTAGCGAGAAACAGTTTTCCGGATTTGAAACTCGCTGAATTTTGAGAGCCGCGTCGCGACCGCAACGCTTCGCCATGAGGCGCGGCAGCAACAATGGCCTAGGTCTTGCGGCAGATTACTAGTCCCTCACAATGTCTTTTTGATTTCAACTTTTTTCACAATATTTTTCGAATTTTCAGTTTTTTTAAATGTTTTTTTCAGGTATGTCAAATGAAGTCACAGTTGTTTTACAGGACAGGAAGACTGGTCAACGACGAAACTATACAATAAACGTACGAATTTCCATAATGAGCTAATAAAAAATTTGAAATCTCAGGTTAACAACAATGAAAACATACTGGAGTTGACAAAAAGCGTAGAAAAGATTACAAAGATTCCAAGTGAAGAGTTAGAAGTGGTGTTTTGTGGAAAGAAACTTTCAAAATCGACAATTATGAAGGATTTGTCGCTGACTCCTGCAACACAGATAATGTTACTTCGACCAAATTCCGTTGTAAAAACAGCAACTTCAAGTTCAAAGTTCCAAACAACTGATTCCTCGATTCTAGGAAGTTTTTATGTCTGGTGCAAAAGTTGTGACGACGTTCGAAGAGGAAAACTTCGCGTTTATTGTCAGAACTGCGAGTCAACTTCGGTGTTGGTAAAGGCAGAACCACAGAACTGGATGGATGTTCTGAAAAGCAAAAGAATACCAGTGACATGTGAGAACTGTTGTCGACCTGGACTTTATGCAGAGTTCAAATTCAAATGCCTCACTTGTAACGATTTAGCCGCAGCGTTAACTCATGTTCGAGGAAACTGGCAGATGGCGGAATGCTGTATTTGTGATGGAAAAGAGAAAATCATTTTTGATCTAGGATGTAATCATATCAGCTGCCAGTCTTGTTTCAAAGTATGCAACATATAAATTGACTAAATTGACTATTTGACTATTGCCCAATTAAAATTTGTTTTAGGATTACCTTCTGAGCACTCTCCAAGAATTCCATTTCAAAAACCGCCCGCCGTACGGATTCACGGTCTCCTGTGTTTATCCAGAATGCAATCGTACGTTTTTGTGATAACTACTGTCATCTAAAACAGTCGAGCTAGTCTTCAGGAGTAGTCCAAGACGTTCACCATTTTCATGTGATGGGTCAATCCTCATACAGTGAGTATCAACGAAAGGCCACCGAAAGGCTTATTGCAATCGACGATGAAGGTGTTACATGCCCAAACCCTTCGTGTGGACAAAGCTTTTTCTGGGAACCCTACGATGATGACGGAAGATCGCAATGTCCGGATTGTTTTTACACGTTTTGCAGAAAGTGTACTGAAAGAGATTGTGTTTGCCAAAGTGAAGACGACCTGACAAGAACAACTATTGAAGCGACTACCAGGTATTCCAAATTTGAATTCTACCAAGTTATAAAAAAAATTTGAATTCTACCCAGCTATACTCTTTTACAGACGATGCCCAAAGTGCAACGTGGCAACAGAACGCAACGGCGGGTGTGCTCATATCCATTGCACATCGTGCGGAATGGATTGGTGCTTCAAGTGTGTCACAGAGTGGAAAGAGGAATGTCAATGGGACCATTGGTTTAACTGATTCTGGCAATTTTGTATATTGTATAGTGTTAATTGTAAATATCTAGCTACACGTGGCATATCCTAACCATGTTCTTATCTGCAATATCGGTTCTATTCTATTGATTACGGTAATTATGAATATAGTGCCATTAAAGTGCTTGCAATTTTGTTTTCAATATTTTAAATCTTCTAGAGTTTGTATCTCTCATTATCTTTGCAATTACGTCTCACTCATTAACCTTGATAATTATCACTTCAGTTCAACTACGAGAACAGCCGAAATGTCGGGACAAGGACCGCCATCGAACTTAACTCCTCAGCAGCAACATGTAATGTCTTGAACCTTCTCTTCAAATATTCTGACGAATAATCAGTTTGTAGATGATTATGCAGCAGCAGCAACAACAACAAATGATGCGACAACAACAGATTCAACAACAGCAATTGCACCAAAGACAGTTGCAACAACAGCAAGCGCAACAGCAGCAGGTAATAATATTGAAATGACGGATTTCATTACCTTTTTTGCAAGACTTTCAGTCGTATCAACGTTCTCGAACACCACAGATGCAACAGCATCCAGGCGGAGGATCACCAGGATCACACCTCCAGATGCATCCACATCTGCAATCACAGGGGCATATGCAGCCTAGATCCCCACTTGTCGGACAACATCATCCAGCACCCGGAAGTATCCCACCTGGAAATCCAGCGACACCACAAATGATGCAGCAGCAAATGGGAATGAATGTAAGGGTTTATTATCCTGTTGATAGCAAATCTCGAAAAAAATATTTAAAAAAAAAACAATTTCAGCAACCAATGTCACTCCCTGCGCCGCATGTGTCCCGCCCGGGATCTGTTGCACCACCAGCATCAGTTCCACCAAACATGCACACTGGTCCTTCGAGCAATCAAATGGATCAAATGGGAGGCCAATCGCAATATTCACATCATCTCCAACCACAACAACCACTTTCTCGTCCTGGATCTCAACAAAGTCACATTGCTGGTGGTCACGGCGGACCCCACTCTGTTCAACAACCAGGTAGCATTCAAAGACCAGGATCTGTGCTTGCTCCTGGATCTATTCAACAGCCAGGATCACTTCTTGCTCCGGGATCCATGCACCAACCGGGGTCTGTTCAGCAACCAGGTTCTCTCGGGGCTCCCCTATCACATACTGGTGCTGGAGGACCTCAATCCGTTCAAGGCTACGGTCCAGGATCTGTTCAACCGCCTGGCTCAGCCCAAGCACCATCATCAGTTCAACCCGGTTCCACTTTTGCTCCAGGATCTCTGCAAGCTCCAGCCAGCCAACAACCACCTGCTTCCATCCAACCACCACCATCAGCTGCATCTGGATCTGTCGCCGGACCAGCAAGTGCTGCTCCAGCTAAAGTGGAGCCATTGAAGCCAAATGAAGAGCAAATAAGAATGGTTCAAGATCCAGTTGATTTAGTTCGAAACTTGGTACAAAAGGATCTAAGAATGTCTGTAGTAGAAATGAACAAGCGTGGTGCCGAGTTGCTGCATCAAAAAGAGGAAGGAGCTATCAAGGAAGAAGATAGACAACAGTACAAGCGAGCTACAAATGATTTCCATGCTGTTTGTGATGAAATTGACAGAACGCTGACGACAATTATGGAAACTGCTAAACAAATAACGAAACTCGACAAAGTGTTCCAGGATAGAACATCGAAAGAAATCGACGGTGAAGCCATGGTCAACTCTGTGCAGAAATTTGTTGACGAAACTGGCATAGTAAGCATTGATGCATGATTCATTTTGTTTCTATATTTCAAGTTTCAGGTTCAAAAAATGTTCGATGACACAGTCAACAGCGTTACTAGCACTATGGAGAAAATGCGTCGCCGTCAGAAGAAGTGGAAAGATCAACAACAGCAACAAGAAAATGCCGAAGACGCTGAAATGGCGGAGTGATGTGTGTTATTATTGAATCTCTAATTATATCTTGTGTGGGAGGTTGTCTTTCATTCTGATCTTCATATTCTGATTTATTTATATAAATTTATATTTTCAATCATTCATGTACTTGTGAATAAAGTTTTATTAAATTGTGGCAGTTTGCATTGCTTTCCGAGTCAACTCTTTTGATTCCAAAATGTCGGCTGCTGTGAATTCTCCCAATAAGCTTGATAGTTCGTTTCTGAAAGAGAAACCGATGTATAAGAATTAAAAGTTTTGAAAAAAGAATTCACCGTTCACTTCTACCCAATTCTTCGATGGGATCCAAATTGCCGGATATCACTATTACTTCCATCTGAAATAACAATTTAGGAATTTAGAAGGATTATACTGGTACAAATAAAATCGGAGCAGTGGAAGAGGAACACTGGTGGCCGTGTCCAAAAGTACCAGAACGAAAAATACAGTAAACAAGAAATGTTTTCATTTTCCAGATTTTTTTAAATCGACTTTCACTGATTCTTGTCGGGTTTTCTGTTAATTTTCCTCAAACATAAAATTTTTTGATAGTGAAAAATTTGACTGAAAACACTCGTAAAAACGAGTAACAAAATACGGAAAAAATATTTTAGGTTACGGTAGTTTTCGTTGTGAGACCTTCCACAGCTCCGATTTTTTGTACCAGCAAAATAAAGTTATTTCATACCAATTTTCTAATCTGATCTGGAATATGTCCAAGTGATTTCGCAACGAAAACAAATAGAATATCTTCTGGCAACTCGAGTGGTTTATTCTGATAACAGACTTCCTTTTCTTCACTTTTCATCAGAATCTCGTGCATTTCCGGAGGTGGAACTTCGGTTACATTGAAGAAAACAGTTGGTACAATAGAATAAACATGCTTCGGTAGGGATAAAACCATTTGAGGATCCTTCCACGTCATCAGACTCATATCCAGGTACGTTGCACCCGGAAGCACAGCTCGAAGATTCAGAAGAAGAGAGTCGGACGCAGATGCAAAAAGACAAAATCTCCTCGACATTTTTAGATTTCGAAGGATCTTGTTGATGACGTTGGAAGGAGTAGCTACAGAAGGATCGAAGGACACTGAAACAGAGTTTAGATGAGCAGTACACATCGATGTGCACATCTGAAAAAAAATGTGTTAAAGATTACTGTAGAATACAATTACAAACCGTTGCAACTGACTTCTCTTGACACAATAAATGAGATCTATAAATTGCAAAAAGTAATGTGCTTCCAATCAATTCTTTCTGTTTCTTCTCGTTTTGCTTCAATTGCGACTTCCATCGTTTTCTATGTGGTTTCAGAGCGTTCAACAAATCCCCACTTCTCAATCGATAATCACATAGACGACGATCATTCGCCAGTACTTGTTCATTTTCACGAATCAGATTGGTTAACTGAAAATAGGTCATCACATCAAATTTCAAAAAAAATTGGAACGCTTCACGAATTTGCGTGTCATCCTTGCGCAGGGGCCATGCTAGTCTTCTCTGTATTGTTCCAACACAGGTCCTGGGCGACGGAGGACGCGCCGATGAATTGGGTACAGGGGAAGGGCGCCGGTATGGGGCATATACGGGACATATGGGGCACACCGCCGCCGCAAAGCATCTCCTCGCCTGGCTTGCTGGCACTCGATGAAATGAACTAAAACGTTGGTTGGGGGTTCCTAGAAGTATCAGTTAAGTTCTATTGTGATGTGATTTTGTTCAGGTCTTCCGATTTCGTACTTTTCCTTTATTATTCCATATTATTTTATATTTTGAACGACATATTACTGATTTTTCGAAACTCATTGTTTTTGTTTTGAAAAAGACTTATGGCAGTTTCTATTTAAATTTGATATGCAAATTCATATTTTAAAAATACAATCAAAAACAGAAGAAATGGGAAAAAATCGCTAAAAATTGTTTTGTTTTCATTTCAAAAAATATGTCTCACTTTCACTTATTTTGAAATTGCGTGAAAAAATTTTTATAATTTACACTTTGTAATTATTGCATACTTATCAACTTACCTTTTATTCCACCTGAAAATACGATTTTTACAATAATTACAAAGTGGAATCAAAAAATCTCAATATCACCTATTTTGGCGAAAAACTTAGCAATTAACGAGTGAAAGACATGTTTTTGCAAGAATTCAGCGATTTTTTATTCTGCCATAACTAGGCACCGCAATGAAAGGGGGCGGGGCGACCAAATTTTTCTCCCCTTTTCAGAAATCCATCTTTGAAGGCTTGTACCGGGCGTTAGAAACCCATTATTTTTTTGGTGAGAACTTGTCCCTATGTAATCGACTACGCTGAATCCAATGAAATTATCAGTTCTTCGATAACTTTATTATTTTGATTCGAAAACTTCGAAAAATAGAAGTGGGACTGACAAAGTGGACTAAAAGTGTTGGATGGAAGTTCGCGCCATTAGATTTTTTAATGGATTCTGATAGTTTTTGAACTGGGGGATTGGATTTTGAAATAAAATCAAAATTCTAACGACGCCCTTGTTTCACAATTTTCAGCCAAAGTTCCAGCTAAAATAAATAAAAAATTTCAGCGATGACCCCAATTTTTTTTTGCATATTATGGTAAAACTAAGTCTTGTGTATACTTCTGCCAATTTTCAGAAAGATTGGATACCTCTAAGTAGTTTTGATACTCATCCGAAAATTCCAAACTTTCAAAATTTTCAGTTTTTGGAAGTTTTGAAGGTGACACAGGTGAGCGCCACCGATTTTCTTTTCACCATAAGATTCTACGCAAAATTTGCCACTAAGAGCAATTATAATTAAAAAATTCTATCGACGCCCTTAATGTGTTATACGTCTGTTTCCTTATCTATCATGGAACAACTTGTAAAAAATAGGAAAGAGGCAACACCGGAAGGAGACGGCAGGCAATGAAAAGTCGTCCTTTCCTCACTCTCATCTATTGCTTCCAAGGGAAGTGCAGCGGTGGCAGACTGGTTAGTGGGCGCGCGCACCGATCTGAAGACCGAAGTTCGCATCTCCCATGGGGTTTTTTGTTTTTTTTTCCTTTTTTCAATGGTTTTTTCCTTTTTTCAATGTTATAAACTTATTCTTTTCGTTTTTTTACCCTAAAAACTGCTTTTCCGACAAACCATGATGCGATTTTGATGAAAAAACAGCGCTCGGAATAGCGCCACAATGAAACCGCGCCGCAGCTAAGCCCCGCCCACTTTTCTGCGCACCGCAAAAAAATGAGGAGAAATTCAGTACATTGAGGTCTGGTATAAAAGGGGCTGTAACTCGGGATTGAATGAAGATTTTTCCCTGAAATTTTGGGAATGGACTTCTATAAGTAGGAGAATACAATCCAACAATAAAAACTGGGAAAAAGTCTATTTTGAAAATTTTGTTGTGGTGCCTAGCCATAACTCTTTTTCACAAGACCCATATCACACACATCGCCCACCCACCTAGAATCTATCTAGGATACGCGCGCATTCGGAACACTCGATTCAGCCTCTCCCGCATCGCCAACATATGAGACTCATCGCAGCTCGTTTTCGCGGGGTATGTGGAGAGCGGCCGACATCTCGCGGGTTCCGCCGTCCACTATGTTTTGCGTGTGGAGTGGGCGGGGCGAAAAAAAGAGGGAAGAGGGGGAGAAGAGACGCAGACGGAGAAGAGGAGTGGGCTCAAAAGAGGGAAATACCTTCTCCACATCAACCTTCAATTGTTGTAGTTCACTGGATTCGTTCTCAAACTTCTCTTCAGTCTGTTTAATCTGCTCCCGGAGTTCTTTCATCTCTTCCACTTGTTCTTCCATAACTCTCAAAGTGCTGAAAATTATCAATTTCCTTTAGAATCTCTCAAATAATTAAAGTAACCATGCGAGCTCCAAAAATGCATTAATCCATCTGCAAAGGCAGGCGCAAACCACCGATTCATGCTCGATCTTATTCGCATTTAATTCAGCTCTCTCCACGTATTTCTTCAGAATCTTCATCTGATCCACAGTCAAAATATCAGCGTCGCAGGTGGCTAATTTGATGAAAAACGATTTATCACTGACGAATTTCACCGACTCTTGCCATGTTTCTGCGGCATGTCTCTCTGGAAAACTTATTTAAGAATTAGGAGAATAAGGCTGAAGAGGCTACTTGGTTTGAAATTCGGTTCAAAGATGGATCGCAGCATTTCACAACACAGGCGAATTCCGACTGATGGTTTTGTGATTTTTGACAAAGTTTTAATATCGGCGTTAGAGAATTTGAGAAGTTCTTCCACACATTTACGGAACTCTTCTTGGGGAGCCTGAACAATTGAATTTGATAGGAAGATTAAGAAAATGTATACAGTAAAACCTGTGATTCAAACTGTCCATCTACCGTAAGCACTCTAATAGAAGGGCAATCAATACCTGCCTTTTGAACTCAATTTTCTCAACTTCTATAAAAGATATCAAAAATCTGTCAACTAATAAAACATGAATCATAATATCACCAACACTTTAACAGTTGTCTTATTTTTTTATATCCCTTATCAAAACCATGAAAATTGACCAACAAAAAACTAAAAATATCGTAAAAATCAATTTTGGGGATCTGACAAAAGAAGTGTTTTCAGGCGGGCGTTGAGAATTTTCTGAAAATTTCAGTACATATAGTTTGAGACATTCTCTATACGATGACAAAAAAATCTAGGTCCAATTCTCACCAGACAGCTGAAAATCTTCGTCTGAAAATTTGAGCCGATTTTGCCACACAAGCGATTCCAGCTTCCCGCTCCCTCCTCTACCACTTTCACGTGAGTAGAAAATGTGGCTGTGTGGTGTTGTGGTAAGAGGGTGACTCATTGCCTATAGGCGTGATTATGCTGGTTCGAACCCCACTGTGGTCAAACTTTTTGTTGCGTTTTTTGAAACCAATTTTTGATTTCCAGTTCGGTCCTTTAGACACTTTTTGTTACCTTTTGATGAATTTCAATGGTTTTCCAAGTAAAAAAGTATTTTATGAGAACTTTATGAAAAATTTAAAAATGATCATTTCGATCGGTCCTTACAGCATCCTATTGTTAATCAACGAAAACTTCAGTCTCTGAAAATTACTCAACTCTGCTCTTTTCGAGGTGGGGTACTGGTAAATCGATCACACACAAGATTTGAACCTATTTCTATAGATTTCAGTTCATTTCAAGCAATATTCAAGGAGTTAGGGATAGTCAAAGTTCTAAAAACAATCACATTTTGGATATTTTTTGTGCCCAAAGACGAAATTGGGCTGTCAATTTTTGTCAGAATGTTATTTTTTATTTTTCTGAATAATTGGACCATTTTTTCAAAAATTTCAAAAAAAATCGTTTTCAAAGTGTGGGGGTGATTTTTTTTGATGGTGATTTATTTTCAAAAAAAAATTTTTTTGAAAATGTTCAAAAACTATTTCAAATGAAAGAGAAGTGTTCGAAAATGAGTTTCGCATTCAAAAACATCCTGAAAAACGAGTTTTAAAGCTCGAAAAATGAGCATTTTCAGCCAAAATTCAGTACTTAAAACACTTTGAGAGCCCATATTCTGATTCCTATTGGGAATGGGACCGAGATATTGTTGAAACCGTTTTCAGCATGTTCGAAAGTACCTGTGTACAAATTTTCAGCAAATTCTCAATGCCCCTCTGAAAACACTTCTTTTGTGAGAAAAAATTGCTAGAAGGCACTAAATTCTCCAGGAAATTTCAGGCAAGATCATGAGAAGCAAGAACACTTTAGCTGGCAATCAAGACAAATGTGACCTGTGGAAGTTTCGAGTATCTAAAAATTGTTTGCCCACTCAAAACGTCAACTTTGACCTAAACTATCTCGATCCTTGTGAAATATATAAAAGTTTTTGTAAACTGATAAAATATTGATGATGTTGTGATAAATAATTTATTCGTTAAAAACTTTTTGAAATCTTGCGCAAGAATTGAGATAAATGAGCTCGAAGTTGACCGTTTGGGTGGGCTTTTATAGAGTATATACTTTTCCCGATTACTATGTAATTTCTAAAAAGTTTCAATGTTAGAATATTCCAAATGAAGAGTCTACGGGAACATCATTTGCCAATGTTCTATTCCATTACCTTACCGAAACAATTGCCTCTACTGAAGTTTTCAACGCTTCTTCTGCTGCTTTCATTGTCTCCAAATTTGCTGTTTTCACAGTAATCAATTCTGAAAGCACCTCGATCCGTGCACTTTTCACATTCCTCTCTTTATTCATTTTTGATAACATTTCCTCTTTCTCAACAATCCTTTTTTGAACTGCTTCAACGTTCACATCTTTCCCGATTTCCGCTAATTTTTCAATTTGATCACATGTATGAAGCGCTTCATTCAATCGTGTGCCTTCTGCTACTAGTTCTCTGAAAACGAAAAAAAACGCGGTCAGGTAGGTATCATGTATTAAGAGTAATGCGGAAGTGTTTACTACTTTTTCTCAATCTGATCGCTTATCTTCTTCTTTCTATTCTCTCTTTTTTCCATTTTTCAGGGACACTTCTCACATTAAGATTCTGCCGTTAGAGGTTACACAAAGAGTGTTGTAAAACCGTATAAAGAGAAAAAGGGGCGGAACGAAAAATAAGAGTATAAAAGGGAACGACAACGACATGAAAAGACACCTCATCTGGAAATGGACGAGAAGCAACGCCTTCAGGCTTACCGCTTTGTTGCCTACTCGGCAGTCACTTTCTCGACTGTCGCCGTCTTCTCCGTATGTTAAAATTCTATAACTTTCAAGATTTCATGAACTCCTTTCAGCTGTGCATCACCCTTCCATTGGTGTACAACTATGTTGACGGAATCAAGACCCAAATCAACCACGAGATCAAGTTCTGCAAGCACTCTGCTCGTGACATTTTCGCTGAGGTGAACCACATCCGTGCCAATCCAAAGAACGCTTCCCGTTTCGCCCGTCAAGCTGGATACGGAACCGACGAGGCTGTCAGCGGAGGAAGCCAGGGAGCTCAAGGAGGATCCTGCTCTGGATGCTGCCTTCCAGGAGCCGCCGGACCAGCTGGAACCCCAGGAAAGCCAGGAAGACCAGGACGTCCAGGAGCCGCTGGACTTCCAGGAAACCCAGGACGCCCACCAGCACAACCATGTGAGCCAATCACTCCACCACCATGCAAGCCATGCCCACAAGGACCAGCTGGAGCTCCAGGAGCCCCAGGACCACAAGGAGATGCCGGAGCTCCAGGAGCCCCAGGACAAGGATCAGGAGCCGGAGCCCCAGGACCAGCTGGACCAAAGGGAGCCCCAGGAGCACCAGGAAACCCAGGACAAGCTGGAGCCCCAGGACAACCAGGAGCTGATGCCCAATCTGAGTCTACCCCAGGAGCCCCAGGACCAGCCGGACCACAAGGGCCACCAGGACCAGCTGGATCCCCAGGAGCCCCAGGAGGACCAGGACAACCAGGAGCCCCAGGACCAAAGGGACCATCCGGAGCCCCAGGACAACCAGGATCCGACGGAAACCCAGGAGCCCCAGGACAACCAGGACAAGCCGGAGGAGCTGGAGAGAAGGGAATCTGTCCAAAGTACTGCGCCATCGACGGAGGAGTCTTCTTCGAGGACGGAACCCGCAGAAAGTAAATGCGACATTCTTTGGTTTTCTAGATACAATAAACAGTTTTCATTTCATCTCTCTTTTCTTTTTAAATTCATACAAAACTTAATCTAAAGAAGAGGTTTCTTCTCTTCGTGGTTTCTTCTCCGTTTGAATCAGAAAATGTACGTGAAGTGAAAGTTGATGCCATTGGTTTGCAAAACACATTGAAAACGAATTTTCAAGTAGCCAAAAAAGAAAAAGGGAGTGTCTCTTCTTTTCAGTATCTTTCGGTTGCAATTGGCTAATCACTCAAGAATTCTTCTATCCACTTCAGTTTGTAAAAAAGGTTGAACTAATAATAATTCAATTGGAAAATGTGTTAAACGGACAATGAAACAAAGGAAATTAGAGAAAGAGAGAAAAGTTGATGAGGTTTCAAGAGTCGATTGTGTAAACGAGGTGTTTGTTGGAAGGAAAACTAAATGAAGAAGGTTCTTGTAAGAAAGATTAAAGAAGTTGGGCAATAAAACTTATAGTACCTGATGTAAAACCTGTAATAAATAGAAAGGCTCCTTAACTTTGAAATTCGAACCAATGTTTCTCGGTATCTGTCAAAGATATTGAAAAGTGGTCAACTGATAATAATGTATATCGAAACATCAGAAGTGTTTTCACCAGTTGACAAATCTTTGATATCTTTCACAGGAACCGAGATGAATTAATTCAAGCTTGACAAAAAGTGAGGACCCTTCTATTACAGGTTTTCGAGTAAATTCAAACTTGCGATATTTTGAACTGAATTAGGGAAGATCAATTGGCAACCACTTAAAATTCCAATCTATCTAAAACATTGAATTTTCGGTTTTGGATTCTTAAAAACTCGTCCGAATAATTCATTTGTGTTCAAGTTTACTAGTAATCGATTCAAAAGATACCGTAAACATTCTATAGAAGGCCTATACTTGCACTTTGAGCCTAATTATCTCGATTTCTATAAAAGATAGCAAAAGTCTGCCAATTGATAAAATGTAGGTGATAATATAACAAGTAGTGATTTTCAAAAGTTTTAATTTTGGGAAAAATATTCAGAAAGTGTTAATATTTCTGTTATATTTGTTGAAAAAAAACACGTTGCTCCCAAAAACTTAACGGTCCATCTTTTGGGAGATTCAAAAGATTTACGTGGCTCACAAAAATTTTTGAAATTTCAGTACTTTGATGTGAAAATTAAAACATTTGAAATTCACTACTTGTTATATGATAAACATTTTATCAGTGGATGAATTTTAGATATCTTGTATAGGAGCTAAGATAAGTTAGCTCAAACTTGACAATGTGATGGATATTTGTGCTTGTTTTATTTCCCTTCTTTATTATTTGAAAAATGAGCCATTTCCATGCTTGGTCATATCAAACGAATCACAATCAGTAAGCCATGAAAATGCCTCTAGATCAGTTTTTCCATAGTTGTTTCTGTAAAAAATGCGGAACCTGAGTTCTCAAACACTGTATTTTTTTCTCAGTTTTGAAGAATTTCATTCAATGGGGATATTAAATTTCCTTTAGAGTTGGATTCTAGTCGTCATGTACGATCCACTCCACAAGTGACAGCTTTTCTATCAATTTTAAAATAACTCTGGTCATTGATATTTTCAGTTTCAGTTTCCAATATCTTTCAACTTCGAGAAGACAAAGCGAGACGGTAAACCAATTAAAAGTTATCAACCAATCAGTCTCACGACGAAAGGGAGACTTCAGAACCAACCCAGCAGTTCATGGTCACTTGTGTCCTCTGGCTTGCCATCTTTTTCAATAGCTACTACTTCCCTATCACTTCCTCTTTTCTCTAATCATCTCAATCCCTAACAATATCTCCTCCCGTTTCAATGCCAAACAGCGTCATGAAAACAGATAATACGAGGCTATTTGACAGCAAAGGAACAAACGATTTCTGAACACTCCTTCTCAATTATTTCACCGTCAACTGCAAAAACCCTAAGCTACTCTCCACCCATTACAGTTTGAGTGTAAACTTAAACAAGACAGTTTAACGAGAATTGGATGAGTATAAAATGGGGACGAAGGGACTGGAAAAGTGCGCATTTGCTTGCCCCATCTCTTCATCGCAATGGAGGAGCAACAACGTCTTCATGCTTACCGCTTTGTCGCCTATTCGGCTGTCACCTTCTCGGTTGTTGCCGTCTTCTCCGTAAGTTTTGTTAATAATCAATGCAGTGGTAACTCGATCGTTTCAGCTCTGCATTACCCTTCCAATGGTCTACAACTACGTCCATGGAATCAAGACCCAAATCAACCACGAGATCAAGTTCTGCAAGCACTCTGCTCGTGACATTTTCGCTGAGGTGAACCACATCCGTGCCAATCCAAAGAACGCTTCCCGTTTCGCCCGTCAAGCTGGATACGGAACCGACGAGGCTGTCAGCGGAGGAAGCCAAGGAGCTCAAGGAGGATCTTGCTCTGGATGCTGCCTTCCAGGAGCCGCCGGACCAGCTGGAACCCCAGGAAAGCCAGGAAGACCAGGACGTCCAGGAGCCGCTGGACTTCCAGGAAACCCAGGACGCCCACCAGCACAACCATGTGAGCCAATCACTCCACCACCATGCAAGCCATGCCCACAAGGACCAGCTGGAGCTCCAGGAGCCCCAGGACCACAAGGAGATGCCGGAGCTCCAGGAGCCCCAGGACAAGGATCAGGAGCCGGAGCCCCAGGACCAGCTGGACCAAAGGGAGCCCCAGGAGCCCCAGGAAACCCAGGACAAGCTGGAGCCCCAGGACAACCAGGAGCTGATGCCCAATCCGAGTCTACCCCAGGAGCCCCAGGACCAGCCGGACCACAAGGACCACCAGGACCAGCTGGATCCCCAGGAGCCCCAGGAGGACCAGGACAACCAGGAGCCCCAGGACCAAAGGGACCATCCGGAGCCCCAGGACAACCAGGATCAGACGGAAACCCAGGAGCACCAGGACAACCAGGACAAGCCGGAGGTGCTGGAGAGAAGGGAATCTGTCCAAAGTACTGCGCCATCGACGGAGGAGTCTTCTTCGAGGACGGAACCCGCAGAAAGTAAACACTCAGGAAGACCATCTAGTCTTTTATCGTCTAGTCATTTTTTATTCAATAAAACCATTTCACTGCCAGTTTCTTTATTAAATCACTTCCCAGAAAATCATCTGTTATTGAAGTTGAAGATATGAAAAGAGTTGGAATTCCAAAAACCCAAAAACCAAAGTGCAATAAACTTGACAACGTTTCAAAATCGTCGTTAATAATTGCCTTCGTTCAGAATCCTAACAGTTCCGGTTTATTGTACTAGATGCTTTTTTAAATCAAAATCAGAAGATAAATGCGTCGAAAAACTTCGTCTAGTCATCAACAAAACATTGATCGGGATCGGACATCCACGATGTATCTGTATCAAAATAACTTTATTTTTGGATACATCGATTTCCGTGCAAGCAAACAGTATTCACACAACTCGGTATTAATTTTCAACCTGTAAATACTGTATAAAACCTGTGTATCAGAAGCTTGGGTTTGTTTTCACAAGAAAACGACACTTACAATCATTTTAGATACCGTAAAACATGTAATGGAAGTGCCCTTCACTTTTTACTTTGAACATATTTTTCTCGGTTCCTGTCAGAGAATCAAAAAAGCTGTCCACTGAGAAACTGTTAATCATAATATCCCAGAAATTGTATTAGTTGGCACATTCTTGATATCTTTCATAGAAATTTACATAATTAATCTCAAACTTGACAATGTGGGATCCCTTCTATCACAGATTTTACGGTAACATCGAACGCGTTGTGTAGAAGAAAACATGTTACAAATAGGAAACCATCCAGGAAACATATTAAAACTTAGCGTTTAAAATCAGAGATATCAAAAAGTAATCGAGTGATGAAATGTGTATAATAATATCCATAAAATTTTACTAGTTGACTGTTTTTTTTATATCTTTTACAGGGAACGAGCTATACAGGTTCAAAATTGACGGTTTCCGTTGCAAGCTACATATTAGAACGTTTGCGGCAATTTTTTCAGGAAATTTTTTAAAAATTTTAGTATTTCAGCTCAATGAACAATTGCACTTCTACTTATAAATTTCAAAAATTTTCCATGTTTTCTGGTGACCTATTCTGTAAATGGACAACAAGATTTTATCAGTAATTTGATTGAGAAGGTCACTCGCCGTATTCAAAAGCATTGTTTGAGTGTTCCGTCAGAAATATTTCAGTGTGTCTTCTTCTTTCTAAAATCACACTAAACTGTTTGTAATGACCTCTTTTTGTAAGAAGTACCATTCTTTCTTTTCTTAAAATCTATCTGCCCCCTTCCTATTACAATATCAACTTCCTCTATTTTCCCCTCTTTACACCTTCGCGCGTTGCGGTATAAAAGAACGGGTTGAGAGTGAGAGAACATCAGTCGGATCACCTCATTCAGCAATGGACGAGAAGCAACGTCTTCAAGCTTACCGCTTTGTCGCCTATTCGGCTGTCACCTTCTCGGTTGTTGCCGTCTTCTCCGTAAGTTACAGCTTGATAGCTTTGAAGACTTCATTCAAAGTTTTCAGCTGTGCATCACCCTTCCATTGGTGTACAACTATGTTGACGGAATCAAGACCCAAATCAACCACGAGATCAAGTTCTGCAAGCACTCTGCTCGTGACATTTTCGCTGAGGTGAACCACATCCGTGCCAATCCAAAGAACGCTTCCCGTTTCGCCCGTCAAGCTGGATACGGAACCGACGAGGCTGTCAGCGGAGGAAGCCAGGGAGCTCAAGGAGGATCCTGCTCTGGGTGCTGCCTTCCAGGAGCCGCTGGACCAGCTGGAACCCCAGGAAAGCCAGGAAGACCTGGACGTCCAGGAGCCGCTGGACTTCCAGGAAATCCAGGACGCCCACCAGCACAGCCATGTGAGCCAATCACCCCACCACCATGCAAGCCATGCCCACAAGGACCAGCTGGAGCTCCAGGAGCCCCAGGACCACAAGGAGATGCCGGAGCTCCAGGAGCCCCAGGACAAGGATCAGGAGCCGGAGCCCCAGGACCAGCTGGACCAAAGGGAGCCCCAGGAGCACCAGGAAACCCAGGACAAGCTGGAGCCCCAGGTCAACCAGGAGCTGATGCCCAATCTGAGTCTACCCCAGGAGCCCCAGGACCAGCCGGACCACAAGGACCACCAGGACCAGCTGGATCCCCAGGAGCCCCAGGAGGACCAGGACAACCAGGAGCCCCAGGACCAAAGGGACCGTCCGGAGCCCCAGGACAACCAGGATCCGACGGAAACCCAGGAGCCCCAGGACAACCAGGACAAGCCGGAGGAGCTGGAGAGAAGGGAATCTGTCCAAAGTACTGCGCCATCGACGGAGGAGTCTTCTTCGAGGACGGAACCCGCAGAAAGTAAACAATTTCTTTTCTTATTCAGTAGAAATAAACGATTTTTTAAATCAACTCACTTTTTCTGTTGTCTGAATACAATTTGAAAACAGTCAGCAACTTCAAACAATTGGCTGAATAGAGTTCCAGGAAGAGCAATGCCTATTGCTTGTAAATACTTTTTAACTGAAAGCGACTCATTCAAAAAACGGGAAAAATCTCTGGAAAACGAACCAATGAAAAATGTAGAAACAATGATTTGTGTTGCTTCATCAACTTTGCAATCCGATATAATTTTTGAAACTTTTGAGATCAAATCGGACTTTTCAATGTTCTGAATTTTCCAATGTTTGAGAAGACTTCTCACGAAAAAAAAACTCACGGGAACATGGAAAATTGTGCACCAGGAGAAGTCGCTCTTAAACTGCGGATCCACAAGAAACATCACATGAAGGGCATCAAAAATCCTTGCTTCTAGAACTTTCCGAAGCGCTTGCGGTTCTTTTAATGTTTCCACAGGAAGATATTTACACATTCTCTGTCCGGGAAGTCTCAATCCAATCGTTTGCATTTGAGTCGCCAAGTTCTTCTCGCATTCGATCAATTGTTCTCCCATAGTGTGGAGTTGCTAAAGAGCTTTCAGATTCTTGTTAATTTCAGAATCTAGTTCTCACCTCGTCAGAAACTAGATGCTGTGTATTGGGACATTCAATCCATAGTTTGATTTGTTCCATCCAGCGAGGCTCCACTTTTTCGTACTGAAACAATGTTTACTGAAATTATGACTGAATACACAGATACACAAATATTATTCTGGTGCAAAAACTGGAGCTTTGGAAGAGAAACGCTGGTGGCAGCTGCCGAAGGTCTCACAACGACAACTACCGTAACCTATAAATATTTTTTATTCTCCGTTTTTTTCTCGATTTTTGAGCGTTTTCAGATTTTTTTTCTTAGATTTTTTCCAAAATTTTCAGACCTTTTTAGGTTTTTCAGCTACTCGTGAAAATTCTTTTTCTATTTTTCTCAGTTTTTTGTCTGAAATTTGACGTTATGGTGTTCTTGATAGAAGATCTCTGTAGATTACTGTAGAAAACCTTGTAGGATGTAGGTTTTGTTTGCAGACAGACACATGTTTGCAGTTTTATCTGCATTTTGACGTGATTTTGTTTGCAAAAAAACTACAGAAGGAAATTCGTTTTCTACAGTAATCTACGGTAATCCGCAGTAATCAAACACCTTCCCATCAAATTTCAGACAAGAAGAAACCGGAAAAATCCAAAAAGAATCATTGAAAATAGCTGAAAAACCTAAAAAGGTATAAAACGTTTGCAAAAAATCGAAGAAAAAAGTTGTTCTCTCGAAAAATCGCGATATTTCTAGCTTACGGTTGTTGTCGTTCTGAGATCTTCGGCCACGGCCCCGGCCTTTTCCATAGCTCCGATTTTGTGCCATAATAATAGACTTACACAAAAGTCAAGATGTACCAGGATAACAACGTGCTGATTTGTATTGGCTATAATGTTGATAGCCCTACTCAACGCATATTCCCATCTCGAGATGAATGTATCATAGCAGGTGGCGTCGACTTGCATATGCATCATCTGAAAGCACTTGGGAATCATAAATCAATCTCTTGATAACTCACAGTTGCATTACAAGCTACACATGCTGCTTTGACGACCTGAGTCCTCCCACTATTCGGTGGAGCCACTAAGACCATATGCTCTGATGCTTGCCGGATAACTCTCATCACTCTTTGAACCCATCCGCTTGTTTCCCAATCAATGAATAGCCTTATTCTATCTTTTGGATGGTTTCTATGATGCTCGAAAAGAAAGTTCTCAATACTTCTCTGGAATTGAACTCTATCCACAACTGGTTCATAACTCAATCCATCGACAACATCGTGTGCATCCACTTCCGAATATATTAAATCAAACATATCAATTGTCGTTGGAGGTCTCTTTTCAATTCCTTCCTTTTCTTCTTCGTCCTCTTCGTTGTCCGAAATCTGAGCAATATGTTTAAGGATTGCTTGTTGGGTTGTGTTGAAATTTTCATCGATCAGAGTTTCGAATTGTCGAGCAAACGTTGGTCGATGTGAAGGATCGATGGCATCTCCAATCACTCGAGCTGATTCGTGAATGAATAATCGAAGAAGAGCATTCGGATCCGGACAATTATCAGGGAACGCGAAGAAGAATGATTTGGCAAGACGAGTTGCAAGAGCCATGGATGACAGATTTTTCTGAAACTTCGATTTTGAATTTTGAAAGATAAACTTTTGTATCGAATCAAACAAACCACATAAGGTTTCTTAACAATTTCCACAATGCAAGATGACAAAGGTTCTAGATGGTGGTGGTATTCGGAACTGAATGATCTGAAAAAGAAGTTAATAATCAGTATAATTCCCTTTTCTGATAAATCCAACTTCGCTGTAAAATTGGCAGCTATCAAAGTTTGAACCAATGGTTTTTGATCTTGGAACTTTGTGGATGGGGGCATTGCAATACCAACGAAAGTGGATGCGAGAGCTTTAGTCTTGTACAACCATGCGTAATCCTCTTCATCTGTCACAATAATCATTCGGATTTGAGAATCCGATTTACACAATTTCCCATCTTTCCAGTAAGTTTTATGGTCCACAAAGAATTCGATAATTGGAAGAAGAGGCTCCGTAAACGAGAACCGATCAATCACAATGTACTGAAACATTGGAACTACTTAAAACTTCTGAAGTGGCTCACCAATTGCTCACTCTGATGAGCCTTCTCGCAAGTCTCCACAATCGTCGCAAACTTTTTCTGGGCCACATCGTTTCCAACTCGACTTTTACCATCCAGCCAAACGAATTTAACATTTGCATCTTCAGAAGAACACAGATATTTTGATATCATTTTGACGAACATTGTCTTCCTAGAGTACGGAGGGCCGTGGACCAGAATATTGTGACCAGAACTGAGCAAACGGATACTGTAGAACAAGAGACGATCCATACAAGGAGTCACTATCATAATATTCCCAATGGCACTATCCTTATCAATAGAGCTTTGACAAAATGGTTCTTCTTCCCATTTCACTAACTTCGTCGCATCTTGATAGGAAATTTTCCAATTACAAACATCATCGGGAATCTGAATTGATAGCCTCTCTCGTATCGATACCAAAACTTTCATTAGCTTTGTCTCCACTTTCTTTTGATCATCTGAGAAAATTGAGATATAGTTTGCCGTTGCAAGAATTACAGTAATCCGAAGAGTGTCGTTTACAGAAGTGGTGCGTGATAATGGGATTACTTCTGTAAGATCTTGATGAATGACTTGAAATAGAGTAGATGGCCATAGGAATGTTTCCGAGAAATATGAGGACATCGGGGATAGAATTCGATCTACCAGCTCATCCATTATTTCAACCAGAGAGATTTTCTGAAAATCACGAAGATTTACTCAAACTTTGACTTCAAACTCACATTGAAGAGTTCTGAATATTTTTTCTGCCAAATTTTTCTCCAACTTCTGGCTACATCCATTTTGAGGTTCTCAGTAACAACATGAAACGGAATATCAAACTTTTTCACCGTATTCAAATGAAAACCCTCTTCATCTGGAATACACATCAAGAACTGAACATTCTCTTGTGGCCAATATGTGCTTCCATCATCCAAAGTCAAAAATGGCGGCGTTTGAGCAGAAAATCCATCTTTCTTCAGGAATAATGGAGAAATGAACGGAAAGATATTCCAGAATTCAGAGAATCCATAGAATACGACGATTGTGTTGATGCATACAGAATTCGTTGAGATGGTTGAGTGATAACTTCTCTCACTTTCCGATCCATTGGATTGAAGAACATTTGGAGACAGAACTTCGAAAAGTATTCCAGCTGGAGATGCGGCAAATTCATCAGAATGGACAACTAATTGATCTCGAATGAAGACGTCGATGTAAATCCAAACAACTTTTTCAGCAAAGTGATCCAGTGTTTCTTTTAGAGTCTCTTTTGCCATGGGACCCACACATCCTGATATCTCTCTGGAAAATAAAATTAAAGGATAAAATCCGAAAGATTATCAAGACAGCCACAACACCTTGGGAAACTAGATTTCTATTAAAACTTCAGGAAAGGCTTAGAGTAACCTAGCTAGACATTTCTGAAAATTTTTTAGAATCATGACATTTCATATTTCGGAGATAATCTCGATTTTTTCTGATTTTTGAATAAATTTCCGAGAGCAGATGCTAAAAATTTCAGAGATGTTCAGATAGGCTATTCTTGACCTGCCCTGAAATGTTCATCAAAATCCGGGTTTGCGAGGTGTTGAGGTTAACTTGTAAGGCGATGTACACTTCTTCCCACGAGAACAGAAACCTCTTCCGGTATTCCACCTGTCATAAATCCTTCTTCACATCCCCTATACATTATATAGTGATTGGCGGAACCCGAGAATTGTCGGCTGCTATCTAACCTCTGGCTATATAAGTCAGTTCAGTAGCAGAACCAAAACATCTGCAATGACGAGAATCATGCTAATCATGAAGAGACTCGTCAGTCTCACCCTCCATGTTGTAAAAGATTCATAAACACCTAGCAGATTTTTTGGAATTTGAACCCCTCACTAACCGATTCCGAATCCTTGCTCCGATTTTCTCCAAAAGTACTGAATGTGGAGAAGAAGGAGGTTGGAGAGATGATCCGACTGGAAGTTTGGATGCGTTTGGAATTGAAGAGGATCTGACACTTGATAATGGAGTACCCGTGTCAAATTTGAATGCAGGAGACGGTTCGATTACATCATGAAATCCTCCCAAGTGATCCTTTAAGTGCTCGATAGCGATAGTTGTTGGAAGTTGATTCCTGATTTCTTCCGTAGACGAAAGAAACAATCTTGGAAACGGAACTGCTTGATTCGAAAGCATTTTGAAGAGATTGAACACTAATTGGGATGTCAGCAAATCCACATTTTCCAATAACACAAACCAGTTTGTCATCGATATACATTTAGTGAGTCGTTCCAAAAATGCCGACTCGAGAAGGTTGTGAGAGTTGACGATTCGGAGATTCGAACACAGACAATTTGACAGTTTCAATACAAAATTTCGTGTGGAACACATCTCTCCAATCAACAGAATAATGTGTCCGCTACTCCAGTTGTCAGCTAGACTTTTCGGAATAAAACGATTAGTTTCAATCGAATACACAAAGTCGACAGTGAGTAAAGACTGGCGTTGCACACTTTTGTGCTGGATGTAGTACGCTTTTTCCTGGAAAGGAGACAATTAAATATTCTGTAGGCGGATTGGGTCACATCACAATATTCAACTATCTAGATGTCTATCTAAAACTTTATTCTAAGCTAATATCAAACCAGAGATCTCAATTTGACAAGTTTATGATGAACGTAGTAGGTTTTATCCTGAAATGTGTATGCATTCGGATTTAAACATATTTGTCCTAAAATACAAAAATTACCACTCTGCTCAAAAACAGTGGATCCAAAGTTTGTCTCGTCTCTATCAACTCTCCAACATTTGCTCCAATTCGACTAGCTGCTTTCAATCGATCTTGCCGTTCATAGGTTATGATCTACAAGTTTAAAATTTCCTCTGAAGTTTAATTAAACCTACATCTGTTAGTTTTGATGCAAACGCCGTTTCAATACTTCTTATCAGTTCACATGGCTCTTGATTTTCAATTTCCGCTTTTGTTAAATCTACCGTAATTTTTTCCCCTAATAAATCCACCAATTCTAATTGATTTCTTCGATTGAAACATAATCTTCTCAACGATGGAAAACAATCTTTCAGCAGTAATTTCAGTCTTGAATCGATTGTAGTCGTTGAGAAAAGATTCAGAAGACTCAGTTCAGACGAAAGACACAGTCTCGCATTTATCATTCTCATTCCATCGAGCAGTCCACGAACTCCTTGAATTATTACAGTAACCATTGAACGGATTTTCTCTATCCAACAAGGCAAATGGGGTAGTTGCATCACTCGATAAATGGTCGCATCTTTTAGAACGTTCTTCTCTATGGTTAGGAAATATTTGGCACAAGTTCTCAGTAATTCGTATTCCTTCTGTAAACAATTCTTCTGATTTTTGGGTTACATTGAACAGATTTTTAACCTGTAAAGTGTCTCTACAAGTCACAAAAATATTGGCGACTCTCATCCATTTCTGCTGAGTCTCACACCACGCCTTCAGAATTGTTTCAGCTCGAGCAGTCCATTCAGTCCATTGTCTGCAACACGAATCTTTTTTTTCTCATGAACTCATCGGGGACTGAAGCTTTTACTAGCATAAAACTTGAGTGAATTATTGTACTGAGCTCAAATTTGGAGTGCGAAAATTCAAATAATTCATCAGTGAACTGGGAAAGTTTCAAATTGATCGATCAACTTTGAGCTGAGTTATCGCTTGATAAAGTTGCTGCATCTCATGATTATCAAAACGGAAATAGTTCATCTTTGGACTATCATAACAATACCTAGACTTGAGGAACCGCTTTGAATCAACGTAAAATTACATTTCTATGAACTTTCGTGTTTCCAAGATACTAATGTCTAAAGATATACCCGTTTTATCAGTCCGGATGATTGTGCTCCTTCTAAAAACTCACGGTAAAGAGTCATCCGTAATTTGCTCGACGTTTGTCATGTGTTTCAAAGTGTTGATATCATTCTGAACTCGACGATAAAGATCTCGAAGCTTCACAGCTAACGATAGTTTCCATTGAGAATGAAATCTCATTTCCAGATGTTCCTGACTCCAAAAAGTGACGATCGCGTGTAATTGATCAGCTGCAGTTGCCTCTCTTTCAGCAGAAAATGCAATCGGTTTCAATTGCTGGAGATGTGCTTCTAGGCCAAGTTCGCATATTTGAGCGATCGAACTGTTGGCGTATGGAGTTAGATCGAATCCTGGAGGTAAAAGAATTGAATTTTATAGTTTAAGTAAAGATGTTTTTGTGATTGAAACGTTTGTAAACTTGTAAGCAAATATTGAAAATTGGGAATTACCCACCAACAATCTCGGACATTCTCAGCCAATGAGCGTCGAGTAATCTTCTACATGACATCACTTCGGCTACCGAAAAGTTCTTTTTGAAACTATCCACTTCGTTTCTGGCCTGAAATCTCGGTTCTAGGAATCTAGATTACTGTACACCTGGAGAATCTGAAACTTACATAAGCTATGAAGTGTTTGGCAGCTCTGTGAGTTGTCAATGAACTTTCGAAAATCGACAATTGAATTGTGAATTGTTCAATGAAATTCCGGCTTGCATCAATATTCACCAATGTTCGCCGAGATTCGAAAAAGGCACTAAAAGACATTTATCGACTTCTGATCCAATATTAAAAAAAAACGAACTTGACATGTTTATAATAGCCGCTTGTAGCCACAAACAAACTTTCCAACGACTCGATTTCCCCGACAAAATGTCGCATTTTAGTGACATCTGATACTTGAATATCCACAGCTTTTTCAAATTTATTCAAATCTTCAATTTCAGTTATCAAACTATCCAACATCGGTCTCAACTTCATCATTTGCGCCAGATAAGTCTCCACTTCTTGTGGATTTCCCATTGTTTGAACTATTTTCAGTTTATCCATCGCCTTCTGGACACTTGTCATCACTTTTGCTTGCTTTTTCTAGAATAAATCGAATTGAAACCTGTGAAACCTGTAATACAAGAACCTCCTAATTTTGAGCCAATTCTTCTCGATCCCTGTCAAAGATACAAAAAAGTTGTAAACTGAAAAAATGTTTATCATAAAATCAAATACATTTTATCAGTTGACACATTTTTGATATCTTTCACAGTAATTGAGATTGGCTCACAAGGGGGGGGGGGGGGGGGTTCTATTACAGGTTTTACAGTACATTGACAAAATGAAGAAAAGTTGATATTCGTTTCTGAAAAAAGTGAGCGTGATCGTTGATGCACTGTGGAAGAGAAAGTCTCAATGATGCGATTTGAAGAAGTGTATCCATTTGAGAAGTGTCAAGGGAGATGTGCTGGAATCAAAAGATCATATTTTAAAACACAAGAATACGGTTACCTGTGTGATCTCGAAAACTTTATCATAAACATCTACAAACTGCCTGACACTGTCGCCAGTCTCATTTTGAAGCATCATATCTACTTGTGACTTGTTGCTCAGCATCATAGATGGATCGATGGATCTGTATTGGAGGGCTCGATCGTACTTCCGAAAGTCATATAAAAGTTTGTTGAGTAGAGTTGTAAATTTTCTACGAATCGCCATTTTCAACTGATTTCTGAAGCTCCTGATCCTTCGCTCCATCTCAACCCACACCGCTTCCAAGCGGAGGACAAAACATCGAACACTCAAACATTTTGAGGCTTTGGTTAGACGAATTTGAAGATGAGTTGAGTCATCGTACATTTTTATCATTTCCTCTTCGGTTAGTTTTGGTGAGACCTAGAAATTTGAATCTGTCTGCAAACCTGCGATTACCGTATTTTCTCTATTAACCCGAACAGTCAACTTTAAGCTCATACCTTGTAATCACCAACCAAAAAGGCATATGGCTGCAGAAGCGGATGATGAGCAATATGCTCATGGGAAAGAGCATCCACACTCATCATCGCTTCTTCTTGCCACGTTTCACAGTCTTCTGTGGACATTCTCACATTCTCCAAAGAGCACATCACACTAATTGGCTCTTTTAGCAACATACGAATCTGTTCGGAATTCACACATAGCTTGCGATCCACGATCATACAATCCATAGCAATAAACGATGTCTGAAGTATTATTGTGAACATGGATTTTAAATTATAATAATGGTCTCATGGAGATTCTGCAGTTTCCCGTTTCATACCTTTGTTCTCAAAGTTTTCAAATAAAGTTGAATAGTTCCGAATGCGGCATTTGTTGTTTCTTGCACTACACAATTCTGAACAATATTTCTCTTTTTTTCATCCTTCCAACTCTTTCGCAATAGCCTAAAAATGAAATCCCAGGCTTTCAAATAACGAAGAATAGCTCACTTCAAATTAATCTCCTGTGAAAACTCCAGCACCTTCGTGATAATGGTTTCTCGAAGCTTCTTGATTGGCATGTTTCCCACTTCTGGGTCAATCAACTCATTGATATCAAATATTAGTCCTTTTCTGAATTATGTAATGAATTGGAATATGGATTTTTTATATTACCGTTTCTCAAAGAAAATTCTGATTTTCATCGCTGCTAATGATTGAGATCGAAGAAGAATTTCGCGGCTGTTTTTGACTTCCAAGTGGAATTTTTCAATTTCTGAAAGAAGACTGACCTTAAATTTGTCGGTACATTTTTTCCAAAACGTACTATTAACTTTCATTAACTCATATTTTTCCTTCTTTCGAAACTCATCGGATAAATTATCAATCAGAGCATATCTCTCTGCACAATCCATCAACTCTTCTAGCTCTTGAGCAATCCGTTCGTTTTTCGAGCTCAATCTGAATCAAACTGTTTCAAAACAACGCAAAAAAAGATTCACTAACTTATGAACTCTCTGAAAACTCCACTCAACCCTTGGTTTCAGCGGATGCTTCTTCAATACATAATACCATTGTTTTGCCACATAAATACTCTCATCCTTGTTCTTTTCTCTCAATCTCTTGAATTTCTTTCTCGCTTCCAATTGTTCCAGATGCCATCGAAAAAACGCCTTCCTGCATATTTTTGGAATTTTTCGATTTTCCCGTCTAAGTCGATCCTCGTAGGCTAGCTGATGCCAGCTTTTCTGTTCAGCCAAACGGTGGATTGTCAGATATCGAGTGTGTTTTCGTACTTAAATTTTGGGGCTTTTCGTGTATTTGGGAATAGGCTTGACTTACATTTAAAGTGTTCCTTTTCCAATAGGTTTGGCATGACGGCTTAGGAAAAGTGGGGGAAAATAAGGTGGGTCGGAAATTAGTGTTCACTGAAGTGTTCAAGAAATGAGTTCAACCATTTGGAAGTCCTGTTTAGTGGAAAGAGTCAGAAAGATACATTTTTAGGATATAATAGAAATTCAATAAAATTCATTGAACATTAAACCTATGAATGTACAGAAATTCATCACTGTTGTAGCTCCAAAAATATTCAAATTCACAATCTTTACTATTAACAATCACCAAATTCTGTGTGTGTGTGTGTGTGTGTGTGTGTCCGGTGTTCCCGGTTCCGGGACCCTAGCGAAGTCACCACTGGACCAAAATTTCCCAAATTTTCACAGATAACCCGAAATAGCAGCGAGATGATGCCCGTCTATTTTGATTTGTGAAATTTTGCTTCTGACGTCTTCTGGAGACGTTCTTCTATTTCTACAGTACAAGTCATCAGAAATTATATTTACGTCATTCCCGCTCAACTCCACTATTTTTTTCTTATCCACGTTATATCAGACAAAAAGATGATTTTGTGTGAATATTGGTTCAGTCTGAGTTCTGAAGATTTGAAAGGAAGAAAAAATTGTGATAAGAAATCTGAGAAAAAGAAAAGCTCCCTTAAAGACCAATACAAACGCGTTTAATGTAGTCTTTGAATTTCTTAGGCTTTAAGTTTTAAGAAATAAAAATATTTCGAACTTTAAGAAATCAAAATCTTTCAGTGGTTTTGAATTTCCAAACTTTGCAATTTTTTTAAATGCTGAAACTATATAAACCTGGATCTTTGAAATAATAAGTTTCTAAATTCCAAAATGTTAAAATGTGTATATTTTCGGATTCCCAATTTCTGAGTACTCGAGCACTTCAATTTCCAAATATTTGGTAACCTGAATTTATGAGTTTTTGAATTTCGGAAAATCCTAATTTCGAAATTCGGAAATTCAAAAAATATCAAATATTTATCATTTTGAAAATAACAACAAATTAGGAATTCATGAATGCTGAAATGCAGAAATTCGAAAACTCGGAAATTCGCGAAATTCGAGAATTCTGAAGTTCAGAAAGGCAGAATCACAAAAAAAAAAATCAGAAACCCAGAAATTGAGAAATTAAGAGTCTCAAAAACTAAAATTTCTTAAAGGGGGACTCCGACCAAAAATTTGTATTGCATTAAAATGTTTCAAAAAATATGTATGTTCCTAATATCATGGCGAAAAATTCCGAAAAAAAATCCTAAATCCCCGAAAAACGGCGTTGAAAAAAAATAGGATTTGAATTCCCGCGCAGTGAGAAATCTAGGCCCATCATAGAGCCTTTCTTACATGAAAATTTTTCCGAATTTTTTCGGTTTTCATGTCCGGCAGGTAAAAAACGTATAAAACCACTGTCGGCCACTTGGCCACTTGAAAAAAAACGGCAGTCAGGCGCCGTGGCCTAGGTTTTTCACTGCGCGGGAATTCAAATCCTCGTCTTTCCTAACAACTTTTTTTGAAAATTTTTCGCTTTTAACAGTATTTTTCGGGGATTTCGGATTTTTTTCAAATTTTTTCGCTATAATATTGGGAAAATAGACAACTTTTCGAACATTTTAATGCAATAAAAAATTTTGGTCGGAGTCCCCCTTTAAGTTAAGTTCTTGCATTTCAGAAAATCCAAATTTGGTAATTCGGAAGTTCGAAAAACCGAAAATCAAAACTTCAGAATCTCAAAAAAAATCAGAATTTCAAAATTTCAGAACTTCAGAAACTCAGAAATTTGGAATTTCAAAAAATCAGAATTTCTGAATCATGAATCCCTCAATGTCAAAATTTCTGGATTGCCGAATTTCTGATTTCTAGAAATTCTGAATTTCTGAACTTCCGAATTTCTCAATTTCTCAATTTCTCAATTTCTCGATTTTTGAACTACGGAATTTCTGAACTTCACAACTATCAAAATTTCTTAATTTTCAAATTTGTGAGCATAGGCCCTAAAAAATAGCCTCCGTAAATGTGACGGAACCTTTTTATAAGATTGAGGGTATCGTAAGCGGGGGGCCAGGAGGTTTAGCCCCGAAGGGGCGTAAACCGACTGGTAGTTTATAATTTATCAATCATAGGCAGCCCCCCTCTACCTGTGTAGACCACCATGGCCTAGAAAACACATCAGGCTATTTCTAGGCATTAATGGTTGGTGACCTAGAAAACTCCACTTGCGAAAGTTAGGCCACCATGTTCACATGATCTAGAAAACACACTAGATAAATTTAAAATCATTTCTAGAATATAAAGGACGGAGGCCTGGAAAATGTACGTTGAGAAAGTTAGGCCACCAAGTCAGATGGTCTATAAATTTTGCTCGGGTAAGTTCAGCCATGATTCTGGACTCTGAAGACACTAGATCATTTTTTTCTGTAAACTTTTTAGGCTTTGACTTCTTTATTTGAAGCATGCAAGCAATTTTGAAATTTTAAAAACCCAAAATCAGTTTTAACAAGATTTATTTTGTTGTAAACAAAACCATAAATAAAAGAAACGAGATGATACTCTGACAAATTTGTGGAAGACGTCGTCGAATCGCCTAGATGGTGAAGGCACAGATGAAAAGAGAATTGGGGATTGAATGAGAAGAAAAAGAAAAAAAAGAAAAAGAAAATACAAAATACATAAGACATTTAGAAGCACTTGCGATGAACAATTGATGGGCCAGACTCGTCGTACTCTTGCTTGGAGATCCACATTTGTTGGAAGGTGGAGAGGGAAGCAAGGATGGACCCTCCGATCCAGACGGAGTATTTGCGCTCTGGTGGGGCGATGATCTTGATCTTCATTGTGCTTGGTGCCAAATGTTGAATCTCCTTCTGCATACGATCAGCAATTCCTGGGAACATGGAAGTTCCTCCGGAAAGAACAGTGTTAGCGTAAAGGTCCTTTCTGATATCAACATCGCACTTCATGATGGATTGGTAAGTGGTCTCGTGGATTCCGGCTCCTTCCATTCCAATGAAAGCTGGCTGGAAGAGGACTTCTGGGCAACGGAATCTCTCGTTTCCGATGGTGATGACTTGTCCGTCGGGGAGTTCGTAGCTCTTCTCCAAAGAGGAAGAGGAGGCGGCTTGAGCAAGCTCAGACTCGAAATCGTGGGCAACATAGCAGAGCTTCTCCTTGATGTCACGAACAATTTCTCGTTCGGCGGTGGTGGTGAAGGTGTATCCACGCTCGGTGAGGATCTTCATCATGTAGTCAGTCAAGTCACGTCCGGCGAGATCAAGACGTTGGATGGCATGTGGAAGAGCATATCCCTAAAAGATATTTGATTTTATATGACTTGAAAGACTTGATTTCTTCTTACCTCATAGATTGGGACAGTGTGGGTGACACCATCTCCGGTATCAAGAACGATTCCGGTGGTTCTTCCGGAGGCATAGAGGGAGAGAACAGCCTGGATGTTGACGTACATGGCTGGGGTGTTGAAGGTCTCGAACATAATCTGTGTCATCTTTTCTCTGTTGCTCTTTGGGTTCAATGGAGCCTCAGTGAGAAGGACTGGATGCTCTTCTGGGGCAATTCTGAGCTCATTGTAGAAGGTGTGATGCCAGATCTTCTCCATGTCGTCCCAGTTGGTGACGATTCCGTGCTCAATTGGGTACTTGAGAGTGAGGATTCCTCTCTTGGATTGGGCTTCGTCTCCGACGTACGAATCCTTTTGTCCCATTCCGACCATGACTCCTTGATGACGTGGACGTCCGACGATGGATGGGAAGACGGCACGTGGAGCATCGTCTCCGGCGAATCCGGCTTTGCACATTCCGGATCCGTTGTCGACAACGAGGGCGGCGATTTCGTCTTCCATGGCTTAAAACAAAAGGATATTAGAGAATGTGGGTGAGGCCGGAAAGAACGCAAATTGAGAAAGTGGAAACAGTTTATGATAGTATCAAAAAAGTAGAATGTGCACTTTTAATCCTATTAGGTTGAAGTTTGGAATCTAAAAACAACTTGATTTCTAGTAACTCAAGAAACTTCTAGAAGAACAACATAGGCAAACACAAAATGCCTAAAAAGCGGGGAAAGAATAGGCAAATGTTGCCATTCGAAATGATGACAACGCATCGAAATGCAAAGTATCTGACTAAATGTGTTATCAGCCGCCAACACGGGGCTCGCTCACCAAAATGAAAAAAGAGAGAGAGAGAGTGAGAGAATATGCCACACTTTGTATGTATATATGTGTCGAAAAACGCAAAAACTGATAACTCTACTTCTCGTTCTAAGAATTGGAGGTACGTGTCGTCTCTCTCTCTCTCTCTCTCTCTCTCTCTCTCTCTCTCTCTCTCTCTCTCTCTCTTTATGTACAAACACAAAATGATCACGTCACAGAGGCACAGTTTATGATCATGGATGGCAAGTGAGCCGTTTCAATGTCATCGCAATTCTTGGAAATATGGGTTGTGACTAATACTATGATCTGTGCGAGACAATAAAATTTCCCTACACATTTTCTAAATATCTAGAAGCTTGTAGAACATCTTTTAAAGTCTGAAGTTTGTAACCATCTTAAAGTATTCGAAAAGCTTCTAGCAAACTTTCTATGGAAATCTCAAATTGCGAGCACTCTAAAAATCCTCCAAACTCTGAAAATGAATAGACATCAGCTACCCAGTCAATCTTAAATACCATCTAAAATTATCCGCCTACGACGCCTTGAGAAGGCGATACTTGGAAAATGAGTCATTCTGAAACCAAAAAAGACAAGCTGATAAGTTGTACAAGGCATACACAGTGACTCAAAACTGACCATGGTCTTTGAGATGGGTTCTGTAATGAAAAAACAAGAAGCGGAAGGTTTGGTTTTTAGGAAGACAAGGAAGGATGTGTCTCAAAATGAAGGCCCTTAGGGTTTTTTTGAGGTCGACGAGTTTTGGGACCATGGTTTTCAGTTCAATTTTAGTCCATTTTAAGTTTCACATTACCAAATGTTGCTATTTTTAGTACGATTCAAAGCCTTGGCCATTTCGACCATTTCAGACTCACTTTGGAAAGTTTTTGACCTTTTAGATTATTTTGGACTCGTTTTGGACTTTTCAGACTAATTTGTCCATATCAAAATCAAAATGAAGGTTCTTTGAGAAAAACTACTGGAAAGAAAATATATAACTTTAACCTAATTCTATAATCTCTTTTATCTAGATTGAACCTTTTTTCAAAGCACCTCTTTATTTCGAAAATACCTTTAAAGGTATAAATAATTATTTTGGGATAGACCCTTTTGAGTGGACCCAAAAAAGACTAGAACCTTCCAGAAACTTTCATAACTTTCGTTTGGACGCCAATGGTGCCTTTTTTGAAAATTTTTGAGAGAATTCTCAAACTGAGTTAGTGTACATACTCGAGGTCAACTAGATTTGATACTACCGTATTACCTGTAATAGAAAGGCCCACAGTGTCGAGTTTGAGCTCAATTATCTCAATTCATATGCAACATGTTGAAAATCTGTCAACTGAAAAAACATTTCTGATATTATGATAAACATTTTGTCAGTTGACCACTTTTTGATATATTTCACAAAAATGAGAAATACAGGCTCCAAGTTGACGGTGGCGTTTTTAGAACCTTCTCTCTCTCCCAATGATCAAAATACCACATAACCATTCCAAGAATGTTCACTTATTTCGAAAGGTCTTCCAATGTTTCTTCATTCCATTCTAATAATATTTTTCAAAAAAGTATCTGAAACTCCTCCACTGTCATTAAAAAGTTACTACTACCGCCAGCTGCTTATCGGGGACGGAGGAGCATGATAGTGAAATGAAAACGAAGGGTGAAAGATGAAAAATCGGTCGGAGTCAAAAACGGAACAGAAAAAAGAAAGAGTATAGGAAAAGTGTGAGTGAGGGAGTTTCAGAGAAAGGAAGGAAACCGGGATTTTTAGATTAGAATGTGGATTGGGGTTGGGCAGGGAGAATATATATTAACAGATTTAGTGATGAAATCACAAAATCGTTTATCAGGAGATCGGAAATCTGGTGTTTAGTCAACAGAAAAAAAATTGACGAATTTCAATAAAGCGATCAGAAATATTGTGAAATCCAAAATTTTGGGAAACAGCGTGGAAATCTATTCTCATATGACAAAAGCATACCGTAAACACTCTAATAGAATATTTCCAAACCCAATGAGATATATGGGCTCACGGTAGACGGTTTGGAGGGCATTCTAAATATTAGAGGGTTGACGGTATTTGAATTGTGTTCGTCATCGAGATATTGGAAGAATTCAGATAAAAAGCAGAAATTTCAGATGTTTTTTTTTCCATTTTCAGATCAAAACAAATGTTATTGGTTTTTCGCAGAGATTCAAAACAGTTTTTGAAAGAAAATGTTCATATTTTTCAGTTGTAAAAATTGAAAAAAGAACTCAAAAATCAAGATCCCAATGCGACAACTATCGCACCCTAAAAATCGTATCATTTTCTGGGTTTTATATGCCGATTTTCGTGCGTTTTGAGTCAATTTTTTCACTTTCAAAAAATTTTTCTGACTTTGGGTTACGGTAGTTGTTCTTGGGTTACGGTAGTGGTCGTTATGGGACCTTCTGCCATAGTCACGTCTTCCATAGCTCCGATTTTTTTTTGTATCAGAATAATATCTTGGGCGGTGATCTACCCTCAATAATGTACAACAGTCCCACACGACCTATATTCAGCGTGGCATTTGGAGAACCACCAGGAACTAAACCAAGGCACATATAAAATCAATATAGGTTTTCTTTCTCTCTCTCTCTCTTTCGGGATCCCACTGTATTACTCAAATTTCTCTCCTCATAAAGATGTAAATCTGTGTCCGTGCTAACCACTTCGATTACCATATTCTCTTCCCCTTCTGTGCCTTGTTTCCATCATCTCACTCTTCTCACTTCTTTTTCTTTTCCTTCTCTCCGTCCTTCTCGTTTTTTCTCTCTTATCACCCAAATTACAAGCTTCCCATTCCAGGAAACCTCGCCCCAAAAACTCGTTGTTATCAGTTTCTGCTCTTTTTACGGGGAAGAAGAAAAAGAAGAAGCAAAATGACGATTCACGTTGGCATCGATATTGGTACAACTTCGGCAAAGTGTTGTGCAAGAAAGGGGAATGAGTGAGAATACTAGAATCGATTCTAGGAACTGCTGAATTGTTTTTTTCCAGAGTGGTTTTGGAGATCAAGCAGATTTATGAAAAGGAGGGAACGGAAAACGAAGAGAACGGAATGCAAAATCCAAAACTGATATTGAAAACTGTGATGGGGTTGTTAGAGGTACTAACCGATTTTTGAAATTCCGGACAATTCTCAACAGTAAAAAGTTTAAATCATTGCCCATGAAATTTTCTACATTTTGATACAACATTTATGTTTCCAGCTAAATTTTTAAAAAAGTTATGCACCTTTAAATTGGTTGGAAAGGCGATCTACCACTTGGCTCTCATTCGGGTTTCTGGAATTTCAGAAACTTTTGATAACAAACTTTTTATATCTTCTTGAAGCCATTAAATCTGTAGCACTTTCAGAAATCGACAGCCTTCTTTTTCAGAAAATCCAATCCCAAATTCAACACGAAAATCTTCAAATTTCCGACATTTGGACATGCGGACAAATGCATGGAATCGTTTTTTGGAACCAAGATTCCATTGCAGATTTGGGTTAGTTTTTCTATTCATCAATTAACGTAAAACCTGTAATAGAAGGGTCTTTTAACTTTTAACTTTGAGCAGCGTTTTATTGGTTCCTGTCAAAGATATCAAAAATTTGTCTACCGATGAAATATTTATCATAGTATCACCAATATTTTATCAGTTAACAACTTTTTGATATCTTTCACAGGAATCAAGATAATTGAGCTCAAAGTTAGATGACCATTCTAATACAGCCACGATATCCCCAATCTAGCTTCAGATTCTCTAATCCATTCTTCTCTCTATAATTGGACCTACAGTATTCCTTCTGATTTCTTGAAGAGCCTTCCAAAATGGGATTATGGAGAATTGCATCCCGGATTTGGTTTGGTCACAATCGCTTGGCTTTATCATTCTGATAAGGATTTGTTGAAGGTACAAAAATTTCGAAAATTATTTGAAAATTCTTTAGTTTGATTCAAAAAAACCTCTTCCAGAATTTCAATCGATGCGGAACGATTATGGATCTTTTCCTGACTTATCTCACACAAAACTCTCAAACGTTTATCAGTCATCACAACGCCCATAGTTGGGGTTACTGTACTCGAGAAGGCACTTGGCAGAATGAAACCCATGAAATTATTCCTAGTTGGATTCGTATTCCAAAAATCACAAAGAACTGTTCAGAAGTTGTGGGAGCTTGGAATAAAATCCAGTGCCACGTCCCTTCTGGTGACCTTCAAGCATCTGTTGCATCACTCGAATACTTTGAGAACACTGCTTGTTAGTTTTTAAAAATTTTCATATCATAATGCCTAAAAATTTCCAGATATAATTCTAGGAACTTCTGCTCAATTGTGTTGTCTTGTGGACCCGAATCAGCTCGAGACTACCGTACTACCACCTACAGTGGTTCAACTACCGTACTCCGAAAAGAAGCATCTGATTGCTGGGTGTGCAATGAATGGAGGGAATGCTCTAAAATCGATGCTCAAAGTATGCTAAATCAATTTTCAGTACTGTATTTTGAGAAAATGTTTTCAGATGCGTAAACCCGAGAATTATTCATCAGACCATCTTCATAAACTTCTTCAGGAACTCGATCATTCACCTCCATCTGATATGCCATCTGATTTACTAATTGACCCGATGTTCATTCCGGAACGAGGTGTTACCAAAAAACTTCTCATCGAGAATATCAAGCCAGAAACGACAGATGAGCAATCGCTGGAAGCCACTCATCAGGGAATCGTCAACAATCTGTTCTATCTATTCCCTATCTCCCTGTTGACCGAATTAAACATCAAACGACTGGCTCTGGTTGGTTCGGCGCAATGTCCACGATTTCGACGTCATATCGAATATGCTAAAAACTTCTCTTTTGTCACACCAAAATCAGAGATTTCGACACCATTCGGTGCTACAAACTTTTCGCAAATTCAATAGAAAAATATCTGGTTTCATTTAGGAGACAATAAATGATTTTTTGCAAACAAATAAATGATATCGATCGTTTAATATTACATGGCCTGTCATCAATATTTAGGCATCATCGGGGCAATCTTAATCAAGGTCTGGCTCTGGGGCTCTGCGTGGTGGTTGTTGTCCTCCACATGGTCCTCCACAATGCTCATCTTGACATCCTCCGGCAGCTCCGGCTGGTGCTCCACCGAACATTCCTGGCACTAAAAATAAATGAAAAGTAATATGAAATGGTCTATGAGTCTGCTTACTTCCAGCTCCCTTCGACTGCAACTTGGTGATCAAGGAAGCAATCTTTGGGTTGTTGGCGTATTTCATGATGTTGGCTGGGTTGCTCATGATGTCCATCAAAGCGGGCATAACCTCTGGATCTTTGAAGGCGGCCATGATGTCTGGATCACTGAAGAGATCCTCCATTCCGGCTCCTGGACCTCCAGCTCCTGGCATACCACCGGCTCCTGGGAATCCACCTGGCATTCCACCGGCTCCTGGGAATCCTCCAGGGAATCCTCCTGGGAATGCACCTGGGAACTCATCCTGGCCACCAGCCTCTGCGAAGCGTTTAGCCTCCTCTTCAGCAGCCTTTCTGTTGGCTTCTTGGGCACGACGAACTCGTTCGCGGCGCTCGGCAAGCTCAATCTCGGTCTTTTGACGCTCGACAGCTCGGTTGTACTCTTGAATCTTGTGAGCCTGAAACATAAGAAAATAGTGTCAAAGAGCAGAAAAATATTTTGAGATTTTTGAAAACCGAATATAACAACAATTAGTCAAGTCTCATGATAATGTTGCTCGATCGAAGATTTATTTCTTCAACTACATCTTAGTACACAACGCGCAACCAAAGAGCAAACAGTCTAATCTTCCGAATAATGTTTCTATCATGTCTAATTAAATTCAGTGTATTCCATCAACTTCATTTACAGAAACTTCCGTCCCTATCAATCAATTTCACAGTTGAATCTCTCCAACCAGTTTGTTGAGAAACTCTCAAGATATCTCTTTCTCAACCAGATTTCGCAGTTACGTTGATGCGTTTCGATAAACAAGAAAACGAAAAAAAGAAGAGAAGAAAGAGATATGTGCAAAGAACATCTAGAGCTGAGAAAGAGACGGAAAACGGCCTTTGACTTTCCATTACTCTTTTTTATAAGATTTGCCAAAGAGATCAAAGAGAGAGAGAGAGAGAGAGAGAGAGAGAAATAGAAGATGCCGTAAACACTCTAATGGGGTTATTCACGTAGCGAAAATATGTATTGAAATGCATTTCCGCGCCTTCGAAATTCAATGCATGAGCGTCGCGAAATGTATTTCAATACATATTTTCGCTACATGAATAACCCCATAATAGAGTGCCACCCAAATCAGCAACTTTGAGCTCATATATCTCATTTCCTGTGAAAGATATCAAAAAGGGTCTCAACTGACAAAATGTTAATCCTGATATCAAGAACGTTTTGTCAGTAAACCACTTTAAATATATCATCCAAGAACTGAGAAAAATTGTCTTAAAGTCGAAGTTTTGGAGTGGAGTTCGGTATGAGTGATACAGTAGCTTCTAGGACCAACATTTTGAAATAAACAAAATATCAGATTGTCTATCTGAGTGAATGGGTGACAACCAATAAGTTATGAGTTACCACTACCCAATATCCTATCAAATTGCATTCGTCTGAAATGCATACTGATACACTGAAAACGTCACTCCCAAAAGCTTTTGTGTAGTGTGAAGATACATCCAACCGAAAAGTAAAAAGAAACAACAGCTGCGTTCTCTCGAGAGAGCAACAAGGAAATCAAGGAAGAAAAGAGAAGAAGACGCTTGCTCTTCTTCTTCTTTTTTCTCTGCATATGTATCGAATCAGAGATAACTCTATATCTCTTCTCCTCTCTCCCTGATTTTCCCTCCTTCTACTCCATCCTACATCATCATCACAACTCGGCGGGTCCCTCTGCCATCGGCACCGCCTTTCTCAACCTTCTCTATATTTATTCTGAATTTCGAAAACGAACCTATTGCGCGAACCCAAACACATCTAACATTTTTTAAATCTTTTTTATTTACTCCCCTCCCCCACCTCGAAATCATACGGATATATAAGTTTGCTGCCCCGCTTGTGGCGACAGCATTTATTTGATCTATATCAATACTGTACACCTATGTGCTATCCCCTACTAAATGTTTAAATTTTATTCTATATTCATCTTATTGCTCTTTTTGAGCAAATGCTTGGGTGAGGAGCTCAGCGAACAGAACTAAAAGCAAAACGAGAATCCTTTTAGCCGGTCCGACCATCATTATCACCGGTCCAGCAGAAGAGAATCCCGCCAAGATTGAATTACTTGGTCATTATGTTCCGGAGTCTATTTTGAAAAGTGAGTGGTTGATTATAAACTCCTGTTCTCGCCGCGTTCTCGGTACATTCATCCCCACCAAAGACGAGGCTCTCCGAGAGATCTTTCTCATAACACATCTGTTTTACAAACCGCCCACTCCTGCTCTGTGAGCAACACAACACGAAACTACTGCGAAAAGTTTAGGGTGATACCTCCCCAATCAATCTTTTCGACAGCCTAGCAGACCACTCGCTAACAAACAACAACAAAATTAAAATGATTGTTTTTTTAAGATGTTCAATCAACAAAGTCGGATGTTCTCATTTACAATTCTGATGACATCAATGACTCATTGATCGGAACGACAGGAAACATTCAAGAAATCAATGGTGTCTCTTTGAACAAGAATGTTTCGACTGTTGCATTCACCAAAAACTCGATTGAAGAATTGGATGAAGGACGTGAAGCTCTGGAGATCTTGCTCAGAACTGAACGTGCTCTTTACGTTATTGAATTCGAAAAGAGCAGTTCCTATTGGCCAGAACACGCTGATTGCTGGGCAACCTCATCTGTCGAATCGGAATGTGAAAATACCGTGTGGCTATGCAATAAGGTCTTTAAGGATTCAACCCCATGAATGAAACTTGTTTGTTTTTAGGCTATGGCTGATATCCCGCTTGAGATTTCGATTGAGAAGACACTAGTCGAGAAAATTTCTTCGGTTCCAATTTCCTCGTTTTTCCTCGTCAGTGCGGCTTCCAAGAAACATGACATGAAAAAAGTAAGTTCTTCTGGATTTTCTAACTTCAACTAGCTCGTTTTCAGATGGAAGAAGAACTGGAGAACGAAATTCAAGATATCGTTGAAAAATCTATGAAGACGGTTGAAAAAAGGAAAAAAGACTTGGATGACGACGATGATGATGATGACAATGAGTTTGACAACAAGCATGACCCAAAACGTGATCATCGCCTTCATTGCAAATACCGCAAAACTTGCTATGAAACTGGAAAGCGGGGACTCATTGAGCCGTATGACTTCTCATTCGATCACATTTTCCATTTCTGGAGAGCCCCTGCAACTCAACAGCACCATCTTCCGAAAACCGAAGATGCTGACCAGGATGGAGTGCCAGACTCAGAAGACGACGATGTCAATCTTGCCGATCGCAAACTAGTATGCAAGTACCGAACTGCTTGCTACAAAGAGCATAACATTCCATTGAGTGACAAGCAACAGGAACGCGAGAGAAGTTTTATGTCTGCCAAACTCCAGGTGCCACAAGGAAAAAAACGTACTCTGAAAGATATTGCCGCGAAGGCTGTCAGTGGAGTCAAGGAGAGAGAAGAAGAAGTGAAAACCCGTCCATTGCCAAAGTCATTGATTGTTGAGAAAAAGCTTCAGGAAATCGAAAATCAGTTGCAAAAGAAGTTAGATTGCAAATACAGAAAAACTTGCTATGAAACTGGAAAGCTTCCTGATATCGAAGAATCTAGCTTTTCGATTCCGTTCCTGTACTCTGAATCCAAAAATGAGGACGACGACGATGAAGATGAGCAGAAGCCATTCTCAGAGATGGAAGACTTGGAAAGGAAGCATTACTGCAAATACCGCAAATCATGCTACGAAAGTGGAAAGAAACCAGAAATCGAGAATGAATTGGTCATCGAATCATTCCGTGATATTCTGGATATGCCGGACGTCGTGGAAACAAGAAAGCTGACTCTTCAAGAGCGTTGCAAGTACCGAAAATCGTGCTATGAAACTGGACTTCTTCCCGATCTTAGCCGCGATGACGAGCACATTGAGAAAGCCATCAACAAGGAAGTTAGTTCTGTGGTGCCTTCTACTGTACAAGATTTGAAGACATTGTGCAAGTATCGTAAATCTTGTTACCAGGAAATCAGTGAATCTTCGAGCGCTGATATTGTTCAAACAATCAGAAAGCGAAGACTGATTGAGAAGGAGGTCAGAAAGAGAAGAACGAGACGTCATCGACGACTTCACAAACGCCGTGCAATGATGACCAGATATGGAATGACAACTGGATCAGCTAGTAAATACGACAAAGTTGAGAAGACCCAAAAGGAGTTGCAAGACATAGCCGATGCCAGAGAATACCGAAAAGATGCACCAGCACCCAAATCTGTTAAAATTCAAGGAAAGAAGAAGGCGGAAAAGGTCGTCAAAGAAGTTGTAGATCAAAAGATTGTTGATGCCGCTGAAGCTCAACAAGACAATTCTGCCGAAGACGAGAAAGAGGCAGAACCGGAACCGGAACCACTCAAACAAAAGAAGGGTAAGAGAAGCTTGAGGAAAGTAAGAGAACCAGAACCCGAGGTCGAAGATATTCCCGAGCCAGAACCGGTGAAAAAACAGAAAAAGAGTTCAAAGAAGATCAAGGAGCCAGAGCCAGAAGATGAGCAAAAGGAGGAAGAGCCAAAACCTCAGCCAGTAAAAAAGACCAAGAAGAGTTTGAAGAAAGTGACTCCAGTTGATCCAGATGACGACGACGACGTTCCAGTACCAGTACCAGTTCCAGTCCCTGTTCCAGTGTCAGTGAAGACTGATAACAAAAAGAAGCAGGAACAACCAGCACCCGAAGATGATGACGACGATGAACCAGTCCCAGACCATCCAGCTGCGCAAGTGTCTGTTAAAACATCGAGCTCGAAGAGCGCTTCTGATGCTGATGATGATGACGACGACAAGGACGGCAATGAGTTCGACAACCAGCATGATCCGAAACGTGATCATCGCTTGCATTGCAAATATCGCAAAACTTGCTATGAGACTGGAAAGCGGGGACTCATTGAGCAGTATGACTTCTCACTTTGGCACCTTGTACACTTCTGGGCTGCTCCACCATCACAACAGCATCATAACTACGGAAAACAAAAGGATTCGGACGGTGATGGTGTTCCAGATATCGAAGATAAAGATGCAGCAATGGCAGATCGGAAGCTTTCCTGTAAATATCGTCCATCATGCTATGAGAAGTACGATATTCCAGTTGGAGAGAAGATTGTGGAAAGAGAACAGAAGAGAACAGTGAAATCCGATTCTGCAGAGGATGATGACGATGACGATGAAATTGAAAGGAAGATTGATCCAAATGCAGCTGATCGCCGTCTCGAGTGCAAATATCGTAGATCATGCTACGATAGTGGAGTACTCCCGACAATTCAGCAATGGAGCGATGCTCCCACCCTTTCCGAAACAATTGACACCAACTCCAAGAACATGAAATTCCAAAAGTGCAAGTATCGTAAATCTTGTTATGAGGCCGAAGGAATCAATGATAAGGAAGAGAACGCTGCTGAAAACAAAGAAGACCTGAAGAAACCACACATTCAAGAGAAGATGAAGCCAGTTGAAGCGTCAAAAGATCGTCATCACCATCAATCCAAACACAGTAAGAAGAAGCATCAAGAGCCAGAAGATAGCGATGAGGACGACGATGATGATAAGGAAGAAGAGCAAAAAGAAAAACAGAAGAAGAACAAGGAAGAGAAGAAAGAAGAAACTAAGATTCACAAGCAAACCGATAAGGAGACCTTAGAACAAGAAGGAAGAGAGGTCGCATTGTCTGTTGCAGAAAAGAGTAATTGCAAATACCGTAAATCGTGTTATGCTTCTGTTGAACCAAAAACAACTAAACAAGATCACTCTGGAACCATGGCCAGGAGAGGTAAGCGTTTTTCAGTCGCTTCTAGAACTTTACAAAAAGAATTTCAGACGGAAGCGGTCAGAAGTGCCACATCTACTACTTGTCATGTCGTGAGGCAATGGGTCTTCCTCCAAAGGAAAAAGCTCCGATGGGTCCGAATGGCAAGCGGTTGTGTCGCAAAGTGAAGAAAGACAACTGATTTTCTGATCTCATTTTGTTCTTCCAATCCCTGTGTGTTCCTTTCTCTATACTGTAGAGTTATGATTTCTAGAACTGGCCGAGTCTAAAGTCTATCGGTCCTAACTATCATTTTTGTAATTATTCAGCCAAGAATGATACTGTAGAACTTCTCTTAAATAAAGCATTTCTCGCAGTCTTATCAAAAGTTTCGACTCGTAACTTACATTTGGTTCAACCTCTTTGAGCCACTCGTTTGCATCATCATCATAATCAAGTTTGCAAGCAGTAGCCAAATCGGTCTTGGCCTCGACCCATTTTCCGAGAAGACGGTTGGCGCGTCCACGGAATTTGTATCCTTGAGCAGAGTCTGGATTGATCGAAATGGCTTTGTCGCAATCAGCGATGGCTGCGATTGGGCGCTTCAATTTGAGGAGCACACTGAAAAATATCGTTTTCTAATTATTGAATAAAGTTTTCTGCTACCTTGCTCTCTTGGCATGGAGCATAGCCGATCCTGGGTTGGCTTCGATAGCAGCCGTGAAATGGGTGAGAGCCGCGTCGAAATCTCCGTTGCCCAACGCCTCTTGAGCTTTTCCTCTCTCTTCAGAAGCTTTCTCAACGTCTTCATCAGATGGAGCTTTGTTGGAATCTCCCATCGGAAGAGCAACAGCCTCTTCTGGCTCGATAACTCCCTCATTGTCGATTTCTGGGAATGGAATCTCAGCTGGTTTTGGAATTTCCGGTTCAGCAGGCTTCTCTTCCCTCTTCTCTTCTTTCTTATCTCCACCCATTGGGCACTTTCCTTCCGGAGCTGGAGTCTCCGGCTTTGGTGGAAGAGTGGCTCCAAGACTGCAAAATCCATCTTATCAGAATAATAATTGAACAAACTCACGAGACAAGGTAGTCTCTGAAGAAACCAAACTCCGGGGAGTGAAGAATTGCCGGATTCGATTGGCACATGCCAATGAATTGCTTGAGCAGAGCGACGTGGTCCATTCTGAAATCGATTTAATGATGAAACAGAAAAAAACGAACATCTGAGAGTAAGAATCAATTGAAAATCGAATTCGTTTAGAAACGATTAAATAGGTAAACATCGAATCATTGCTGAAGAGACACGTGATGAAGATGGTTTACCAGCGCTCCTAAAAACGAAGTGCGCCGAGAAACTAGAGAAGTTCGGCATAAACTGAAGGATCTATTACATTCTAATTGTCATAGAAGTGAGAGAGAATGTGTCTTCTCGATTGAAATCCCCGCCAAATAAGGCGTTCTCGAGAATTTTCGATGTCACAAAACCTGAAAAAAACACATGCGGTGTGCACTTGTGCGTAATGTCTGGCGCCAATTGTGCAATAACTCAGTGTTTAAAATTCGCGCCTTTTTCTTTTGTCGCCAAAAAAATTTCCGGATTTTTCTTTCCAAATTTTTTTTCTCCATTTTCTAGCAGTCCCATTATGTTTCGAAATAAGCCGAGTATCAAAAACAGATAGAAATAGAAAGTTGCGAAACTCGGAAGAAACTATGTTGTGCAAACAGATAGCTCTAAACCAGAAGCACAAGTTCAAAGAATTATTTTGTTCAAACTTTCTTTAGTGATTGCAAATATTCAAACTTTTCGAAAATTTTACGATTAAATTATCATCTTGAGGAGACACTGGTTATACAAAGAGTTCAATTTCTACAGTAATTTCTGAAGGAACATTCACCGACGGCTAAGGGTGTCGACACGAAAACAGTATTTTTATCAAAAACTTTTTTTTTCCAATTTTCCCTTCTGCTTTTTGTCCATGAGACCCATTTCTAGAACTATTTCTCACTAGACCTCATATCCGACATATTATCTCTGTAGAATCGATGTTTTGTATACCCTACACAACCTATAGGTATCTCGATAATGAATCGAAGAGAGAGTCTTCAAGGAATTCCGGATAACAAGACAATGACAAGATTCTTCGTTTTCCTATCGGGTGTCCCCACTAACTGTCTACGTCTCATCAGTTTTCACACTCTCTCATAACAATCCCCAGGAACAGATGAGGACAGTCATCGCGGAAAGCGGGCGGAAAACAGCCCGTTTTGGTTGTTTCGCGTCTCGCTCGTGTGTCTACTATTCAAATAAACTTGGGAATCGATCGTCATTCTGTTCATAGGCGTAGGTAACAACAAAGTGTGAAAATTTTTCGTTTTTTTTGTAAGGCTCACATCCATTAAGGTTTTTTTGCCCAAAGCACTCATGGTTTTGGAAACAATTTTCGCCTACGCTGTCGGTTTTTGATAATTCCAGGATCATGGCATCTCTCTTTCTCGCACGCTCTCTATCTTTTTCTTCTGACTCATTCTCTTTTATCACAAGTTCCCATTGCGAATCGATCAATTTTCATATATTTTCAGTTGTGCAACATGGACGATTTGGCAGACTGTCGTGAAGTTTTCGCTTATTTCGATAGCAAGGGCGATGAGCGAATTTCAGTTCAGCAGGTAATTTTTAACTTTGTTTTTGGGCTTTTCAAGGCAAAAAAATTGTGTTTTCAAAATTTTTTTAAAACATTTGAGATATGTATGTTATGTGTTTGAAAAACATTTTATTAATAACCATATATGAGCGGAAGCCATTGTCGAGTTCGTAAATTAACTGTTTTCCAAAACTACTTGATAAAACATTTTAATTCAAGGTCGGCGATGTTCTCCGTGCTTTGGGTCAAAACCCAACCGAGGCTGAAATCCACCGATGTGTCGGATCCTTCGATAAAGAGGCTCGTTTGTCGTTCGAGGACTTTGTTCCAATTTTCCAATCTGTTTCCAAGAATCGGTAAGTATCTCCTACAAACAAAAGTCAGAAAATTGAATCATTCCATTTTTTAGCGAGAAGCACACTGTAGAAGAGTTCGTTGAAGGATTATCGCACTTTGATAAAGAAGGAAATGGAATGATCAATGTGGCCGAGCTTCGTCATCTCCTCACAACACTCGGTAGGTTTTTCACATTTTTCAAATGTTTCAAACCAGTCGGTTAAGGCCCCTTCGGGGCTAAACCTCCTGGCCTCCGGTCGCCCTCCACCATCATTTACTGAGGTGAAACCAAGGAACGTCTCCAGAAAACTTCAAAAACAAAATTTCGAAAAACCAAAAGTTCGGGCATCAACTAAGACACAATTATGATCTATCTGTCCAGGTTTCAGCTTAATCGGTTAACTTGTAATGGGTGATAAGGTGCGCTACATACATACGCACATACAGAATCTGGTGAATGTTATTAGTAATGATGACGTAAAAATATGTCAACTGAAAATCGTGTTTCCAGGAGAGCGTCTTTCGGACGAAGATGTCGATCAATTGCTCGCCGGGCACAACGATTCCCATGGAAATGTGAATATTTCTGATTTTGTCCGCGCTGTTATGAACTCGTAATTGGCTTGACTCTTCTATTATGTATCATAATGCATCCCAAAATTATTCCTATTTATTCATGGTATCTCTTTTAATTGCTTCCGTCTTTTTCATGTTTTCTCGCTGATTTTTTCCTTACAATTCTCCCCGTTTACAAAAGCATAACAACCAGAGAAGCCTCCATTTATTGTCAGTAGAAAACCTTTAACACAAACTTTGTACTCTTCGAAATAAATCAATGAAAAATGATGTTTATTGATTTTATTGTTGAGCTATTGATTGTCTACACATCCATCGTACCTGTGAAAGTCGGAAAGTCAATCCAATTACTATTATTCCCCTAGTGCGCGTTGTGACCAAAAATATAGTTTGAATTTCGGGGAACCAGGATCTCCTCTGTCCAGAAGCGAAAGAGCTAAATTTTTTTAAAAGTGCATGCGCCTTCAATGTTGTAGCTCGAAACTATTCAATTTTCGTCTGATCCACATTACTCTTTTGTTGATTTTTTTTTAAAAACAGGCAAAATAATCTAATTGTAAGGTACCGTATTAAAGGCGCATGCACTTATTCAAAAAACTTGGCTTTTTCGCTGCTGGATCGACGATGCGCCTTTAAACTATCTTTTCGGTCATCGCCATCAGACTAGAGTAATACTTCAACAGTGAATTTCAGGGAGATGGCAGAACCGGGAGAAAAAGACGCAGAACTATCAACAGGTGGACCAGACACATTCAGTAAAGAAGCTATGGCAATTATGAGTTTACTCGGTGAATGTGGAGTCGAGGAGTTTGACCCACGCGTTGTTTCAATGCTAATGGATGTGAGTTTCAGAGTAACCAGCCTGTTCACCGCGTCTCCGGCGCTTCAAACAGCTGGCTGGTGCGCCTTCGGCGTTTGACCTTTTTTTCGTTGCTTCGCGACTCACTCTTTTTTTAATGTCACGTCAATTTCTATTTAATTTTCAAGCTTTTCAAAATTCGCGGACAAACTGACAGAGAGAGAGAGAGAACGAGAGAGAGAGAGAGAGAGAAACAAAGAGACGCAACTTCATTTATTTATTATAAGAATGATGATGATGAGTTCAGATGACCTAATTAAATCAGTTTTCTAGGTTCAATACGCAGTCACATCGAAGATTCTTCAAGTTTCCAGTGGACTCTCAAGACACGCCGATAAACAGAAAATCGATTCAGAAGACGTGCAAACGGCAGCCGATATGCTCGGCGTTCTCTCATCGAACGCTCCCGACAGAGAAAAAATTCTACAAATGGCCAACGACAAAAATCAGCAACCACTTCCGCAAATACGACACAACTATGGATTGAAACTACCGAACGATCGATTCTGTCAACTACAACAAAACTTTGTATACAAAGCAGACGATAATAGTCAGCAGTGAGTTTTTTAGATTAAGCATCAGAAATTTCAAATTTTATATTCAGAATGGAAACGCAGCAAGTTGCTCACACCCCACGCATCATCGAGCCACCACAGTCATCAGTCTTGAGGCCCGAGCAAGTCCAGAATATGCTCAAGCGAAGAGCTCCTGATGATGATTTCGATTCATGATTAATATCCCAAATTTTTAGCCCGTCTCCTCTAATCTATTCATTAAATGATCTCTAAAGAAACAAGTCAGAATTTTTATAAATTTATTTTATTCTTTTAGTTAGAACGTTATAAATTATTCCTCATTTCTTCCTCCTGTCACTGCATTCTTAAGCTCACTCGTCGACTCAACAATCTTGTTAGCAGCCATTTTCAAGTGATCGAATCTGCTGGCTACAAATAGTTTTACTCCTTTATTTACGAATCGATGTTGCATTAAAACCTTTTCTAACAACTGGAACCTGACCGGCAGCTTCGGCTCTTTCCGGTGCGATTTGTGGTGCGTCGACGTTCTTAACATGATCATTCAACAATTGCTCAGCTTCTTCCAACTCCTGCTTCAATTGCTCAACACGATCGGCGGTTGATTGCGCATCGCGTTGAATTCTGCATTCTTGCTTACACAATTCGTATTCAGTCAGCTGAAAATTTTTTTTGTTTTTTGACTTTTGGATTACTGTACTTCTTACCGGTTTTGGAGCAGCTGGGACTTTCTGAACGTACACAACTTTTTGTACTACTTTCTGGGCCTTTGGTTTCTTGGACTCTCCAAAACTGCTAAAAGCTAAAAGTAGGAATGCCAAAATTGCCAAAGACTGCTTCATTCTGAAATTTTCACACTAAAATTTAAAAAAAAAACTCAAAGCTTGAAACAAAAGTGCCTTGGAATTCTAGTGTCTCGTTTGACCTCTATTTATAGACTTAAAATTGAAATAGACGTTGCCTAAAGATGCAAAACAACAAGCACCAAAAACCTTATGACCGTTTACAATTGACGCATGAAGGAAGAGATAGTGTGTACTCCTTGGAGACGCAGAGAAACGATACTGGGCTCAGGTGATTAGGAAAAATGAATGATAACGAAGTTTTTTGAGGTTCTCTTGTTTGTGATTTTCAGTATTGCAGAAGAGAATCAGAAAAACAAGTACACTGTATTTCGAAGATCGGTAGTTTTTCAAGTTGCGAGGAAATGAGTCATTGTCTGATTAGTCTGATTAGACTATGACCTTTTTCGAATTGAAAGTTCTAGAATGTTTAATGTCTTGAGCAGTATTGGGTCGCTACTCAGCTAGCGACCAAACTTGGCTCGGTGCCAAATTTCAAATAGAGGTTCCCTTCCGCGATGCCAGGTTAATAAATAAACCAGATCAAATCAAAAGCAATTCGTTTATTAGAGCTGCCCAACTCGAAAAACTCGGTACGGGATGATAAAAACGAAGGAAACGTGATAATCAATCGGTATAAAACGGATATTTTGGTGCGAAATTGATCTCTCCGAACTGCGCTTGCTCCTTTTCCTCTGATATGTCACTGCTGCCAAAGAACGATTCTCTGGAAGTTTCAAAGTTGAAGAATTATATTATTCTGATCTCTCTTTCACAGCTTCCATTTTTGTACCAGAAGAATGAATGAATAACTGTCTTACTTGTAATACGGGCTGGGCATTGTCGGGTACAGCTCGCTGAGAATGGATGATGGCATTCGAACTCGTTTTCGAGCCGATAGTAAGGCTTCCATCTCGTTTCCAAGTTCCTCTACTAGCTGGCCACTTTCATCTGTTATTGTCACCTAAAATTTCTAGTTTAGATTTTTTTTGTTTTAATCTACCGTAATCCTACCTGCACACAACTCTCACTATCCCATTTCGGTGGGATGTCCTTGATGGAACTTTTCGGAAGTGATCCGTTTCCAGAACTTTGAACGGACTGTTTCGAATGAATTAACAACTGGGAGAGTTGGGGAATTGAGCCGATCACAATTGGGCAAGGAACGGTTAGGGTTTGGTCGATCTGGAAAAATTGAAATATTTGGATACCGGAAAACCTGTATTAGAAGGGTCCCTCTAACAAATGGGCCCCTGTAAATATATGATGGAAAACAAACAGGACCTCAAAAGTTATATCCCTAATCTTCCGTAGCTTTCAATCCCACACAAATAATATCAGAAGGAATACCGTAACTCAGTCAGCTTTGATCGAAACTCAACAAAAATTAGATATAACAATTGCTTATGATTTGGCCTTCAAAATGGTTTTAAATACGACCAGGCTCCGTCCATTTTGAAAAATTTGAGATCCATCGTTCCAATAAAGTCACAAACCTCCAATTCTACCGCATAATTGACGGACAGAATCTTGCATTTTCCCAATTTCGGAGGTAACGAAGGAATGGTAATTGACTCATCCTGCCATTCAGTTGTTGTTCCCCCTGGTACTTCTCCTTTATCAATTTTCGAAATCACTCGAACCACAGTTTTGATGTGCTCATGACCTGCGAATGTTTTCGCTTTGTAGGTGGCTTGTTGAACGAATCGAAGTGCCGTGTTCCGTGTTTTAGAACTCAAATTGATCACTCTGAAAAATAAAAGAACGAAGAAGAAATGATTGATGATCAAGAACTGACTTGTAGCTGACATCAATCTTCTCTCCAGGAGTGAATCCACACTTTGGTATTCGAATTTCACCAGTTACACTTCCAGTCGAACGGCAACAGAATGTTACAGCATGGTTGGATTCAATGCATGTGATTGGTTCGTTTAGCTGGAACAAAATTTTTGGAAAGATCAGAAATTTGAAAATAAACCTTCGAGTCCGAGTTGATATCTTCAATTCCAACTACAGTAAACGCTTTTCGAGTGACAATATCAAAGTCCCACGGTCTCTCACAGATGGCTTTACAGGTGTATCGAATGTGTCCGAACTCTCCTTCGAATGAAGATGGGAGGGATTTCGGAAGAGTGTAGGAGAAAGGAACCTGAAAAGTGTTTCAGGGTTTTTTCCCATCTTTTAAAATACAAACCTGATGAATGCCAGCTGGAAGAACTCGTTCTTTCTCTTTTCCGTCCTTGACAACGGTGAACTTGTGAGTGTATCCAGTGTTGAATTGTTCCAAGAAATACGGTTCCGAGTGTGAGCAGTGTTTTCGAGATTTTCCTGAAAAAAGTTTATCAGTATTGCTGACTTTTAAAGATCCATCGAGAATTTTCTGAAAATCTCGTTATTTTTAGTTTGACCGCTACATGATAACAGAATTGTTTAGCCCCCATTCTCATCAGAAGAAAATCTTCGTCTGAAATTTTTTCCCCGATTCGTGTACTCTTTTTGAATATGACTTTTTGAGATTACTGTCAGTGTAACTAAGAAATCAAATTCTAACAATACGTATTTCGAATTTTTATCAGTAACGTATCTGTAATCCTGAACGGACGATGGGCGGCTGAACGCCAACTGAGCAAAAGCGGGCCGGCTACTGACGGGTGAAATTGGGAAGTGATTCGTAAAAAAAGCGAGTTTCAAGTTTCAAAAACGTTTGAGAGTTCGAAAAATACGGTAAGAGGGTGACTCATTGGTTCCGCGTCACTTCGAAACTGCGACACTTCGAAACCAGTCATTTCGAAACCGTGAAAAATAGACGAAAGAATGCATTTCAGACAACAAAAACCATTTAAGGGTTTTCAAATATGCTATTTCTGATAGAACACATTCTGAAACTCAAGAAAATAAAAAAACATTTTTGAAAAAAAACTACATTTTGGTTTTTTTTTCGGAATTTCGAGTGTGTTCTATCAGATAAAGCAAATTTGGAAACCCTAACTTTGTTTTTGTAGTCCAAAATTCATCTTTTGGCCTGTTTTTTCACAGTTTAAAAGTGACAGGTTTCGAAATGACTGGCTTCGAAGTGTCGCAGTTTCAAAGTGGCGTGGAGCGGACTCATTAGAGGCTGTTCAAAAATGAAGTAAAAACTAACCTGAATGCTTGGTCCAATAAGTTCTGGCACGTCCTTTCAACTCCAAAAGAATCTCGTTCACTTTTTTCGGCTCCTTATTCTCAATGATCACTTTTCCCGAAATTTCCTGACCGGCGAAATATGTTTCCTCGGGATTATTGAAAACTATTTCGAATCGATCTAACTGAACCATCTTTTGATTTCCTCGGTTACTTCTCGTTGTCAATTTATCTCATACTTGTCGCCGTTCCTATTTATCTGAAAAAGAAAAAAAACAGATTTAGAATTGAAAAGGGAACAAAACAAGAAAACGGAGAGAAAGGGAGATTGAGTAAAAAGTTGGGAGAATAAGAGCAAAACGGAAGCATAATTGGCTCAATTTGGGTGTTGTGTACTAACAACGGTGAAACCAAGTGACATTTGCATTGAAAATTGGCATGATTCGAGAGCAGAAAAATGGAGGAAAAGAAGAAGAAGAAGGAAAACAAGGTAATTGGTGGGTTTTGGTATAGTAAATCAAAATTTTAGGTTCTCGAAACTTCTCGAAGTATGATTTGAAAGATATCGAAAAAGGGAAATCTGCCCTTTTTTTATGTGCAATTTTGCGGAACGAAATGTGCATGAGTGCAGAAAATTGTGGAGGGTAATTGAGGAAAAAGAAAGAGGTCCGGAGTCGGTAAAAATGCAGGAAAAAAAAGAAACGAGTGGTTTAGAAAAAAGGATATAGAATTGCTGAATTGATATATTTTTCTAGTTTCTGTTTTCATGGTCCCATCGTCAGCTAATTTATCTCGGTTCCTGTGAAATATATCAAAAAGTGGTAAACTGATAAAATATTAGTGATATTATGATAAACATTTTATCAGTTAACAACTTTTTGATATCTCCAACAATTACCGAGATAAATCGGGTCAAACTTGAAGATCGGAGATGAGGTAAGCGGTCGGCTACCGACCTCTTAACTTTGATCATATTGATCTCGGTCGCTTCAAGAGATATTGAAAACTGGTCAACTGATAAAACATTGATGATATTATGATAAACATTTTATCAGATGACAACTTCTAAATATCTCCAACAGTAACCGAGATAAATCGGGTCAAAGTTGAGGAGGAGATTGCCGGCTGAGCTACGCGATCGGCTACCTGCCGTTTAGTTTTGAACATATTTATCTCGGTCGCTTCAAGAGATATTAAAAGTAGTCAACTAAGAAAATGTCAATGATATTATGATGAACATTATCATGATAAACATTTTATCAGTTGACCACTTTTAAATATCTCTAATAGTAAGCGAAATAAGTTAACTGGTAGGCGATTACCGGCTGAGCTACACCGACCTCTTAACTTTGACAATAACTATCTCGGTCGCTTTGAAAGATATCAAAAAGTAGCCAACTGATAAAATTTTAATCTTAATATTAAAAATATTTTCTTAGTTTACCACTTTTTGATATCTATTACAGAAACCGAGATATATGGGCTCAAAGTTAAAAGTTAGGAGTGGCGTTTATGGTGAGTGTTTTCAAGGTTTTAAACTCTATGGAGATCGAACCTTAACGTATCCGAATATGTTTTGAAAAGTTTCCTAGAAAATTCAAAATTTCAAAACCTTTGAATGTTGCCATTTCTGCTTCATAAGATTTTTTGGTATCTAGAAATTCAACGAGTTGTTTTGTTGGAAGATAATTAAAGCCAATATGAAGATTTGAATAGGTTTTCAGAACCTTCAAAAGAAGGATTTCAAAAATTCGAAACTGGAAAAAAGGTTCCAGCCTTTTCAGACTCCAAAAACATGTAGCTGCCTCTGAACATCATTCTCATCTACCGTACCTCATTAGGGATCCTTTTCCTTCCAAAACAACTCATAAATGAAGCAAAAAAACGGAATTACACGACAACGATGTGAAATGTCAGAAGACCGCCTAACACTAAACAATTCTTTACTGCTCCGCACTAAAAGATGGAAGAAAACGAAACGAGACGAGCGACGGAATGGACGACGAAGGAATTGAATTGAAATGTATTCGGAAGCGGCCAGAAGAAGAAGAAGAAGACGCCGAAGAAGACGACGGAGATGAAACCGAAAAATGAGAGGAAAGAAGGAAAGGAAAGGCCGAAAGGGAGAAAAAAGAAATTGGTTGGAAAAACCGCAAGAAAGAAACAATTTCTTCTTGTCCGGATTAGTTCTCTCTGCCTTTTTTTCAATAGTCTAATGCCATCGTCATGCTTTTTTCACTTTTCTCACTAATCATTACAAATGGTAAGTGTCCGGAAGACGATGGTGGGGTTGTAGATGGAAGAGTGAGGTTTCAGAATATTGGATTTCGATGTTTAGAAGTAACTATGCGGCACGCTAGTAAATACCGATCTTATGATTTAAGCTGTAAGATTCCCCTTTTCTTGAAGTCCGACGTTTTCCAAACCACAGACGTTCTTAACTCTAGACGGCGGCACCAAATATCGTAAACCTCTAATAGAACGCAGCCTAAACCGTCAGCTTTGAACTCATATATCTCTGTTTTTCTGGAAGGTATCAAAAAGCGGTCAACTGACAAAATGTTTATCATACTATCAAAATCATTTTGTCTATTGACACTTTTTTTGATATATTTCACAGAAACCGAGATAAATTGGCTCAAAGTTTAGAGTATTTTAAGAAACTAAGTAGTGCTATCAGGAGTCTCAAAACAACTTACTGTGGAAACTTTTTTTGAGCTATCATTTATCTGGTTTCAGGAAACTTCTGAGATGAATAACTGGAAACGAAAAACCGCTTTCTAAATACATAAACCTACAGATTTGTATCCAAAAAACAGTATCTCTCGGAAGCTTTGTTCAAAAGGTTCAACTAGATAACCATGTTCATAAAAACCTTTTCTGAATGACATTTTTCTGTTATCGGAATTAAAAAAACTATTATTTTGCGTTTTCAGACTTTGTGGAAGAAATTGTTCTTGTTGGGTTGTTGTGGGTCTTACCGTATTTCCTCTGATAGAAGCTCACTCCAACAGTCAACTTTCAGCTTAATTATCTCGATTCCTGTAAAATATATCAAAATTTTGTCAACTAATAAAATATTGGTGATATTATGGTAAAAATTTTGTCATTTGAGCACTTTTTGATATCTCCAACAGTAATCGAGATAATTGAACTCAAAGCTGGCGGTTTCTCTTTTACAATTAGCAACTGCTTGATGTTGTTTTTGAGCTTATATAAGTTATATTTCTAGTAATTTATCAAATCTGTCTCATATTTTTGAAGAAATGTGTTCTAACATTCAGAAAGGAGTATAACCATAATATAATACAATTTTTTCGGTCTTTAAAATATTATTTTAAAGACCGAAAAAATTGCCGACCGTAGTCTGGAATTTTTCTAGCTTCGCTAGTCGAAATTCCGGTCTGCAGAGCTGCCATTCGAAAGGATGGATTGCGTTCGTGATGAAAACCAATAAAAGCCGAAACCAAAAAGATGGGGCGAGATGGGACCATTTCGGGTGCGCAAGGATTTTTTCTTGGAAGAATGAATGGGTGTTGCGTGGTTAGGCGATGAATTATTCGAAGAAGAAGATGGAGGAAGACTCCGCCCCATAATCTTGAAACGTTTTGCTTTTATTTTTTCGCTTCGACGCCTTCAGAAAATCCGCGGGGTTCTGGAGCAGTAGCAAAAAAATAGGACGTCAAAAAAGAATGGAAACAGGAAATGCGTCTGTCTTTCTTTTCGATTCGAGAGGAAGTTTCTTGTGAATTCATTTCGAAGGAACGAACAGAAGAAGACGTCATTCTTCTAGTTATTTATGATAACACATCTTTTTTTCAGATGATGTTGTTTAGGTTACAAAGAGAGAAAGATAATTGAGGAATCAGAAGCAAACGTGTAGGGAATACGACAAAATCGGTAGAAAAGATATTTTTGTGAAATGGGAAAATAAAATAGAGAAGATGTTGTACAACAATGTTTGAGCACCTGTGGGGGCGTCTGTTAAATTGGGAAATCGTCACCAAGTTACGGTAAATCAAATTCTTGTATCAAATGAACATAATCGAAAGCTGCTTTTTAATTTCAATAAGAAAGCAATAAAGAAAACATAACTTTAAAAAGTGCATTGTTTTTGAGATACCATAAACTTTAAAGGAGGCCAGACATGAAAATGTTCAAAATTCTAGTTTTCTGATAAATGACACAGTACAGTCAGAAAATAACAAGGAAGTAGACGACAAGCTCCCTGTGGTGTAGTGGTGAACGCGCTTGTCAATCAGTCGCGCGTGGCGGGTTCGATTCCCGTTTGTGCGATTTCGTTTTTTTTTTCTGTTTTCATGCGGCGACAACCTAGAATGGCCGAATAACTAGAAAAAGTCGGGAGTAATTGCCAAACAGTGAAGAAATCTAGTGTATATTGAAAAAAAAATAAATGCTCGTCAAGTAGCGCGCATTGGTCGCAATCGCACGATTTTCCGTCAGAATGCATACTCTCGCTCCAAGAAAACTCCGTAGACTTTCGTGTCCTTTAAGCATTATCTCAATTTCTGAGAGAGATAACGGAAATTTGTTAACTGATGAAATGTTTTTCATAATATCATCAAAATTTTATCAGTTGACACAATTTTCATATCTCTTATAGAAATTGAGGTAATTGAGCTCAAAGTGCAAGTAAAGGGTTCTCTATTAGAGTGTATACGGTATTTCCAATTTTACTATTAGTCAAAATTGGAAATTGAAAATTCCAGCGTTTGAAACTATGTTTCTCAATTTCCATATTTGGATTTCATGGATTCTAATTAGACGTCTTACTATTAAGAAGTTTCAGACAGAACGGAAAACATACATAGGTATTTAAAATTTTCAGAAGCCAAGAAAAGTATTCCACACCAAACTTCAAAAACGTTGGGTGATGTAGAATCTGCTGAGAAAAAGAATAAATGTGAATTAGCTCTATTGCTATTCAAAGAATCTTTGACATATATTTTTGAAGGTCAACTTTTAAAATTGAATCACAAAAGCTCAAAGGGTGGCACACAATTACTCAAACTGATAAAAACGGATATATCTTCAGACATAAGTCTTTTGAAAGCACGAAAATCTATAGAAATATAATTTTACGTTTGATTCGAAGCTACTGGAGATTTTGCTGCGATTCCTCAAGTCTAGGTGTTGTTTTGATTATCCAAAGATGAACGGCGTAATTTTGCCGTTGTGATTTTAAGATGAAGCAACTTTGATAAGCGATAACTCAGCTCAAAACTGATCGAACAATTTCAAATTTGCCCAGTTTACAGATGAATTGTTAGAATTATTGCACTCCAAATTTTTGCCCAGTACAACGTTTCACTAAAATTTTATACTAGTACAAACTTTAGCCCCGTAGTTATGCGTCATCCTGTGTTTGGATTTTGTGGGTCTTTTTTTAACTGAACGTCTTAAAAGAAATTTTCAGAAAAATCGGAAAATATAGAAATGCAATAATTTCAGATGCCAAGAAAAAATATTTTTAATGAAACATCGAAAAAACTTTTTATTATGCAAATTTCGTTGAGAAAAAATATTTCCGAACGATCTCAATTATTATTTTCCGAATGGTTAAATAATCTGATTCAATTAATTTTTTAGAATGTCAATTTATCAGAATCAGAAGGATTTTATTATCGAATTTGCATCACTATTAAGAATTATTATTGTAATTAGAGAAAACGATTGCAACCAATTCATCCGAAAACCACAAGAAAAACAAAAGAAAAAGAAACAAAAGAGCCCCAACGAGATGAATCGATCATATCAAAATTGAGCCATCGGTTTTTGGCAGAGGCTATCTGAATGAAGGAAAACGAGAGAGCAAAAAGAGCCAACAAGCCATAACACCAACTGTTCCCATGAGAGAGAAATCTTCCCCTTCTTCTTCTTCTTTTTTGAATCTCATTTCATTTGAATTATCATCATTAAAATGTTTCTAATTCTGACATTTGCATAAATTGAAATTCGAGATGGTTCGAAGTATTTGAGTGAACCTTCATAATATTAATTGTTTTTCAATAGCTTAATGTCTAGACATAAAATTCGGCTAAAAAACTGAAAATAATATATTTCATATGCTGCTCAAAACCTAGAAAAACGTGCTATTCAAAAAAGGGAAAAAAACCAAAGAAAAAATATTACGAAAAGGAGAGTAAATATACGTTTTGTCACTATGATGGTGAGAGAGTAGATGAAAATTTGAAAAAAAAGAAGAGTATATTTTGCAAGAGGAGTTGTTGTTTTTTAGGGTTTCGTTTTTAGAAATATAAAGGGAGAGTTAGAATAACAGTCCTGGATTTTCAGATATGAGAAAATAAAGCATTAAAATATTTTCTAAAGCAAAAGATTTGACACAACCGCAATGAACAATTTTCCAAAAAACCCATAAAATTCGAAGAAAGCTGTTCAAATAAAAATTTTCGGAAACTGGTGGCTGTTTGTGTTGGGCGGGTTGGTCCGAAAAGCAATAAAAACATGTCAGTAGGAGGGAGATAGAAGAAACTAAACGATGTTCGAATGTGTGCATGCGTCTCTGAATCTCTTATCTTTTCCCGTTTTTTTTTCTAAAAGTCCGAATGACATTTCGCACCGCCCATCCTTTTTTTCTCCTGGGTTGATTTCTGTGGATCTCCCATCCGGACGACTCTCTTCTTTGCATTGTCAATCAAAAATGTTTGCGGCGAGAAGAGCAAGAATTGTTAGAAAGTGTGCTCTTTCGTTGAGAAAAACCAGATTTGGAAGTTTTTTTCTGCAATTGTTGCGATAGTAGTGTATAGAATTTTCAAATAAACGAGGGTTCTGATGGATTACTGTAGCTAAAGAGGTACGGTATAAAAGGCTGAATGAACGAACGTTCGGACTAAAAAGAAGACAAATTTTGTGGCCTAGCTTTTTAGATTTCGGATTTTGTAGACCAGAAAAACAACTTTTTTACATAAGAAGTGCAAATTTACAGGGGAAATGCATCAATTAGATTTTAGGCTAATGTACCTACAGTAATCTCAAATTCTTACTTTTCAAATGCTTCGGGAATCTTGAAACCTGAGAAATCGGTTTTTTAAACAAACATTTTGATTTCTTTCTTCTAAAGATAACTCTTTAGTCTTCAAAAATATCATCACAGAAAAATCTATTTTTTGGAATTATTGAGTTTTGAAAATGGGAAATTATAGAGTTTTTTTAATTCCGAAAATGCAAATGTATGGAATTCTTGAGTTTTGAAAAAGCAAAATGATGGAACTTTTCTGAAAATGTGAAATTCTGAAATTTTTGGATTTCGAATATTCGAAATTCTGGAGTAATTGAATTTTGAGAATTCGGAATTCTAGAATTTTTCAATTCCGAAAATACTCTCAGAAATTTTAGTTTTCCAACATTTTCGGGGAAATTTTTTTTTAAGTCGACGAAAATCAGTAAAAAACGAGGAAATAAATCCTGAAAATGACTATATTTTTAGGTTACTGTAGTTGTCGTTGTAGATGTTTACTAGGGATAATTCTACGGATTTAAAGAAACATTTCGAAACAACAAAAAAAGTTAGATTACTACAGTAACTCAACTGAAAAATCTAGACAAAAACGTAGAGAAAAAACATCTGCCAAGATCCATTCGTCTCTCATGCAGCATGCTCAAGGATTTTTATTGACCCGCAATTTCAGCCATCATTCCTCTCACCCCATTATATTTTTTTTCTCAAAAACGGGCGAACAATAACAAGTTTTACTAGGAATATAATAGAGACTGGCTACGGGATAAACTTATTTATCCCCCCCTGGATACTCTAGAAGCTATCAAAGGAATATTGAATGAAAACGGGGAACTATGTGTGAGATTTGTTCTGACATACTTATAAATTATTCCATTTTTCTTTGCTCTCGAATCGACAATCCATGAAAAAAGAAGCTAAAAATGTATTATGTAACTCGATAGCTAAGCTCAGCGAAGAGAAGAAGTTCCTCGGAATGAATGATTCCATTTCAAGGCATTAATGATCGATCAACAGCTGATTTTGAGGACAAAAAAGGAGAGTAAAGAGTAGAAAAAAGAGAAAGAATGAAAAAGAAAAAAAAACACGATAAGCAAAAAGTAGCATAGAAAAAGAAAATGAATGAGAAGAGCAAAGAGGGAAAGGGAGGAGAAGGTCCCGCGGTGGTGGCTCTGGCTCCCTCTGCTGACCGCTTATGGAAAAGAAAAGGATTCAGATGGGTGGGATAGAGACGAAGAAGAAGAGGAAAAGAAACATAAGAAGAGGATATAACAAAGTTTCGGATGGCTAGACTCTCAGCTTCATCGTCGTCTTTTGTTAAAAATTCTTGAAGTGTAATTATTGGTTTGCTATTTTTAGTGATTTCTTTTTAGTACATTTTTTTGTTGCTCATCAAGTGCTGAGTGGTTTTTTATAGAGGTCAATGGTTATTTTTAATTTGGGTGACGTCGTTGGCGTTTCTCTTCCAAATAAATGGTTGAAAAGTAATTTTTCGGAGAATAAAAATAAGTATAAAGTCAATTTTAATTTATTGAGGTCTCGTCTAGTAACTTTACTGGATCTATGTTTTCAGAACTTTTCAAAATCCGAAAATTCTTGAAATTCTCATTTTCAGAATACAAGAAATTCCAAATATCGCATTGTCAGAATCCGAAAAAGTTCGAATTTTCGCATTTTCTGAATTCAAAAACTCTAGGATTTCTACTTATCACAATCCCGAAATTCCATGATTTCGCATTTTCAAAATCCGAAAATTCTCGAACTACGCATTTTCAGAATCCCAAAAACCCAAAATTTCGCCTTCTCAGAATTCGAAAATCCAGAAATTCGCTATCTCAGAATCCAAAAATTTCTGACTTTCGCCGAAAACAAAAAAAACGCAGGTGAAAAATTCCCCAAAATCAAAAACATTGTTTCTGATCTCAAGTCTTTTCTAGAAACGAAATTTGACCTATAACTACTGCACTGAGTTTAATACTAATCACTTCTCATCATCTTTTAATCGAATCCTATTTCTTCTTCCTTCTCTCCGAACTTCCAGAACAAATGACGTCAAGACTAAGAAAAAGAGAATTTGTGATGCGAATTTCCGGAATTCGTGCCGATTCGGAATTATATTGTTGATTTTATACATGTTGTCATCTTCTTCCGTTTTTTTTCTTTTCAGAATGACAAAGAAAAGAAAGTTTCAGGGCTCTCGGCGTGGGATGAGGAGAGATGATTATACAAAATTTGAATTTATAATTTCATCTGCCGATTTATGTGCATAGTGGGAGAAGAGAAAATGGGTGAGAAGGAGAAAAAGTATCACATTAATTCATATTCGAAGTACTCACTAAAGATCATGAAAATAAAACGTTTCGCCGGAAAATATAATAAACGGGGACCAGGATAAGTTGGTTGGCTGAAATTAGGAAATCTATGAGAAACGGATTTGTAACACGAGAAGAGCATTGGTTTGGTCCGAAAAGTGGAAAAGGGAGAAAAAAAGAAGTAAAAGTTGAGAGGGGAAGGATATGAAAAAGAAATGAATGAAGGGGAGATGGTGGTAGAGGGAAGGGGATGGAGAAAAATGAAATTTGATATTTACACATTCAGAATCATGAACTAAGAGGGAGAAGAGAGCTAATCGAGACACGGAGTCAGTTTCTGTTTGAGTTCCTCGTCGACGCAACATTCGGCAGGAATCAGACCGTCCGAATCGAGTGCATTCACGTTGGCTCCAGCCTGAAGAAGAAGTTCGGCGAAGAACGGACGACTACATTGAGCGGCTGAAATTTTAGAAATTGCGTCTAATACGAAAATCTATAACAATCACCAAAATGAAGTGGTGTCTGAAGGCATTCATCAACAGCATGCACATTAGCTCCTTCGTCCAGAAGCCACATGAAAGATCGTTCACAGCCAAGATCAGTAGACCAAAGTAACGCAGTCATCTGAAACACTGATGATAAACTTTATCATAACGTATCGACTAACCCCCAGATGTTGATCCTTAGCTTCGATGATTTCGGGATTCGCATCAAGAAGCCTTTGCATTGCCTGAATATTATTCTCTCTCATCGCCGCAAACCATTCCTTCTCCTCTTCAGTTTCCAATCGAGTCGGAGTTTTCACCACAACGTCATCGAACATTTCTGGCTCAATTGTTTCCATAGTACTGGGAACTTTGTTCCAAGTTTGTTTGGGACCCTCGACATCCGGATTCCATTGCTCATCGATCTCTTGCAATAGTTCACAATACTTTTCCATCGCAATCGCTCGATTCATTTTTCGATGTCCAAGCCATTCGTTGAACTTCACTCGCGCTTCCGTTTCATACCAGTGCGGTCCATCCTTCGGATCTGAAATTGTGGTTGAAATAATTCTCTCCTCCGGGAAAAGTGGGTGGAGCCTAAATTGCAAGTTGCGCACGGCTTTGCCGCACAGTCGTTTTGCAATTTTGCATACGATCATGAGGAAAACTGTGCGGAAAAACGTGCAATTTAGGCTCCGCCCATTTTCCCCAAAAAAGTTTTTCTCGGAATTCGTAGGGCTTCTAAAGTTCACCTCACCTGCAGGCCCCGATGTCGCTTGTTTGTATAATCCGTAAAATTTCAGCAGAATCTTCTTATCGAGCTGGAATCGCAACTCGACTAATCGTGCCGACGCAGAATGGAATTTCTGTTCCAATCGTACATCGATTGGGAATTCAACGTATTCTTCGTCATCATCGTCTGCTGTTTTGTTCTGAAATGCAGAAACAGCCCACGCAATGAACATATTGCCTGAATTTCCTGAAAGTGACAGTGTGGAAGAAGCAGAGAGACCATGCTGAAATATATGTCCTGGATTTATAAGTAAATAATAACCAAATATTTGATAAAAATGGAAGAAAATAAATCATAATTTATCTGAAAATTGAACATTGAAAGTAACACAAAAAGAAAGTTAGATGATGATATTTAAATCCCTTCGGCCAAGTCTAGACATCCGGCGACTTCACGATCCTCTGTAGTCATCTGATTCCACTTTTCAGGTGCGTATGCGCAGATTGTCAATGCATGTGTTTCCTTCATAATCGGAGCCAGTGCTTCTTGAACTATTCTGAACAATGAACAACATTTTTTGAATATCTACAGATGTACAAACCGGTGATTCTGAAGGGTTCTTTTCCCTGCGAAAGCTTCAGCGATAATCAGAATTCGGAACTTGAATCCTTCACATCCTCCACTTTCGTCTACGACGTTCTATTTTAAAAATTAATATGAATACAAACTCTGACTCCTGTTCTTACCAGTTTCTCTGGTTTTATCGCTTCGGCGAGCAAGTTTTTGACTCGATCGGCTGGCGAGGACATGGTTCGCTAAAAATACTTTAGAACTAGTTTAAAGACACCGAATTTTCTATTCGAAGAAAGATCAGGAACTACGAACCGTTCATACCGTCAAGATACAACTAAAACATTTCCGAGTTTATTATTTTTCAAACAACTTTGGATATTCATAGCTAAAGGATCTAGTAAAAAACAACAGAACAACAAGTATAAGAGTAAATGGGTATGAAACATTGATGGCGTGATAGGACGGTTTCTGATAGAGAAGAAAAATGATAGTATAACAAGGAATAACGAGAAAAAAACGAACGGAACAACATGCGGATGGGTTTCTGGGGTATTTTGTGATCATGAAGATAAGAGATAGAGAAAAAAAATAACTTTAAAAAAGAGACAGGAACGCTGAGAGTTAAAGAAATTCAAGGAGGGTTGGAGTGTTTTTGACTTTTTTTTTTCGAAACTAGTGGATTTTTTTTTTGAAATCATACCTGTCAACCGGCTAAAATTGGAATAACTTACAATGTGATCCGTGGTTGACAAGTTTGAAAGGATAAAATAACAAATGATTCCCTATTGCTGAATATTGAGCTGTAATTTGAAAAAAAGCAATCTCAATTGGTATGTACTTGAGGGTATATTGCATTTCTATTGGTTTACAGTCTGTTTTGGGGACTTTTCATGGTAACTCTATTGGAAGAGTTTTTCTTGTCGTCTTTTGGTTTCTTCTTCCTCTTGCTTCTTGCGAGCTTCGATTTCAGCCGCATCAGTGGTACGCGGTTTGAAGTTGAAACGTGGACGTTCAGCTGGTGGAGCAGATGGACCACTGTCTGGAATATAAGGCATTTGGAAAAACGGAAAATTAAGTTCTAGCAAACCATCTTCGGACTGACGATGCTGACGTGGATGATGACCGTCCTCGTGCTGACTTCCTCCGAAACCATCACTCTCTTTGCGTTGACGATGTCCTCCACGATTACCTCTTCCGAATCCACCACCGAATCCACCACGTCCTTCTCCGTCGTTGAAACGGCCACCGCCTCCACGATGGAATCCTCCTCCACCACCTCCACGGCCTCCTCTGCCTCCACGATCTCCACCGAAGCCTCCACGTCCACCTGATTGAATTTTACTTTAACAGTTTCCACTTAACGTGAGCTCGTAAAATCGAGTTAACTAAAAGCTCTGATTCGTTTGAGACCGGGAAACAAAATTGTATCGAAATGCGGATAATAATTCGAAAAAAACGTTTGAATTCCAAACGTTTTCCTGTATGGGCTCAAACAGCCGCTAAATGAAAAAGGAGAATCTCACCTCCTCGTCCGCCACGATCGTTGCGATCGCGTTGTTGAGCACGGTTCACTTTGAGCTTACGCTTCTCGAAATCGGCTCCATTGAGACTGCTGATAGCGGTATTCAATTGTTGCTCGGTAGAGAATGTAACATAGCCGAAACCTTTACATTGTCCAGTTTCTCTATCATGCACCAAATGGATTTCAAATGTTTTAATCTAGAAAACTAGGTTGTTGTTTTAGTTCAAAGCTTCAGAACAACCTCTTCGGGAGTGAATTCGCAGAAAGCTAGCAATGTTTCAATATCACTTTCGAGTGCGTCAAACGGGAGCCCACCGACGAAAGCCTGGAAATTATAGATTATGCTTTTTAGTTTTGAATGTTTCCAACCTTGAAGATCTCATCGGCCATCCTTTGTATAAAAACTTCCCCAAGTGAGACTTTTCTGAAATTTTATTCACATTTTATTCTGATAACTCGTTTTCAAACATGCTGAAAAATTCTGCTAATTTTCAGTATTTGAAAATTTCTATTCTTTTCTCAATATTTCACATCCGCAATTTTCCGTAGAGTGTTAGCCACTGGCTACCCGCTAGTGAGAGACGCAGACAAAAAATTGTGCGTAGAACCCCTCTCATCGTGAGAGCCAGTGCTGAAGGGGGTACACACGAATAGCTCGCAATTGGAGACGCAGACACAAAAAAGTTGGCAAAATGCCAAACAATCGATACAAAAGGAGTTCCCGCCCTTTTTTGACATTTTTTTTTTGTATAGAATGGCGGAAATTCGAACAATTACCCAAATGAAAATAATTTCTTCAGAAGTTCATTAATTAATCTATTTCACCTGATATGAAAGCTGAAGGGAAATAACTAAAATTGAAAAAACGTTTTCAGATACCAGTCATACTCGAAGAAGCTACACAAAAAACGGCTTTATGAAGGGTTTCATTTTTAAAAAATGATTGTAAGTTTACTCTATACCCAGAAAACTCGAAAATTAATGGATTTTTCAGTGTATCGAATGCGGTAACCCCTCTTTTAACAATACGGAGGTATGCCAAAACTGCAGGGAAATGAATAATACTGGTACCATGTCGCTGGACATAGCTCGACAGGTTTGAACGTTTCAAATTGTATTTTACCAATCCAAAAAAAGTTTTCAGTGCGAAATGTCGTTGAGTTGTGGTTCATGTCAACGGATGGTATCAACAGACTCCAGACAGTGCACCAGCTGTCAAAAGTACTGTTTTCTCATTTTTTTCATAAACTAAATTGATGTATTTAGGAGTTTTCACTTGTCTTGCGATTCATCATCGCCTACACACTTGAACGGTTTTGTATGCATGTCGTGCCGTCATCGCGGAGAAGCTCTCACTGGCGACGTTATGCTCTCAGCATCTGCGGCCCCTTCTCGTGGACGCAATCCCCCATTATCACCGTTCAGCGAACCATCGGTACCACAAATGTCTCTTCAAATGTCAATAGGCTCTATATCCTCAAGTTACCCTTCGAATAATGATTTTGGAGCGGATATGTACGCTCAAATGTCGACAGGTTCCGTTTTGAGCCAACAACACCAGCAGCACGTTCAGCAAATGATGACCCAATCACAGTTTATGGACGAAATAAGTGACGGTGCAACGAATGATAGTGACAGAAACAGTAGTCCATTCTATCAGGAAACTTCGGATTACGACGAGGATTTCATTCCAATGAGGTAAGCTATATTTTCCGATATTTATGGAAAAAAGAAACTTGCGAGATCAAATAATTTTTGATCTAAAACTTTCAGCTCTCGCGGTCGTGGAAGAGGAAGCGGGAAGAAAAAACCGGGCCGTGGTCAGTCATCCGGATCCCGCCGTCAAACGAATCCCGGACCTACCGGATTCTTTTCTGCCACAAATTTTCAAGCTATGGGTGATTTTCCACAACTTCCGCCGACTCGTGGAAAACGAGGAAAGCGAGGGAACGGGACTACGACGACTCGAGCATCAGGAAAAGGTACCGGTCGGGGAAGAGGAAGAGGTCGAGGTAACAGTACTACGCAAGCACAAATAACAGCTCTCCAACAAGTACAATACGGATCTACAGCACCAATGGGCTACCCAATGTTCCATCCAGGAAACTCTCAAATGATTCAAATGAATATGAGCTCTGTTGGACTTCAAGTGATGGGACAAAACGCTCATTTACAAGCGAACACGAACTCAATGAACCTTTCTATTGCTCCAGCAGTACCACTCCCATCCAATATGATAAATCAACCCAATCCCATAACTCCGACTCCAGCTGCAGTACAGACTCCAGCGCCGGAACCAGATCCTATGGAAGCACACAATTTCCAACCGCAGAACATTGACTCGATTCGAGAAGTTGACGAATCGCTACTTGAAGATGATACCTCGAGACAATCTGGAACATCTAGGTCGGACGAGGTGGAATACACTAAAATACCGGTTGTGTGTAGAAAAAACGACGAATTTCTGCAGAAGGTAATAGAATTCAGGTTGAAGATAACATAAATTCATTAAATTTTTAGACGCCACTGTGTCTTGTATGCGGCTCTATTGGAAAGGGTCCTGAAGCTTCCATGGTTTCTTGCGCAAACTGTTCTCAGACATACCATACATACTGTGTTACTTTACATGATAAGGTGAGTTGTTAGATAGACAGAAACTTAACTACAATTTAATTAATTTTCAGATGAATTCGGCGATTTTGGGTAGAGGATGGCGATGCCTAGATTGCACGATATGCGAAGGGTGTGGAAACGGTGGCGACGAAGAAAAGTTGTTGCTCTGCGACGAATGTGATGTTTCATATCACGTTTACTGTATGAAGCCGCCACTGGAATCGGTGCCATCGGGACCTTGGAGATGTCACTGGTGTTCAAGATGTCGACGATGCAATCACAAGGCAACGTCTGGAAATGATCTGACTCCGAAAGGTTTATGCCATTCATGCGCTTCTTTGCAAGTATGTCCATGTTGTAATAGAGGATATCAAATTAACGATAAAATCATAAGATGCAGTCTGTGTAAAAAGTAAGTTTTTTTCTTAAAAACTTCAATTCTTCTATTTCAATCGTTTCAGATGGCAACACGGAGCATGTGAAAACCTTCACACAGAGGAACAACTAGAGCAAGCTGCTCAGAATCGAATGAGGTGTGCATCATGTCGTCCCAGTAAGAAGGCAAATGCTCTCTTTGATTCGGATACATTAATTTGTGATGGTGTAGCTATCGCTAAAGACGCTAACATTCTTAAGTCGAAATATATGCCGTCTGTACTCAAAAATCATATGATTGAAGCTGGCTATCGGGATTCGTTCGATCATTGTAAGTTCGAAAATTAAAATTAGCTTTGTAGGAAGTATCTTTTTTCAGATGAGGATGATAATGCTGCACCAGAGGATCTGGCTGAACCTGGAACTTCTCAACCACTAACTGGACAAAGAGGAAGAGGCCGTGGAAATCCCAGTGGTAGGCGAGGGATGAATAGAATCGGAATCGGTGGATTCTATGCCAAAATTCCTCGTCATCGGCTTCAAGCATTGACGGAAGAGGCGGCTGCTGCTGCTGCGGCGGACGATGATGATTCGAAGAAGAAACGGCCAAGGAAACCGAGAAGGTCTCAACTGGAAGACGCATATCCATCACAAATTCAAGAAGCCTTCTTTGGAATCAAAGCAGTTGAGGGAAAATCATTAGTGGATATCACTGTAGAAGAACCTGGATTACCCGAGTTTGGTATTACATATACTAAAGAGCCGCCGCCTTCCACATTTTCCTTTGCAAAGAAGCTAATGATATGTTGAGAAATGATATAAACGAAAACGAATTCTTGGAAAATATGGACATTGGAAACATTGACACTGACATAAATTTGGATGATATGGATTTTTCTCTGCTCATGGATGTGGATGAATCTAATGAAGAGTTCGAAGACAGTCTTCAAGGAGACATGCGTCCAAAGGAAGAGCTCCCGGAAGGAAGTTATGGCCCTACCAGTAAGATATCATTGTCTTCAAATAAAATTAATTCCAAAATTTCAGCTTTCAACTTGGACCAAAAACCTTCAACATCTGGTGAACTTGGATCTTTTGGTCAACAAGGTGCTTCCACGAGTGGAATAAACCCCGCTAATTACGCTCAAAATGCTCCAGGAGTGAGAGCTGCAATTGCTCGGAGTGGCAGCCAATCGGATGCTACTGATCGATATCAGTATGCTGCTCGCTGGGAAGAAGACGAACCAGCTGGTTTGATGGCGACGACTGCTGCAGTTTTATATGCCAACGAAAAGCATGCATATTTGAAGCAGCAGTTCCCCGTTTGGGCTGAACGTGTGAAACAAATTCAGAAGTTATGGCGTAATTTGAGTTCTGAAGAACGGCAAGACTACGTAAATCGAGCGAGAGATAATCGGACCAAAAGTGGTGCTAAGCCTCGCCCTCGCAGAGTGAACGTTCAGAGTACGAACTCTGTCGATAGCCCAACAAACCAGTCTCCTGCTATCAACTTAACAGAATTCAAAGTTCCCGTTAATCCGGGAGAACCGTCGACGTCTACTTCATTCGGTTCATTAAATGAACCTCAGCAAGTGAAGAAAGTGCATGTGACATATCATTTGCCTCTAGATCTTTATCATCAATGGCAGGAAATGAAGAGAGTGAGAGTTGATCGTGAACGGTTAATTGTGTCTCTCGATGAACAGTTGACCAAAGCTCGTAAGCAAAAGAAGAACTTGGCAGCGAAGAAGCGTCAAATAGTCAGAACTCAAACAGCAGCCCCTGATTATGACGGCCGACCGATCGATTTGAATGACAACGATCAACAAATTCTGTTGCAACTCACGGAGCAGATAAAAGCTACTCAAGCGGAAATCGATAATTCAAGGCGAGACTTGAACACTCGAAAAGCTGCTATGTCCGATTTTGAAATCACTCATCACATTCTCCGTAATGAATCCGATGTCAAACCTCACGAAATGGAGCAAACAATTGCCAGAGACAATCAATATGCTTCCCAGATGGAACACCGGCTAGCTCAACAAGCCCAAGCACAGGGACTCGGATTAGGTGCAACACCACAGTTACCTGGTACTCAGTCTTCCATTCATCTTCCTATGCTTCATCAGCAACAGCAACAACAGATGATGCAAATGCAGATGCAGGGGATGCCTATAAGACCTGGCCCAGGACAATTTATGTTAAGACAACCGCCTGGAGCACCTCCGATGACAATACAACAACAACAGCATCAGCATCAACAGGAACTGCATCGCAGAATGATGGTGAGTCGAGTGAAAACATTAAAAATTGTTAAAGTTCCATAAGATTTTCCAGATGCAGCAAATGCAGCAAATGCGGCAGCAGATCCGACCAGAGATGGCTGGAGTGCGTTTCGATCAGATTACTGATCCAGTGTTGAAAGATGTATACGCATGCGTCGATGCGATGGTTACAGATGTTCATTTGAAACTGGAGCCCAAGCCGGAACCTCAACAGCAAATTCATGGACCGCCACAGTTTATGCAGAGAATGATGCAGCATCCTGGAGCGCCCAGTTCATCTGGTCCTCCTGGATCTTTGGGTAATCCTGCCCTTTCTGTTCCGACGGCTCATCCTGGTGCTCCTGGCCCTTCCGGTCATCTTCCCAGTTCTCTTGGCCAGCCTGGTCCACTTGGTCCAGCTGGTCCTCCTGGTCATCTTGGTCATCCTGTTCCGCCTCGGCTCATCATGCCTTCGCATATCCCTCATGGACCGATACCACAGCTCGGCGCGCCTGTGAATCAACACCCTCCTCCAACACCCCAACCTGCTCAACCACCACAGCTTCCAGAAGACGGACCGAAACCAAAGAAGAAGCGTGCGCAACAGAAAAAAGCTGCAACGACGTTCCCGACTGGCGGAGAACACGACGCCTGGATAGAAACGATGCGAACGCGATTCCGTTTGTGTCCCGAAATTCCTAAAGTGCAACGAGAGCCACGTTTGAACAAACAAGGATCAGAATTCGTGACACACGGATTGACAGAGTTGAGTCTTCTCATGGGAAAACGAAAACCTATAATTGGACGTTTTGGAGAGATGATGGTGAAACGCGGAACGAGATATTTCGGAAACGAAGACAGAATGGATAAGGCAGTCACTTTCAATGAAGTGAATTTGTACCAAGTTGAACCACAGATTCGCCGTCATGTACTTTACAACAGTTCTATGCCAGAACTTGAAGACGATGTCATTCAAGATGAGATGGACAAGAAAATGTGTTTGAATCCGAACGATGTCATCAGCCGGTTGTTCAATAAGAAACACACTTCTCGCGAACATGTACGATGCCTTGCTCGCTACATGGATGAAGCAGGACCACCAATAGAGCCAGATTTAGGAATGTTCCGCGATTTCAAAGAAGAACCTGAAGAAGATGTAACCATTGAGCTAGTTTTCAACACAAACCAAATCAAGCAGGAATGTACTGAAGAGGAGAAAAATGATCTGTGTCCTAAACTCAACGATCAACTCAGAGAAATTCTGTCATTTAAAAATGAGATAACATATAAATTGGAAGACACTCCACCTGAGTCTCCTGCATGTGTATCTCCGGAGCCTGAAGTTTCTGAACAAGTTCGTCAAACAACATCCACATCAAGAGCACCATCAGCATCGGTCGAAAAAGAAATCAAGAAAGAAGACGATGAAGAAATGCCGGCGTCTGTTTTCCGAGAAATCAAAAAAGAAGTAATGGACGTTGCCCAGCAGAATCAATGTAAGCAGTGTGATAAGATGATAGATGGAGGAACAACACCATCAGTTCGAGTATCAGTTGGAAAACTCGGAGTTCTACCACAAGAAGCACCATGTGATGAAAGAGATGATATGGTATCATTCTGTTCGAAAAAGTGTTATTACGATATGATGTCAACTGGACGAAATGCACTGACTCACGAAGAGCTCGCTGAAGCCGAGAAACACGTCTCCGAGGAAACATACAACAAGCTGAAACAAATCCTTTCGGATAGCATTGTAAAGGCAGTGAATCTAGGGAAGAAGCCTCCGACCTCTGCATTGCCTACTTCTTCTCTTCTTGGAAACGCTGATCTTATATCTCCAAGGGATATTCGCCTAACGGTAGACGATGGAAGAAAGGAACTCATCGAGATAGTTCACGTTTCAACGTTGATTGGAGCAGCAAACGCACAGAAAGACGAGATGGCTCAACAAGTCGCCGCTGGAACAGACTGGAAGCAGTACACCCCAGAAATTTATGAATCATTCGTTAGCATTCATCAGCAACATCAGGTTTGTAATATTTTCAACTACAGCTTCAATAATATTATCCAATTTATAGCAATGCGTTCTCTCGGCGAAGTTTGGAGTTCCTCTTCCGCAACATGAACTGGACAAGCGTATTTGTGTTTTCTGTGGTGGTGTTGGAGATGGCGACACTGCTGTATGTGGTCGTCTTGTTTCTCTCACTGAGTATTACTGGGTTCATGTGAACTGTGCAATGTGGAGCGCTGAAGTATTCGAACATCAGAATGGAATGTTATCGAATGTTGAACGAGCTGTGATTCGCGCTGCGACACAAGCATGCGATCACTGCAAACGTCCAGGAGCCAGTGTTAAATGTCATAAGGCAAACTGTGGAATGAATTATCATCTCGTTTGTGCTCGACAGAACAATGGCTATTTCATTAAAGATCGGGTACATTTTTTTTTCTATTTGTCAGTATTTTAGTTAAAAATTTCCAGACATTCATATGTAAAGCTCACGAAAAAGTTGTTCATCATCAATGCACCCGATTCGATGCTATGCGGAAAATCTTTATTAAGCGTGACGAGAACAACATGCTGATGCGTCTGTTCGATCTTTCCGATGGATCGAACCTTTGCCTTAAAATGGGATCATTCACTTTCTACAAACTTGGTTCGATCACTCCGACACAGTTGAAGCGGTTCCATAACAAGGATTACATCTTCCCCAACAAGTATCGTGTCACTCGTCACTTCTGGTCTCCGAAGAACTGTGAAGAGCGCATGACGTTCGAATGCACAATCGAAGATCGCAACAACCAACCGATTTTCATCGTGAGAAGTTTGAATGATCCGACGATTTGTTATCGAGCAACATCGGCAACGAAAGCATGGAGTCCGATTTTCGATAAAGTGACGAAGCTTCGAGAACAACAACAAGATCGTCTGCGATTCTTCGGTTCTCAAATAACTGGAGAGGCATTGTTCGGACTCACTGAGAATGCAATAACGAAAATGACCGAGTCGCTACCTGGTTTCGACACGGTGTTCACATATCAACAAAGGCATCAGAATAGTCCTGTTTTGGAGTTACCACTTGCTGAAAACCCGATGGGGTGTGCTCGAGCCGAACCGTGGAGTCGAACGATCGGACAAACCTTCAGAGCGAAGCCCCAACCAATGGGAGGGACATCGAATCATCATCACGGAATCCTCGGCATCATACCTTGTCAGCCGACCAAGACTGACAGTTCTTCTTGTCAAATTGAAACTCTACAATCCCGTCAAGCATCCACATCACTTACTTCAGCTAACAGTGGACGTACCAGAGGTGTAAGATCGTACTATACGGAAGAAGCGGCAGCTCGTGCTCGCGGATTCCCACAAGATCTGAGTGCTATTTCTCATAGAGTTGAGCCCGCTCAAAGTGCAACTGCTCAGTATACAGCTTATCAGAAGATGCGCAGAGAGTGGAAAGAGCTAGTGTATCTTGCTAGATCTCGAATTGCTGGATTAGGCTTGTATGCAAAAACCGATATTCCGATGGGAGAGTACATCATCGAATACAAGGTGAGATTAGGTGTTTAGTTAAGCCTTAAAAAAATAATTTCAGGGAGAAATCATTCGTTCGGAACTGTGTGAGGTTCGTGAAAAGCGCTACAATGCTCAGAATCGGGGAGTCTATATGTTCCGGCTCGACGAGGAGTGGGTTATTGATGCAACGATGTCGGGTGGTCCAGCGCGATATGTTAATCATTCGTGTGATCCGAATTGTTCCACTATGCTTTTCGATTCAAACAGTGGAGCACGTGACAAGAAGATCCTCATCACTGCCAATAGGCCTATAAGCGCAAACGAAGAGGTGAGAATACTATTTCAAAAGTCCCCCAAAATCTTTCCGAATTGGAAGGATTTTATTTTTGTTCTTCCCCCTTGTATATATCCATCTAACAATAAAACCCGCCGTACTTCCCCGAAAAGAAGGGAGCAGTGCGAATTGAAAAACAAATTTCAAAGAGAAGGCTACTGCGTTTTTATAGACTCGAAAACACTTGAGACAGCATTATGTACGATTAGGAAGAAGTTAACTAAATTTTTTTTCAGCTTACCTATGATTATCAATTCGAACTGGAAGATGCAACAGATAAGGTCCCATGTCTTTGCGGAGCACCGAATTGTGTTAAATGGATGAATTAATGTTTTGTTTAGGTTTTGTTTTCACAACTTCTTGTACGATTGTGTGTGTGTGTTATCCCGAGTTTAAAATTTTACCGCTGGTCGGTTTTTTTAGTTTTCGTTTTTTTTTCTAACCTTTTTTCACACTTTGTAATCTGAGCTATATCATCGGAGTTATTCTTTTTCAATGGTCTCACACTTTTGTTATTTCTCTGTCACATGGACTAGATTTTCTATCCTTTCTCCCCTTTGTTTGTATAAATGGCCCCACATAATTTGATATTGCTGACTCAAAAAAAATGCTCAAAATAAAAAATTTAAACATGTATTAAATTTGAAACCTGAGAAACAGAATATATGTAAGGTAAAATTATTCGCTCTTCTTTGCCCGTTTCTTTTCAGCCTTCTTCTCTTTAGCTGCTCTCTTTTTCGCATCCTCTCCTCCCAAAGAATCCCAGTAAGCAGATGCCATCCATCCGATTGCAGGTGCAATCTGAATTTCGCATTTCAGATATTTTTTCGAAATATAAAGGGCTTACCCAATAAACCAACATGAAATTCTCAAATGATAGTCCACGACATCCATAGAAAAGTGTTGAAGCCACCAATGGATCCAGAGCTTGATCTCCGACAAATGTCACAGCTAAAAATGAGAAATTTAGTAGTTAAATCTAATAATGCTTGATATCATACTTCCAGTAAAAACGGCGGCCATGAACAGTGCAGGGAACACGAATCGGACTCGAGAATCGCGAGATTCAGATGTGGCACGAGTCAGAACATGGCGAACGATGAAGGTTCCGATGAGTTCGAATGCCAAATGATAGTATATTGGATACTGAAACAAAATAAGAAATATTCATAAAAATCAGATTCAGATTCAGGTATGTTCGAAACGGAATTCGGAACTCTGTTCGGAAATTTTTTTTTTGCTCAGGACTACGATATTTCAAAGGCGCACACGAAAACTCTCCTTGCGGTTCTCGAGCGGAATTACTTTTTGTATTTTTTTGGAATTTTTTTGTCAAAATTTCAACAATTTATCTCGCTTTTGCTATGGGAAAATTGAATTCTGACTTCAAAATTCGAACTTTTAACAATTCTAAAATTTCAAAAAATTGGAATATTCCGAAATCAACTTGGGATTTTCCGAAATTTCGAAAAATTCCAAACACCCCTTCTTAAATTCAAACTAACTGGATGATTGAAGCCACACGATTCCATCATTCGAAGAATGCTGGAGTGTGCATTAGTTGTATTGTAAGCACGGAGCCAGATGATTCGCGCGAAGCTGAACGCCAAATATCCGGCTGAGAATTGAGCGACAAGAGTTTGAATCAATTCTGACAATCTAAAAAATCTTACAAATTATTTTAAAAACAAATGTGTATAAAAAACTCACCTGAGTCTGCCAAAAAGATAGTGCTCAATTGGAGCCAACGGACTACAGAATGCGGTTCTATTACAAAGTGCAAATACGAGACCCATACTAAAGAGAGTGAATGCGAATGCTTGACGACCGAGATGAATGTCGATGACGGCTGAAAATGAAAATTTTATTTTTTAGGTCATTTCAGATTTTTACCATTTTCATAAATCGTCGTTGTGACTTGAAGTGTTCCTAGAAACTCGATGATAAACCTATGCACATTTCCTTTTTTGTCGAAGAGACGATCTGCTGCGTTTCGAGCTCCTTCACAGACGACAATCACTGTGATGTAGTAGATGAAGGCGTCCAGTAATGGACCGGATATTTCCATTTTTTAAACTGCAAAAACGATAATTAGAAGTTCTAATTTAGAACATAGATAGAAACGGAAATTGTCATCATCATTTATCACTTGAGAAGAAACTATTAGTGACGATGAAAAGAATGATAAAGTCTAGATAGTGCATGAAGAGGTGAAAATCAGAGAAATCGAAAGAAGAGAGAATAGAGATTCGAGAGACACACACATTTTGAACATTTGAATGTTGCAAGTTGATGGAGCAGAAGAAACAGCAGGTGTGACGGGTGAAGAGGAGGGAGAGGGAGAGGGCAAAACAAGAAGGAATTGTCTAGACAAAAGATATGAAATTGAAAGATATGGAACACTGGATTTCAAGAAAATCCTGCAAACTTGTTGGGGATTCCTTAGCCTAAAAGTTGTCACGACCCAGGAAACGTTTTCAGCACAACGGACACTTTACATTGAGACTTTACAACGTTTTGAGATGGAAAAGAGTTAGGAACAACGGGTCATGGGTTTTGTTAGTGTGTACACCACTTGTTGTTTTGATCTACTTACCCCAGTGATCATGATCTTAAAAAATTGGACTTTTTTCAAAACAAAAATGTTTAAAGATTATCATTCTCGTACAAAAATATCGGAGCTTTGGAAGAAAAACGCCGGTGGCCCTCCTGCAACGAAAACTACAGTAACCTAAACATATTTATATTGTCTATATTTATTTTCTCGTTTTTCACTGATTTTTGTCGAGTTTTCTATTATTTTCCTCCAGAAATTTAGAAAAAAAGGACTGATTACGCACGAAAATCAAGATAGTAAATCCCGAAAATATAAAATTATTTGTAGTTTACTGTAGTAGTCATTGTGGGACCTTAATTTTTTGTACCAGAAGAATACAGTTCATAGAGAAAAAAGATTGAAGAGAAATAGAGATGACAACAGAAAAGTGTTTGTGTTTGAAGTGTCGTTCAAATGCCATTCCTCTATTTGGTTTTTTGTTTGTTTAGGGGTTTGAGGTCGTACTAAATACAAACAGAAAACATTTATCACTACCAGCCTGTTTGCCGCGCCTCCGGCGCTTCAAACAGCTGGCTGGTGCGCCTCCGGCGCGAAGTGATCTATTTTTTATTTTATTCGTCGCTACGCTCCTCACTCTTTTTTATAGGGTCACGTAAAAAAAAATCATATTTAATTTTCAAGCTTTTCAAAAATGTGTGGACAAACTGACAGAGAAAGAGACGCAACTTCATTTATTTATTATAAGAATGATAGGATATTACAAATGTATATATTTGACTAGAATTGACTGACCACTGGGGGAATGAAAAAAAGTCAAATTTGCGACCCTTGATCTAAAAACTTTTTTTTCCCGAAAAAGAGAAAAGTCACATTGGATCACGACTCTCATGTCTACCCTATGGTATACCTGAAAATTGGTCGTTTTCGAATTCACCAATTTTGATTCGATTAGAGAAAGAAAGAACGGAAACAAAACAAGAGAGATGAAGGGCGTGGTTTTGATTTTTTAATGATAGAAACAAAAAAGGTTTTCAATTCATGAAAACGGAAACGGGAAGACACTCTTTATTTATAAGAAGGAATTGATCGGAAAAAAAGAAGAATTGAAGAGAAGAATTGAATTAGAACAGTAGTTGAAAAAAATAATTTAAAAAATCAGGAAAAAATTGTAACCTCTGTTTTGGATGGTAATAAAACAAGGATTTAGAAAGGAAGTTCATGCGAAAATTTGGGAGAAAAAAAGGAATTTATAATAATTGTGTTTTTTCGATTTTCTACTTTTTGGATCAGAGATGTTCGAAATCTCCTTATCGGAATTTTTCGGAAAGCCGAAAATTCCTATTTTAAAAATTTTCTGAATATTCTGGTTTTGAAAAAATTGAAATTTTGGGATATCCCGATTTTGAACTTTTCGGAATTTCGGAATATTCTTATTTTGAACATGTCGGAATTTCGGAATATTTTAATCAGAGAAGTACAATTTCCCAACTGATCGCCTACCAGAACAAGCTTGTTTTCAATTCTTTAAATGGGTTAGATACCCATAGCGTCTATATTGATTTCCAGAGGGCCTTCGATACAGTGCCGATAAACAAATTGATTCATAAGTTGGAAAGCTTTGGGATATCTCCCTAACTAAGAAATTGGCTTCATTTATTTGTCACGGACAGAAAATTTCATGTCAAAATCAATGATATACTATCGAATGAGTGGCGCGTATTGTCCGGAGTCCCGCAGGGCTCTGTTCTTGGGCCTACCCTCTTCTTGTTATATATTAATTGTATTGGTGACAAATTTCAAAGTGACTATCTACTGTTTGCAGATGACTTGAAAATTTATGATACGAATGATAGATTGATTGATGCAGATTTAATTGAATTGGAGAATTGGTGCTCAAAGTGGAAAATGAAAGCGGCTCCTAAAAAGTGCGAATACATCAAATTCAATGCAACAAGAAAACATGCAAACTCCAATGTTATGAATCCCAAATTAAATCAAGCTTTGATTCCCCCTGTGGAAAATGTCCGTGATCTTGGGATCTACTTTTCCAGTAACCTGAGTTTCCATTATCATTATTCGTTGATTATTCGGAAATCACATCAGAGGATCAACATGTTCTTTTCCATTCTAAAAAACGCATCGTGGAGTGTTTTTATAAAATGCTATACAATTTACCTACGCCCTTTACTCGAATATGGAACGATAGTCACTTCTCCAATCCTAAAGGATCATATTATAAAATTAGAATCGGTGCAAAAGTCTATGTTTTCAGAATTTTCAAAAAATCCAGGATGGCATACACTTCATACTTTGAAGCACTGGAAGAATGTCAGCTAAGTTCCTTGGAGTATCGCAGGCTCTATAATGATTTGGTCTACACGTATAAAATTATTGTTTCCAAAGAAATTATCATGAAGGTTCCAATTTTCGAAATATTTAATCATGCTGGATCATTGCGACGTCACAAATACTATCTCAAATCACTTATCAAAAACTCAACAAAACTATCTTCTCAATTTCTCTCTAATAGAGTAATCAGACGTTGGAACTCTTTGCCCGCCAAAGTGTTTCCGGTGAAGCCCTCGTCAGCGGCTTTCAAAAATCGACTATTATCCTGTGATCTAAAACATTTTCTTGTCTTGAATTCAACTAATTACTAACTCGGTTTTTCCTCCATCTCCCATTTAATACAAATGTATGTCCCTGTTATATCTCCTAGTTTCATAGACATTTCACGTGTTAGTGGTTTTCTCCCCTTCGTTGAAATAAATAAACAAATAAATAAAAATTCTAATTTTGAACATTTCGGAATTTTGAAATATAACGTTTTTAAAAATGCTGCTTTGGTTCGTAGTTTTCTGGAGACTCTTTAAAGGATTTAAGTTAGTTTACTAAGCTTTTATTTGTTGTTTCTTTTTTCAATTGTTTCTAATAAATCGTAATTTTTACATTTCTTGTTGATTTTCTTCTATATTTCTCACAGGAACCTGATACCCCGGGAAACCCTGGGAAATTTTTGGAATACTTGTATTTCAAAAATTTTGGAATTTCGAACATTTCGGAATTTCGGAATATTTCTATTTTTAAAATTTTGGAATTTGGAAATAGTTTGATTTTGAAAATTTCGGAATATTCTGATTTTGAAAATTCTGGAATTTCAAAAATTTCGGAATTTCGGAATCCCACTTTCCCATCTCAAAAGCGCGAAAAAAATTCCCAAAACGAACATTTTTCAAAAAAATCATTCCGATAAGAAAGCTTCGGACAGAATTTTCTGAATTCTGAACATCCTTGAAAAAAGGTTCTGTCCAAAATAACGATTACCAGAAGTTTTGATATAATTTTATTAGCGAATTCCGGATGGAAATTAATGTACGCATCAAAAAAGTTATTCTTCTGAAATTAAAGTCAAATTTTCGTATGAATGCCCTTGTATTAGAGATAATTCAAATCTATTGGCAGAACCTCAACTCAAACGGTATTGCTTTTTTCACTAAAACATGACGATTTTCATCATACCCTTCGAAATTGTTATTTCCATTCTTTCTCTTATTTTTCTCATATTTTCAGCATTTTTCCTTGTCGTTCCCCCGAATCGTTTTATCACCTCATAAAGGCTTTATGCCATCGAATGTGTTGTCTGACTTTCCCTTTTTTCTCTCTGGCTACATATAGTTCTCTGAAATAGAACCTTCGGAACCACCGAAGAATATATTCTACGTCATCAATAGTTTTAGGCATCCGGCGGCCACCCACAAGCAAAATAAAATTTTGAAAATATTGGGGAACTGCGAGAATATTAAAATATATCTTTTTTTTCAGAGCTTGGTCTAAAACATATTCTGAAAACAACGATGATGAGTGTCTGAAAATGAAAACAAATAAGAATCCAAAAATCGCATCTGTCATTTCAAATCTTGATTTTTTTCTCTCCCCCAACTTTCCCCCAATTGGTTCTGATTTCTTCCGAAACTCGTCATAATTTTCCTCTCGGAGCCAAACCCCACGAAAACCCAAAATTATTTACTCGTCTGACACTGATTTACGATGACAGATTATACTTCTGAGAATGTATTCGTGACTCTTTCACATAATTTTTGACAAAGTGAAATTATTTTTTCTCTAAATATTCGTGATAAATCTTCGAGGTCAAAATATGAAGAAATTGTAGTTTTATATGACGGCAACGGAAGGTGATTGGATACAAAAATGAGTATTCGAATTCCAGAAGGTTTTTGTGTTTTGAACGCAAGGAATCTCTAAAGAAAGCAGGTCAAATTGGAGAGCTTCAGGAGTACTAAAAAGATCTTCATGAACCAAACGACGGTCCCATTCATAAGGAGAAACTGGAGAAAAACACAACGAGAACGTTCCGACATTTTAGAGGAAATAATATTCCATTCGGACCGGAATTTTAAAATGAAAGTTTCCATACCCAAAAGAAAAGTGAAAAATTCAGAGCCTGAAATTCCTTTTTCCATTTGAAGTCCATGATCACATATCACCAAAATGACTCTAACATGGTTAGGCTTAGTTCAAAATTTCCGAAAAGTGTATTTTCAAATTCTTCTTGTTGAAAGCTTTCAAATCAATATAATCATTTGTTTTTGGTGACTTCCCAGCTATGCGTCTTTAAAATTTGAATTTGGCGCCCAAAAATGAAAATATAGCAAGACTAGTTTTGCTATGTTTACTCTTTTTGAAGCTCTGTTCAAGGAACACTCAGAATACAGGTTTCATACATTTTGAAAAAAAACTAACCATGTTAGAGTTATTTTTGTGTAACATGAGCATTTACTTCAAGATTTGAATTTGTTTAAAGTTTCTAAAGTTCTAGCCACCAATTTAACGAATCTGTTAACTTCAGGCCGTCTAATAATAAGATGCAGAAAATAATAAATCTCCGACTTTTAAATACTGTTTTTCCAGAACTGTATCATTATTTTTGTCCTGCGCCGATGAAACTTGGGACCGAAAAATTGTTTAAAGGCGCATTGTCGGTCCTGAAGCGAAAACAGCTATCGTTTTTACAGATATATTCATGCGCCTTTGATACAGTACTTCGGAATTTTTTAATTTTTGCCTATTTCTTTTAGATTTTTGCTTGTTTTCGTTTATCTTCTTTCGATTCTCATTAATAATCAGCTGAATGTATTTAAAAGGTAGGAAAACATTCAAAAACGGGTCAAATATTTTTCATGTAGACAAATGATTTGTGTTCGGAGCCAAAACTTTAGAAGTTATAATTTAGTCTAGTTCATATTTTAGTTTATGAATTCAAATATTTTAATTTCCATCTCATTTCCTCAAAGTTCCTTCTTTTATTATTTACAAAAAAAAATCTATTCGAACCCCTCAAAATCCCCTTAATCATCTTTCAATATGTTCCCATTAAAAGTTTGTTAGTTGTCTCCGTTAATTATAGTCCTCATTGCAAAGTGGGAAAAGTCAATTGTACATCAAAAATGATGCCGGTTTCGTTTGAAATATGAGATGATGATGATTGTTACCATAATCCAACACCTTTTCAAGTGACATAATTACTCTGGGGGCAATTATGGATGAGCGCACCTAGTTTCTGCAGAGGGGAGGAGGATCCAATTGGGAGGAAGTTTACTGTAGGAGTACTGTAGGTTGGAAGGAACTTTTTTATGCTGAAGAGAGACACTGATTTCAAAGCAGTGTAGGCGTAAATGGATAGAGGGTATCACCTTTCACAACCTAAATATTCAATTCAGTGTTGTCCCAGACAGAGTTCAATGAGTTCCAAAAAAAATAGCACCACACATCCCTTGTTTCAAATACTAGAGTTCAAACTATGCCCAAATCCAGGTCAAACTTTGTTCTGTGCTCCCTACCTCTCCTTCTTCTCCATTTTCAAGGCTCATACACTGAAAAAGTGGGCGGAGTGTGGAGCATTTAAACCCCGCCCCTTCTTCTCGTCCAAGCTCTTGTGCTCTCGGCTCGCGCAGCTTCACTCATTTTTGGAAGAAGAAGAAGGTCTCTTTTCTCCTTTTTCCACACTCACATCACTTCTTGGCACCACACCTCGTCATGCAGTTCTCCACACTTTTCCGATTCGCCTTTTTGGCCGTTCTCGCTGTTTCAGCGTTCGCAGGTATGCTAATGGGTTACGGTATTTATTGGGATCTAGTTGGGAACACAAAGTGTAGATCTGGAAACAGCTACATATTCTTTGAAACTAAATTTTGTAAAAAACTCAATAGTCGTGGGAGTGTAGGCCTTGGTACCTAGGAAAACAGTAATCCTGCTAGCATCGGTTATTGGGACAATAATTAGGCAGTCGTTAGGCAATAATTATGTTAAAACTATCAAGTTTCTTCATTTTGGACCGAACCATTTTGGCTAAGGTGATCAAAAATTGGAAAAATGCCCGGGGCGAAAAAAAGGCTAGGACTAAAAACTGCCGAGACCAAAAAAAAGACTAGGGCCAAATTTTGGCTAGAGCCAAAAAATGGCTAGGCCCAAACTTATAGCTGTGCTTAAAAATTGGCAAGGGTGAAACTTTGGCTAGAGCGTAAACGGCTAGGACCAAACTAACTAGGCTAACTAACTCTAACTAGGCTAGCACCAAACTTATTGGCCAGTCACTGAGCAGTTGTATCCCTCTTTATGAACCTTCTAGACCTCGAGAATTCTACTTCAATCTCCATTTGTCCCTACTTTACGAATCCCTACAAAGTATAATTCTTTTTCCATCCTATACTCCTACTACAAATTCCTATGAATTTAGCATAGTGACAAATTTCATAAATTCTTCCCCCCACTCACCTGATCAGTGAAAAGGGCAAAATTGTATAAATGACATAATGCGACATCTGGAAATTTCGAAAATTGCTCATTTCTCGAGAATTCGAAAGGTTGTTTCGAATCTTTCAACCCTCCAATTTTCAATCAGAATGATGTTTTTTAAACTTTCATCAGAGTGTCATTATATGTTGAAATTTTTGTGCCCTTTAAAAAAGGTGATACCCTCTATCTAATTAGAGTCTCTCTTCAGCATAAAAAAGTTCCTTCCAACCTACAGTACTCCTACAGTAATTTTCGAAAGGACACAAAAAAAATCACAGGGCTTCTAGATGACGTCATCAACACCGTAATCTTCCCTTCTCCACGAGAAGTATACCACTTCTGATGATCCATAACTCCATCACTCGCTTGTTTTCTCTAATTCCTTTTCTTGTTCCCATTTGTCATTCAAAACGTCGTCCCAAAAAAAAAGAAGAATCGGGGAAAGAGTAGTAAAAAATTTTGGTTCAAACTCTGGTGAGTAAAAAGACCTCTTTACGGATCAACGGAGCAAAAGATGGGGAGGAGGAGGAAACGGAAATTTTGAGTTTGGGAAGAGTTTCAAAAAAAAATGAAAGAAAGATTGAATTCTTTAGATTTTCACGTATCGAGGTACTGTAGGTTGGGATGGGTGGGAATCAAGGCAAGACAACCTCTAGGGCCCTCAGGCCACCGTATCCTAGCTGGAACCCCGATCACTTTGAAAATATTGGAAGATGTCAAACAGACCTAGATTCAAAACTTTGGACTTACAGAATTTTTTGAAAATTCCTTTTTTTTTGATTTCTGAACACCCCATCTGGCCGGTTCTTGTATTGAAAAACGGTAAAAAGAGCAGGTGTCCTTCAGAAATCATAAATGAAAAAAAAATTTCAAAAAATTCTGTAAATCCAAAGTTCCCAATCTAAATCTGTTCAATAACCTCCGAAAATTTCCAAGTGATCGGAAGCTTGACATCCAAGCTCCAGACTCCTGCAAACAAAAAGTAGTCCTGAATGAAAGGGATTAAACTTTTCTATTCATCTATTTCGAAACATGACGCATTTGGGATTTTAAACTTGGATTTGTAAAATTCCAAACTTTAGGGATGCGTCACTACTAGTTCTTCTATTTTTGTTTTGGCAATATCTTCCTTTTTTTCCTCCTCCTCTATCGATTTTCAGTCATTTCCAGACATGGTCCCTTCCCCAAGGATTTTTATGGTTTTACTTTTTCAAAAAAGAAGGTTGTGTGGTTTGGGGGCGATTAGTTTCAAAAAGTTGTCATCCAATGAAAGCCAATGAGCAACACATGGGACCCCGTGAGATGCGGTTTCAATTTCTATGCATTGCAATTTAAGTTGAGGTTCCATGAATGGGAAAAAAGAAACTTTAGGGAACCTTTTTAGGAATCTAAATTTATATTTTTAAAGTAAAGAGTAATAAGGAAACGTCACCCAGAAGAAAAGTACCAGGAAATATTTTTGACATGTTCCTCCTTCTATATCTATAAATACTTTATTTGTATAAAAAATGGGTCTCCCACTCATCAGAAGAGATCACGATGATCTCACAATTCTGACTTTTCAAAATCTCTAGGATCATAGAGAAAAACCCAATCATCAATTTTTCATTCACACTGAATATCAAAAATCTCCATCCGCCCGCATAAAAAGTCATGAGAAAAACAACCCCAAAATAAAAAACTCAAAAAGTGCTCATTTGTTTTTTTTTACTCAAAAGTAATCCAAAACTATGACGAGCAAGAAAGAAATAGAACAAAAGAATACATTACGGAATTAGGCTCTTTTTGTTGTCTTGAGACCAGAATTTTCGAATTTTCTAATGTCTTCAAAAGTGACAGGTACTGGGCGGGCATATGGCAGGTTTTCGCGGGATCTGCCATGATTTTTTTAGAATTAATATGTTTGAATCAACTAAATTAGAAATAATAGAATTTGACAAAGACTCCAAAATGGTACTGTTTTCAGAATTGTATCTTGTCTATGAATAAAGTTACAGGCAGGTCCCGGGCCAGGTAGTATCCTCCAGTCAATGGCTATAACTTTGATCATAGACAAGATACAGTATTCCATATTGTATAATTTTGTAGTACTCGTTTAGTTCTATCATATCTACTTTAGATGGTCCAAAAATATCGATTTTAATAGAAACTATGAAAGGGCCCGCGAAGGCCCGCCATAGGCCCGCCAGGGCCCCGTTTAAAAGTATGACGAATTTCCCATGAGGTGCTCTGCTAGGGGACCTATAGTGGGCCAATTTTTAAAATGACATGTTACTTAAAAATTGAAAAATACATGGAAAGGTATCAAGTTACATAGATGCACCATTTCAAAAAATAAAAAAGTCTGCATTAAAATTTTTCAAGTTCACATGAGTTTTCCAAAGAAATAATTCATGGAAAAATGATATGCCCATCGGAAGTGGGGGAGTCTGGGTGGGATTCTCGATGAATTTTAAAAGAAACGACACGTCATTTTTGAGGTAGTTTGATCTGAAATTTCCAAATTTTCAGACTACGATGATTCGATTGGCACCATCCCAGTGGCTGTGGACCTGGACTATTTTTCCAACTGTGAGTATAACTTTTTCGTTGGAAATTGAATAGTTTTTTAATGTTTTAAATTACTTATGAATTTTTTGAAACTTGAGTAGAAGTATGCAATCTAAAGATTCTATGTTTATCACGTTCCAGATGTGAAGAAGGGCGGACCACAAGGACCACTGCGCTTCGGAAAACGACGTGGACCATCTGGACCACTTCGTTTTGGAAAACGCTCGTTCCACACCGCGCTAGCTCCAGAAGACGTCGTGTCGTTCTATCAGTGAATTCGGGGGGAATTCAAAAAAATAAGAGAAGAGTGAAGAAATCCAATAGGAAAACTAATTTCCTAATCCATTTCCCTGTTAATAATTCCATGAATATAAATATCTGAAAATCAAAAAACCCCTACTATTCTTTAATTTTCCCGTAATTCCCTTCCCAACTCCAATGAATTCCATTCTCGACTGTGCTGCTTGTGTTTTTATGAAATAAATAAGATGATTGGTTAATATTTTTCCTGGTTTTTTTTTTTCATCAGATTTTGATTACTTTTTTTGGATTCGAGGAAATCGAAAAGAAGAAAAAAAAGAAAAAAGTCATTTAATAATAATGGGGAACTCTGAAGAAGGAAATGAATAAGGGGTTCGGAGAAACCATGGAGATGGAAAATGCTCGTCTGAATTAAGATGCACATATTTCATCCGATGATGTTGGAGGGGTTCCGAATAGAGTTTTTTCGAATTCAAACATTTTTGAAAAACAAAACAAAACAAAAAAGGAATCCAAACATAAGGAATGTAAATGAGCCTTGAAACCAGTTTGAAAATCAAATCAGTCGGTTTTAAAATTGAATTCTTGCTAAATCACTGGTCCCGCTTTCGAAAAAATGGCTTTGAAAAATCTGGGGTTCAAACATTTTTTTCGAATTTTAACAATGCCGCTGAATAAACTTTTTGAGCGAAATATCAAAATCTAGATGAGTTTAATTTTTTTGAAAAAGAAAATCACAAAGAAATGGAGATCTATACAGCACAATAGAAAAAGATAATAATGTTTTTATTCAAATCAACTCTGGAGTCCAGAAAATTTTGTTCCAGAATCGTTCTTTTTTTGAAAAGTTTTAAAGCTAGTTATTGAAGAATTTACTACGAATGTGGACAAAAACCAAAAACCTAAAATGCTTTGTATTTTCAATGAGCCACAAGTTTCATTACGGTCATGACTATCAACTACGAAAGTGTAGTTTCTGGTTTAAATTATGAGAATTATATGATACAATTTTAAAAATTTCAATTCTGAATCCGCACGGCTTCATCCAACGAATGACCTACAGGGTGGGGCATATTTACCCGGGTTCAAGTTTATGCTAGTATAACATTTCAGTATACTGGGCTCAAATTCTGAGTTCGAAAATTTGAAATATTCATCAGTGAGCTGGTCAAGTTTCAATTTTGATCTATTTTAAGCTTATAGTTATCGCTTGTCAAAGTTGCTTCATCTCATGAAAATCACAGAGAAACATTACGTCCTATGTATTCATAACAACACCTGGATTTGAGGAATTGCTTTGAAAAATTTCTGTAGCTTCGAATCAAACGTAAAATTATATTTCTACTGATTCTCGTGCTTCCAAGATATTAATGTCTAAAGATATGCCCGTTTTTATTAGTCTGGGTAATCATGCTCTCCCAATCCCATTATCAAGGTGTCTTCTACAGAATACTCTTTCATGTTCTTCTTCTGTTTTCTAATGTAGATTCTAATGTTAGACTAACTTTTATTTGTATTCCCTTGTATTTTCCGTATGTCTCAATTAATACAAAACGGTAGAAGAAGAAGAAGAAGAAAATGGATGAATGGAAGAAGAAAAGGGAGTGTTTCTCTCCATCTACTTCACACCTTTCCATTGAACTGTACAAACATTTGGAAAACGGAAAATGGAGAGAGAGAGACTTGCCGACAAATGTTTCCGTTCTTAATTGAGTACCGTAACCTCTCTGCTTCCTCTTTTTCTTGTTCTCTCTTGGTACACTCTAGCACGTATATAGATTTTGGATTGGAGTTAGAGCAACTGTATAGAGAAATTAATCAAAAATTTTAGGTTTTTGATATATGAAAAATCGGAGCGGGGGCATGGCTGAAGGTCCCAAAACGACACCTACTGTACCCTAAAAGTATTCTTAATTTCAGAACTTTTTTTCTCGATTTCCGTACATTAAAAATGTTTATTATCGACTTTTTTGGAGAATAAATAAAATAAAAACTAACGAAAAGCAGTAAAAACCCAGAAAATAAACTCTGAGAACGCAAGTAATTTCTGGTTACTGTAGTTGTCGCTTTGGGAACTTCGGCCACGGCCACTGAACTCAATTTCCTCACTGAAAGTGTCTACAAAACTGAAATTTCCAAAATTTCCCATTCCACCAATGTTTAAGGCCAATTTTAATTATCCTCTAGACATTATAAAAACTTTAGAAATTCATTTAAATCTGTTTCTTCACTTCCATTTCCATCGTTTTCATTGTCTTCTTCTTCTTCTTCCCAGATATAAATCAGGTCGTCTTCTTTTTCTTTTGGTAGTTCTTCTTCTCCTTTTTCCTCATAATGAATGAGTTAATCAACCGTGAAATAAATTTGCGAAAACGACAAAAGGTGTGCTGCTGATGAAGATGATGGGCCCCCAAGGACGACACATCTTCTCTTTGTCTTTTCGTGCAAAATGAATTTTTAATTTTAAATGCTAAAAGGTGCCGATGTCTGATAAAACTTTTACCAAAAACTTGCCCATAACCATGAAGATAAGGAAGAGAAACTGGAGCATTCACAACAACTACAGCTTACAGGGTGGCGAAAGTTTTCCCGGACTGATAAAAACGAGTATATATTCAGATATAAATACTTTTGAAGCACGAAAATTAGCACAAATATAATTTTATGTTTGATCAAAGCTGCTAAAATTTTCAAAACGATTTCTCAAGTCTAGGTATTGTAATGATTGTCCAAAGATGAATGGCGTAATGTTCCATTGTGATTCTCATGAGATGAAGCAATGTTGACAAGCGATAACTCAGCTCAAGGTTGTTTAAATAATTTGAAACTTTGCTAGTTTACTAACGAATTATTTGAAATTGTGTACTCCAAATCTGAGTCCAGTACAACATGTTACTAAAATTTTTTTCTATGACTAACATTAGTAAATAGAAAAAACAGAACTTTTCAGAAGAAACAGAATGTTTCAGAGTCCCATTACTTTGACGGTATTTGACGGACCATCTAGTAATGATCCTCATGCCATTTTTTTTAATTCAAAAAAATTTTAATTCTACGAAAATACCGACCAATGACCAAGGAACCGTCGTCAAGCCTCTGTTGGACTGTCAGAAGTCCGTTACGGTCCGTAGAGACTACTTTTCTGTAAGATTACTTACAATCTTGGTCCACCATTCACAAGAAATAATTGACAGACAAGCAAAGCTGTGTCACTACCGGCCGCAACATTTTGAAAAGGGCACTTCTGGGATAGGTTAGACGATTGCCTAGCGACCCTTGTGGTTGCTGGGTCGCTGAGCGTACTTTCGAAAAAACGGCATGATTAGGCCACGGAAACCTACCCATGGCTGGAGTCATTGCCGGCCGCGGCCGGCAAGTCAAAAGGACAAAAAACTTTGAATTCCATCGATTCCTTTCCCATATCTCATGTCTTCTCCGAATTCAAACTTCTTTTTCTTTGTGCGTTTTTTAAGATACTCACACAGACGCAATGCCTTTGCAGTTTCATTTTTTCTCTTTATGATTCATCTTCTTTTGTTTCTTTTCGTATTTTTCTCTACCGATGGATATCTTGATATTCATCTGCTCATCTATCCTCATTCAAAAAAGAGGGAAAATATAACATTTAGATTCAGATCATCTGAAGAGAGCGACTCCATGACAGCACATGAAACAAGCGAACTGTCAATAGACGGCTCTCTTCAGCTTCACTTGTATCTCTTCAACTTACCAATATTCAGAATATTCAGAATAGTAGAAATATAGAATAACAGATGAAATAGGTGTGAGAAAAGATGAAAGGAGAGAAAAATGTTGTTCTCGGGAAGGTAAGACCCTCGAATGAATGGTCGAAGGACACGAGGAAGAGAGAGAGAGAGAGTGAGCGGGTTGTCCGATTGCAAAAGTGGGCGGAGCTTATGGAGAGGCGGAGTTTTAAAGTTAACAAGCGTGACGGACAGCCCTCCAGATGGGTACTGTAGCCTAATCCAGGCCGGGAAAGTTCCAGAATTGGCCAGGATAGTTCCTTTTTAGGACCATAAAGATGCAATCAGGATCGAAAGACATTTCTTGTCGAAATTAACTTTGAGAAAACGAATTCAGCAGCAAATCCAACCCAAAAGAAAAAAATTCCGAAATTTCAATTCAAAGGATTCATTTATTCTTAAGGATACTTCTCTTCTACCATTCCCAACCCACTCCTCCCCCATCGATCACAGTTGTCGATAAGTTTTTGATTGACGAGTACATCTCCAAAAAGGGAAGAAAGAAAGAAAGAAGATTCAAAGAACCGATTAGTGTTGGGGAAGATGAAAAAGGATAGGTGAGGAAAAAGAAGAAGAAGGGTGTGGATTTGGACGGAGAGATGGGTTAACGTTGATAGCAAAGTGTGTGTTCGAATTTGAATTTTTGGGTGATGGGCATGATGAAAAATCGCAAACTTGGAAAAATTATGGAAGTTTCAGACTGTGACACTATTTTTGAAATGTATTATTTGCAGTTCTAGAAGCTTCTACTCGAATGAGATTACGGATTTAAAATTAAAAAAAGAGCACGGTATCCAATAAGACCTGAACATCTTTACAGGGAAGTTTGGAATGCAGAGAATTCCGAATGTGAAATCTTCGAAAGTTCGGATTATTCCAATTTTGAAAAATTTTAAAAATTCGGAATTTTGGAATTTGGAATATTCAGGTTTTAAAAAGTTAGAAATATTCCGATTTTGATAACTTCGGAATATCGAAATTTTCGGAATTTTATTCAAGTAAGCCAAAGATTGTCTAGAAAAGAAATCAATTTCAGAAGTTGGCTCAATAAAATGCAGGGATGTTCGAAACGCAATTCTCAAATCCGAATTCTTTTTTTTCCAAATTGGAGTTTTTTGGACTACGGTACGTCGAAAGCTCCTTGCCTCGCAAAATTACTATTATATTAATATTTTTTGCGTTTTCAAAATCTGTTTGTCAATCTCTCACCAATTTTAAGCATTTTTTGTATTAAGAAAGTGAGATTCCGATATTCCGAAGTTCCAAAATTAAAAAATCAAAATATTCCGGAATTTCGTAGTTTTGAAAATCGGAATTTCCCGAAATTTAGAAATTTAGAAAATTGGAACACTGCGGAATCTGGAATAAAACTCGGAATTTTCGACATTCCGAAATTCAAAAAATCCGAAAAAGCCATTCCGAACATCTCTGCTGTGTTACTATCTGGGACCATCGCAACAACCCTGGATGACCTCGAGGAATGGATTCTGGTACCTCTAACCGACTCATTTGGGGAATAGAAAATCAGAATCGGAAAAAAAATAAGTCTAGACAACTTTTTTATGTCCTTCTTGTCTCTTCTTTACCTTCTTTCTTTTCCATCACCATTCTCATTCATCTTCCACCTCCTTCTGTTTGACTAGTGCTTCTTTTTTATTGTAAATGAAAACGGAAAGAAGCAGAAAAAAGAGATCGATGAACGTCTCGAAAGGACTGGATGGGGATGGGATGGTAGTGGTGACAAAAAAAGTGAATCGAATTGAAAAGAGCGATGAATGAGTGAGTGAGTGCACAGTGTACACATTCGAATATAATACAAAAGGGGGAATAAAGAGTGAGAAGAAGAGGTGTTTTGTTTGAATGGGAGAGAGAGACATACAGAAACATACTCTTTCTCTCTTTTTCTCTTTTGAATCTTTCTTTTTTTTTTTTGAATTCAAAAGTTTAGTGTTTCGATTTGAGATGAAAGAAAAGAGAAATGGAGAGAGATGAACTTTTCATAGGCCAACTAATTCCGTTCATAGCCTCATTATTCCTTTGTTTCTCATTCGACAATGGGAACCAAGTTCAAAGAAATTTTAATATTATTGGAATTGGTAAAACGAACGGGTCTTGGGAGAAATCGGAAACAAACGGAAAATGCTGTAAAACCTGTAAACAGGCACTTTCAATTTTAGCCGATTTATCTCGCTATCTGTAAAAGATATGAAAAAGTAGTCAACTGATAAATTGTTCATCATGATATTATACACATTTTATCAATTGACACATTTTTGATATCTTGCAAAGGAGCCAAGAAAAATTAGCTCAAACTTGGTAGTGTGGGGGCCCTTCTATTTCAGGGGCTCTTCAATTAGAGGGGCCCTTCTAATACATGTTTTATGGTATCAGTGAAAATACGTTAAGCTTCGAAAAACGATCAAAAAGTTTTCGTTAGATCAGGAAACTTTCAGATACGCCAAACAAGAATAGATGTTCTATTTTTAACTTCCTGTTTTCTTTTTCAGTGTGAGCCAAAATGGTACACATATCAAATTGGACATGATTTTGACACTTTTATTTGGTTCAGAGCAGAATTTTTTATACGAACAAATTAGTATTCGAAAAAGTTCTTAAACATTTAGACAGAATATGATAACTGTTAAACATCTTGAGCTCAAATATGTAAATTCTCGTAAAAGATATCACTAAGTGGAAAACTGTTGAAACACTGGTGAAATTGTAATAAATATTTTATCAGTGTACTTTTGGATATCATTCACAGAAATCGAGATAATTGAGCTCAATGTTGACCGTGTGGTAAGCCATCTATTAACTGCACTTCGAAAAATAATTTCGAATCGTTCCCGTATACTTTTGCAGAAAGTTGTCCTCTTTTGATGTTTCAGCCATCAAATACCATTAAATTGATTTCAAAGAAAATCCCATTTGGTTTAACCCGAAATTAGGCATTTTGTAAAGCCTGAAGAGTACTTTAAAAAATATTCAATTTCCCCCGATTTATAGTCTAAAGAGCATTCCACAATCATTTTCATGTAAACTGCCGACGTCATCACAGAGATCCATCCTAAATTGAAAAGAAGAAAAGAAGAAGAAAAACGGAGTCGGTCACGGTGTGAAGACCTTGGTTATATCGCCTAATTGCCACATTTATAGTCGGTTTTCTTGCCGGTCCTCTCTCCGTTTTATGCACTATTCGGGAATGGTAAAACGATTGGTGGAGTGGTGTCTGTTAATGGCTGTTTGGGGCCGCAGTAGGCGAGAATCTCGAGAAGATGTGAAAGAGAAAAAAATAGAGATGAGAAAATGGGGAATACAAACGGATAGTTGAATAAAGAACACACCTAGAAAGATTGGATTTGGTTTTTATAGAGCCAGAATGCTTCCGTGATTTCTATTCGAACTTGGGAAGATATTAAGTTGGGAGAGGCTACACCGAAAAAAGAGAATATGGAAAAAGGATAAGCTACCTAAACTCAAGACTTTTTAATCCCACTATATAGGAACCTGAGATTTGTTCTCTTACGTCAACAAAAAAAACAACTCTTGATTATATTTTTTCAAGTTTATTGAAATTAAAATCTTATATACAATCAAAGAAAAGTTCAACTCGTAACACACAAAAAGATATTTAGAGATCTACAATAAATAATTGAATTAATAAAAAGAAAAATGATTTAATCGACCTCTTCAACAGTTGGTCCCTGTGGATAGTTGTTTGAATTGAATCCAGAAAATCCAGGATTTCCACATCCAGAAGAAGGTTGTTGCTGTCCAGATTGATGCATTTTGGAGAGAATTGATTGACAGACACACTTCAATTCCTTATCCTTTGCCTCAATCTCATCCTTTTCAGCCAATTGATTTGAATCCAACCAACGGAGAGTCTCTTCAACAGCTTCTTTCGCACGATTCGAATCTTCAGATGGCAATTTTGATCCGTATTCATCAAGAGCTTGTTTGACTTGGAATGCATATGCCTCCAACTGATTACGAGCCAACACACGTTCTCGTTGTTCTCCATCTTCCTTTTCGAATTGTTTTGCCTCGTTAACCATTCGATCAATGTCTGATTGAGACAATCGTCCTTTCTCATTTCGAATTGTGATCCGATTCGTTTTTCCAGTCGATTTATCCTCAGCTGACACATTCAGAATTCCATTTGCATCGATATCAAAAGTGACTTCAATCTGAGGAACACCTCGTGGAGCTGGTGGAATTCCACTCAATTCGAATGTTCCAAGACGATGGTTATCCCGAGTCATGGCTCGTTCTCCTTCGTATACTTGAATTGAGACTCCTGGTTGATTATCGGCGTATGTAGTGAATGTTTTTGATGCCTTTGTTGGAATTCTGGTGTTTCGATCAATGAGATTGGTCATCACACCACCAGCTGTCTCGATTCCAAGACTCAGTGGAGCAACGTCAACCAGCAATACATCTTTGATTGTTTGATCCTTGACTCCAGAAAGTACAGCTGCTTGAACTGCAGCTCCGAATGCAACAGCTTCATCTGGATTGATTGAGCAATTCAGTTCCTTTCCGTTGAAAAAGTCCTGGAGCATCTTCTGAATCTTTGGAACACGAGTAGATCCTCCAACCAAAACGACTTCATCAATGTTGGATTTGTCGAGCTTTGCATCTCGAAGAGCCTTCTCAACTGGTTCAAGAGTTTTTCGGAAAAGATCAGCACAGAGTTCCTCGAATCGAGCACGAGTGATCTTTGAGCACAAATCGATTCCTTCGAATAGAGAATCCACTTCAACAGTGGCTTCCGATGAGCTAGAAAGTGTTCTCTTGGCACGTTCACAGGCGGTTCGGAGACGTCGGATGGCACGTGGATTCGGTGAGATATCCTTCCCGGTCTTTCGTTTGAATTCATTCATAAAGTGTTGAAGCATTCTTTGATCGAAATCCTCTCCTCCAAGATGAGTATCTCCAGCTGTGGACTTGACTTCGAATATTGATCCTTCAGCAATTGAAAGGATTGAAACATCAAAAGTACCTCCTCCAAGATCAAAGATCAGTACATTCTTCTCTTCACTGATTCCTTTATCCAATCCATAAGCAAGAGCAGCTGCAGTCGGTTCATTGATGATTCGGATGGCATTGAGTCCAGCAATGGTAGCTGCATCTTTGGTTGCTTGTCTCTGACTGTCGTTGAAGTATGCAGGTACAGTAATCACTGCATCCTTGACTGCATGTCCCAGGTATGTCTCTGCAGTTTCCTTCATTTTCTGAAGTACCATTGCTGAGATTTCTTCTGGATTGAACTGTCTCTTTTCTCCTTTCATTTCCACTTCGATCACTGGTTTTCCTTGTTTTCCTTTTACGCCAAATGGCCAATGTTTGCAGTCTGATTGAACTGTTTCTTCATCAAAACGTCGTCCAATCAATCGTTTTGCATGAATACTGTATTCTCTGGATTACGAGCTGCTTGATCTTTTGCCGCATCTCCAACCAATCGTTCTGTATCAGTGAATGCAACATATGAAGGCGTTGTTTTGTTTCCTTCTGAGTTGGCAAGAATTTCAACCTGAAAATAAAATAGAATTATTTCCGATTCTTCTTTAAAAAGTTACAAATTAACATACCTTTCCATTCTGGTAGACTCCAACACATGAATATGTCGTACCGAGGTCGATTCCAATAGCTTTGCACGAAGACATTGTTTGTAGTTTGTAGTGAGAGCAGTAGAATTAGATTCTTCTGAGGGTGACATTCCCCTGATTCTGCCCAGCTTATATACTTTTTCATGAACATCTTCTGGAACCTTCTGGAACATTCTAGAAGCCAAAAGGCGGGTTCCTTCGCTGTACTCTCTTCTTCTCCCATTGTCTTTCTTCTCCCCAGTTGTATTTGTTCGAGAAGATTCTCGAACATTCGAAAAGAAGGAGAAGGAAAAGAAAAAAAGAGTGTGTCAAAGTAAGAGACGCAGACAGAAAAGGCAGAAGGGTGCCTCTTTGTTTGAAGAGACGTTAGAGAAAACGAGAGG